TGGGTACCCTAAATATTAGGTGCCGTATTATAATAAGGACCCAAAAAAGGGACCCTAATTTTGACAACCACCCATATGAGGGATCCTTCGTTGGGGAGTAGCGGCGCCTGACGCCCTCTGAATCCCCTACAAAACCCTACTTGGAGGGTCGGGGGACTTAGTAACTGGTTATTTTATACAGACTCTTAGCCAAGACGCGGTGGGTTCGCCGACTGGATGCGCTCCGGCTCTTTGGGTGCCTGGCACCGGATCTGGGTTTCGGCTTGAGGGTTTAAGGCCTGTTTTTGGGCTTCTATGAAGCTGAAGCTGAACCTCTCAGTCTCTAAGTCTCATGAAAAGAAATCCACTACTGCATGAAACAATTCGGGAGCCTCTGTCTTTGCACAATTGAAGCTGCCAGAGAAAAAGAGAAAAGCTTTGCGCCCATTTATGCCAAGAAAGCAGCAGACTAGACTGAATTCCTGGGCCAGCAGCCTGTCGAGTAAGCCAAGGCATCCGAATCGCAAGTCACGATCACCCACTTCACAAGGTCAAGACTCAGACGAAAGGAGTTCTATCTCCCCTCAGTCGCTTCTAACACCACATCGCGCCACTTTAGCAAGCAAAGAATGCACTACCATGATTCTTTGATCTGGTGGAAGGAAACAAGTGGACAGTACGGTGAAAACATACTGGGTGCATCATACACCTCCCATGACACCAAACGGTGCCGAGCAGTTGGTACCCCAGGGCCTCGTCGTTAACGATAGAAACCCTATAAGGATGGTTGTCAATATTAGGGTCCCTTTTTGGGTCCCTATTATAATACGGCACCTATTACTTGGGGTACCCAAAAAGGGATCCGAATTTTGACAACCACCCATGAATAAGAACCAAGCTGTCCTCATCTCTCGTCTCAGCATACATCCCCAAATCCTTCTATGCCCAACACCGCTTCAGCAATGAAAATACTGCAACTGTAGCCTAAACCCTAGGCTTTGTCATTGGCAAGCCCTACACCTCAAAGCCTGTAAGACCCTAAAACTGCAGCTGGAAACCCTAGAGCAATTTGAGCCTAAACCCTAACACTAAGAAGACCTTGTGCAGAGTCTGAGGGAGAGTAGGATTCAGGAAGAAAATGACAACATAATGATAATACATGTAGAGAGATTGACAGAGACAGACAGACTGACAGAGAGACAGACAGGCAGATAAATTGACAGATAGTCAGACGGATGGCTAGGGTGATGGGCAAGTTGGTAGATAAGAAACCCCTTAATCCTAAACCCGAAGCCCTGAATCTTTAAACTCTACATACCCCTAATCCTAAACCCGAAGATCTAAATCCTAAAACACTTGAAAACCTTAAACTCTAAACCCCCCCCCCTTATACCCTGACCCCCTAAAACGGGACCCTAAACCCGACCCCCTAAACCCCCTAAAATGCGATCCTAAGCTCCAAAGATCCCTAAATCCTAAAACCCAAATATCCCTAAATCCGAAACCCGAAAGATCCCTACATCCTAAACCAGAAGCTCTAAATCCTAACCCTAAACCCTAACCCCCAAATATCCCTAAATCCTAAAGTTCGAAGCCCTAAACCCTAAACCCTTGAACACCTTATACTCTAAACCCTAAACCCCCTTATACCCTAACCCCCAAAACCCCCTAAAATGCGATCCTAAACCCCAAATACCCCTAAACCCTAAACCCTAATCCCAAATTTCGCCTCCGGCTGGGCCGGAGGTCGGTCCACCGTCAGCTGCGCCGGGTCTGCCGCCAAAGCGGCCGTGGGCACGTGGCCTAAGCCTCCGGCTTGGTGGGCTCTTTTTTTTTTTTTTCTCTAAGTGCAGTGGGCTCTTTGTAGACTTTATAGTTTAGGGGGTTTAGGGTTAGGACTCCGGCTTGGTGGGCTCCGTTTTAAACTTTGGGGTTTAGGGGTTTAGGGGAAAAGGTTAAGGTCCAGCTTGGTGGGCTCTTTTTAGACTTTAGGGGTTTAGGGGAAAAGGTTAAGGTCCAGCTTGGTGGGCTCTTTTTAGACTTTAAGGTTTAGGGGTTTAGGGGAAAAGGTTAAGGTCCAGCTTGGTGGACTCTTTTTAGACTTTAGGGTTTAGGGGTTTAGGGGAAAAGGTTAAGGTCCAGCTTCTTGGGCTCTTTTTGGACTTTAGGGTTTAGGGGTTTAGGGTTAGGGAAAAAGGTTAAGGTTTAGGGTTTAGGGTGTGCAATTTAGGTTTAGGGTTTAAGGTTTCAGTCTGTAGGGTTTGCAGTTTAGGCTTAGGGCAAAAGGTTACAGGGACAACTGTAAGGTTTTGGGTTTAGAGTTTACAGTTTAGGCTTAGGGTTTCAGGTTTAAGTTTAGGGTTCACAGTTTCGGCTTAGGGTTTCAGGTTTAAGTTTAGGGTTCGAGGTTTGTATTTTAGGATTTTGAGGTGTAGGGTTTGAGGTTTAGGGCTTATAGTTTAGGGTTTTAGGGTTCAGGGAATTTGGGGAGTTTCGACTCGCACGCTCGCTCACGCAGGCACGGCTTCGGGGTCCATTGCTACCGTTACTAGTGTCGTGGCCGCTGCACATCACATACCCACAGAGGAAAAGGACAAAGACTCATGTAAAAGGCAATGAAGATGGAGTGGGTGTGCGAGTGATGAGCAGGGCTGTTCCATCCGGCAGTGCTGACTTACCTGAAACAGGATATACCAGAAATAATGACGAAGGTAGGTAGGATAAGAACGAACAGAGTTCCAAGTCTGCACTGCCATCATAGTAAGAGCACACTTAGTATGCGTTCGTCTCCACTCTACAACGTGTTGCTCTACCTGTTTCGAAACGCAGCTCAGATCTCCACTCGGTATACTTGTCACATGCACTGGCAGATAGCAGAGAGAAGGCAGTCCCCAATCCACGCAAAAGGACGCCTGGTGGTTGCACTCGTTACCTTTAGCGCCATCAGAACACATGCCAGATGGCTTTAGTCAGCCACTGTTCCATGCAACGAGCTCAGACATGTCGGCTGTTAAAGCATCAGCTTGTTTCATATGCGCAGGCCTTTGTAATATGCTGTCCACATGTCTGCGGGCGCGGGCAGCATCTGGTTCCATGTCTGCAGAATACCTGTAACCAAAGGCACTTGTACGGGTCGCTCTGACATGTTGGACCTGCACATGCTGGATCAAAGTTCAGCTGCAGCCCCCATACGCCTGATCACCCGAAGCGTGCTGGTAAATGTGCTCATTATGGCTGGGTGCAAGTCGCAGTACGGCCTAGTTAAGCACCTGAGGTCACGCTGCTGCATTGACTGTACTTCACACGCACTGACGGGTTGTGAGTGACATAGGCAGCTAACCGGCCTATACATGTCCACCTCAGTCGGCAATAGGTATGCCACACACCGTTTTCGCGACAGTGTGTAGTGTTCTGCAGTAAGCAGTGCTTCCAGAGGCCAGTCACACATGGTTGTGGCCCACAGCAGATAGCAGATAGTCCACTGTCGGTTGCCAAAGTCGCACCAGCGTCACTCAGTCAGCATGTCGACATGTTGGCACAGCTGCAGTCATGATCGAGGGTTGGCCATGGCAGCTCAGTGGGGTTAAGGAGGGTAGTCGGTAGTTGTTATCAGAAGGTTTGGTTGGCGTAGACTGGCATTGTTGATCCCAGGGAAACGAAAGGTCTAAAACAGGAGACGACTGTGACCTCCCTAGGCGGAGCAGCGGCAGCGGCAAACCCAAAGAACAGCAGGCAGCACACCCGGGTGTGGCGCAGGGCTGAGGCGAGGGGGCGAAGCCCTTAAGACCCGTGTGCAGCTCTCAGAGGTTCTCGCTCTCTCGCAGCTCTGCACAACATGATTCGTGGCTTCGTGTGGTCGCCTAAAAACCTGCCGCAGGCATGTTCACCTACTCGCACAGGCCACCGCACTGCCGATTTGTTTTGTTGGCCTCAGAGCTCGTGGGTCTTTGCAGTCACCGTTCTGTACAGACGTGCAGCTCAAGGCAAACTAGGAATACAAGTATGATGGTCAGGTCCTATGGCCCACGTTCGAGTATTGGTAAAAGCAGTATAGCAAGAAGTAGGAAGTAAAGAGTGATAAGTACAGCGAAAGAGGTAAATCTCGTACTAGTGGGCTACCGCGGAATGCTCCAGGCTAGTGCAAACTGATTGAATGCTGTACCGTGCAGCACGTGTTATGTGCCGCTCTGTGTGAATTCAGTCGTGGTGCTCAACATGCAGAATGACACAAAAGTCGTAGTGCACGTAGTGTTCATGCAGCATTCACAAATTCCATGGCGTCATCATGAAAAAGCCAGCAATGAAACAGCGACTATGGGGCGAGTAGTGGTGAAGGGGCAAACAATTAGGAGATCAGCCATCATGCATCATGAAGTCATGCAAATGTTCGTGCAGTGTGCATCATGCAATCAAAAAGCAGTCTCATGCAGGTGTACAGCACTCTGGAGCACGGAAGCGAACAATCGTAAATGGCTAGGAACAAAAGTAAAAGACCAGTGTTCCAATGCCTGCACACATGCATGCCCAACGTGTACCGGAGCAAAGCCGCAAAGGACCTGTACCGTTACAATGGCATGAGTGGTATCACTCGCTACCATGCGTCATCATGCTCAGCCGCAAGGGTGGAGTGAACAATGGTGAAACTCTGTCGCGGAATTGCATCCGCCTCACCCAAATGTTAGAGCGGCAGCCGCCGCCTTCTTGGCGGGATAGGCTTCTTCCAGAGCCTTGCGGTCTTCCGAGGACCTTGCTGCTGCAAACTGGGCCGGACCTTGAGCTATATATGAAGAAATGGTCTTCAGCTCCTGCAACACCGCCGTGGGTTCACGATCCCCACAAATGAAGTGGAAGCGGCCATACCTCACAGCGGGATGCGCTAGTCCAACCTTCGAAACATCCTCCAGCATTTGCTTTTCGTCTTCCGACCTCGCAAACCGAGAATTTGACAAAGCCGCTCGAGCCAATTTTTCCACTTGGAGAACCTTGCGTTTTGAGAGCGCACGGGCCATATTTTCTATGGCTTATGGCGCCGCAGCCAAGAGGGCCAAGAGTTGTGTGTGCTTTGGCTCGGCAAGCAATGTGACCGTCAGCAGGCTTGACACAACATACACCCCTGCGAGCCCCGACAACACACCAGACGGAAGTTGGCCGAGCAGGGTGCCATAAGCTCCTGCGAAAAACGCTGCTTGGGCACTATAGCCTTGAGGCTTTTGGCCCGACGAGAAGGCAGTATAATGCCCGATTGCTTTCTTGGAGGTGAGGGATGCCAGGCTGGATGCGGCGCCCATTATCGTAAACAACGAGCACAGCAACACCATGAGCCGTCCTGTTGCGAGATCAGAAAGCGTGCATCGGCTATTGATCGCAGAGCCGAGTTTACAGTGCGCCAGTGCAGCGACATCTGGCAGTTTCGCTGGTCCTACGAATTCGGCACCATCCATGAGATTAAATCCAAAACTCTGCATAAGTTGTGCTCGAAGCGACGGGGCTCCTGCGTTATACGTTTCCTTGTGCACACCTGGCAGGGCACCTGATTCGATAGAGAACAGGTTCAGCGCTTGTCCCTCTAAGGCCTGGAGGTCCGTGATAAAGACCGTGGCATCTGGGGCAGACAGCAACCCGGTCACCGCCTCAACGTCAATTTCTGCATCGCCTGCATCCTCAAGGATGGCCACAGTGGTATAGGTTTTCCCATTCTGACCAGCTGCAGCCGCCGCTGTCAAGCTCGCCGCGTTGAGCGTGGCTGCATTGTCATAGGCTCCTCCGTCCAGAATGGATTTCGGCGGCATCTTTCCGAGAATCCGAGAAAAGGAGGGAGCGGCAAAGCGGGGAACGGTCCTTGTGATTTAAATTTAGGGTTTGAGAGTTTACGGCCTGCAGGGCTCTGTACACATTCTTTGAGTGCTTATGTTCCCCTATGGCTCCTGACACAGCAGGGCTCTTCAGCTTTAGGGTTAAAGGTTATAAAGGTTTACAGTTCGGGGTCTGGGGTTTGAGGGTTTAGGGGTTAGTTTAGGGTTCAGGGTTCCTTTTCGGGTGTAAGCGAGTTTCAAGCACTTATAGCAATTGCCTTCTCCACTTTGCCGCTTTGACACGCACCGTGTGTGAGACACAACTGCTAGGAATCTAAACCCTTAACCCTTTTGAACCCAGGCTCTATTCCATCATCAGCTGAGAATCGGAAAACTTAGACCCTGCACCCATAAGAGTCGAGTCGCCAAGGAGGGCATCCACCTGAAGCTTGCAGAATGCGAAGAACCTGAGTTCAAGCCGTAGTGTTTTATTGCTCAGGTGTTTTATGTTTTGGGCTTAGGGCTTAAGGGTTCAGGGGATCAAAGTATAGGGTTGAGGGTTTTACGGTCTCGGGGTCTTGAAGGTACAGGCTTGAAGGTTTTAGGGCTTGATGGGTTTTGCCTTTACGGTAAGGGTTGAGGCTTGTGGAGTTTAGAGATTGAGAAGGCTTGAGATATGAGAGTTCAAGATTTTAGGGTGTCAAGGTTGAGGGTTTAGGGTTGTACAGTCTTATAAGGTTTGGAGTTTGAAGTCAGGGTTTAGGTTTTTCACAAACTTAGGGTTTAGGGTTCTAAACTGGGGCTTCGGATATTACGAACTGGATTTGGTGGGATAGGGCGTATAGGATGAGGGTAGTTAATGGACATCTTCGGCTGGGACACAAAATCTTTAAGTTCTAAACCTCAACCCTAAAAGCCTAAGTTTGAGCCCCAAACCTTGAACCCCAAACCCAAGGTCCTTAGCGGACAGGTTCTGGGTTCAGGGATTCGAACCCCAAGGCATCAAATCCTGAGACACTACATGAAGGTCTGGGGTCTCCAACGTAGTTCCCTTCTTTGTTGCACCCATCTCATATTTAGGACCCTATAAGGTAAACCCAAAAAGGAAGTACAAATGGGACTATAGGCACGACTCCAAGACTCCGAGACCCTCAACCGCCAACGAGGCCCCATGACCCCACCCGAATTCTGAATCCAAGGCGCTATAAACCCTAAGCGCCCCAACACCCCCAAAACCCTGAGCAAAGAGAAAGTAACCTGAACCCAGACCGAAAACTCAAGGTTTAGGGTTTATGGGTTATGCCATGGCTCCAAACACAAACCCAAACCGGACCCCTAGACCTCGAACATCAGATTGCTGCAAGAAAGGGGCTCCGCATAGTCGGCGCAATGATTTCCGGTGGTGTCCACTGCTTCGATCCTTGCCAGTCGGGTTTGAATCTATTGTATATTGCTATTTCTAGCCTTACTGGGACATTCTCCTAATTAGTCGCTGTGGCTGGGGATTTCCTAGAACTTAAGCCCTAAACACTCTAGGCTTACTGGGACATTTTCCGAATTAGTCGCTAGGGCTGGGGATTTCCTAGAACTTACCCAGAGGCTCCATAGCAGTTCCTTTTTGGGATTACCTTATAGGATTCTAAATATGAACCCCAAAAAGGAACTACTTTGGGGTCTATGGGTAAAGTTAGGGTTTCTGTGGCTTGGGGTTCCCACAGTTAAGGAATAACAGTTAAGGAATAGACCTCGAGTGCACATGAACGATCCCTTTCTGCTCTGAGGTACTATGCCTAACTACAGGGTTCTTAGGACTATCCAGAACCCTACCCCTTTGCAAAACAAACCATGAAGCCTATCATAAAGCCCAACCCTTGGGCCTTCAAAATAACCCTGAATCCGAAAATCCGAGTGTGGAGATTGCGATCCCCGATGTAGAAACTCGAAACCCTAGACTCTATAGCTTGGGTACTGCCCACATATTGTAACAGTCTATAACGGGGCTACTATTAAGGGCCCTGTATATGAAAAATGGGTATTATTCAGATGTCACTGAGGCATCCAACCTATAGCACCTTGCAATTAAAGAGCCTATCTAATCATGGAGTCTCTCAGGTCTGTGGTTTAGGATTCTGGTGGCTCCGGTGCGGGTTTCGGGTTCAATAATAGCTGCAAAAACCTTAGTTTCATAGGCTTGGTTAAGCCCTGAACTCTACACCTGACCACCTAAACCCTCAACCCTAACCCTACACCGAACCCAATATTTCCAACTGGCCTTTTCTACCCTTAACCCTCAACCCCAACCCTACACCTAATCCAGGCTCTGCAAACAAAGTCAACTTACTGTGCCTTGTAGACTCAGCCCTAACCCTACACCGAACCAACCCAATATGTGGGTTCCGAAATTGAGGGTAATATATTGGGGTCCCCTAGTTTCGGAAACTCCCATATCTCTAACCCAGCAAAGTGTCCAGTTCGCCACTTCGTAAGCATCGAAAGCGAAGCCCAGCTCTCGCAAAGCTCTGCACCTGTGCCGGGGTTTAGAGTACAGGGTTTCAGGTATAGGCTTTTGGGGTTTGGGGGTTTAGGGTTTATAGGGTTTATAAGGCTTGTAGGTTTTATAGTTTAGAGGGTTTATAGGGTTTTTATAGGGTTCAGAAGCTTTATAGGGTTTGGGGTTTACGGGTTTAGGGCATCCCTAAACCCCCCAACTACGTACCCTTATACCCCAAATACCCACTATTGAGGACCATAAGGGCTCTATTACAGGGCGCTTGGCGGGTCCTGGTCTACCCTTTTTTGCCGCTGGGCTTGGGGCTAGCCAGATCCTTGCATCTGGTCTACCCTAAACCCTAAGCCGTGTAGGGTTTGAAGCGGGGGCGGCTTGCCCCACGGTTCTCGGGCTCTGGTTTCGTGCATACGGCCTTGTTAGTAGCCTATCTTTTTGCGTTTTGTCCTTGGTAGCTACCAAATCAGGTTCTTCAGCAGCATTTTTTGCATCCAGCCTGCAAAGCCTCTGCTGGGAAGTAAACGAGCGCCTAAAGCAAACCTTCAAGTCTGCCGTGCCACTGCAGCGCAGCTAAATACTAAAACCTTGAAATCCGATATCAAGATCTTCTGGATAACTACGCATTCCAAACACCGCCCCCCCTTCCTGGATTCAAGAATCAGTAAGCTAAGCCCCTGAACCCACACGCAACTTGCCAAAACGTAGGGGCCTTTATGGTTAGAACAAGGTTTCCGGGTATATTACTGGTTGCTCTCTTTTGAACCAGTTCGTCCTGGAGGCCTCTAGCCGCTTCCAACAGTCAAGGCGCAATTCCATGGGCTCGAGCAGGCCGGACTGATTCACGTCGAAGCCTGGAGGGGATTTAGGGGTTTTCTGCACTCTAATCACAACAACAAGAACGCACCAATAATGTTAACAACAATACAAATACCTAAACCCCCAAACTAGGAAAAAAATGGCCCAATACCTATAAAGGTCCATTATATGCCATGATTTTCTACATACAATGAGGGTCCAGGTACCAACAACAAAATTGTTAATCAAAGCACCGGCGCGGAACCACAAATTTCTACATCCGAGAAACTAAGCCCATAAAAGAAGCAGTGCAACGCAGCACGCTTCAGCACTGTAAAGGTTTCTGAATGAACTGATTTCCTGGTGGGTTCCGCATTACAAGATAGACATACGTCAAAATAGACTATCCAATCGAAAATAGGTGTTGAATAGCCGTAATCTAGACGACCGCCCACATTAAAAACGTCCTGGGACCTCCGGAAGGTCACAGCCTTGTAGATCCTAAATAGTGGGACTTAATGGCGTCAGCTGTGGTTTTGGGTACAGAATAATTATATCTTTGTGCTTGGGGGTTACATCGATGGATATTTTCACGCCCAACACTGTTTGAACTTGCATGCACCAAAACAAACCCACCTATTGCCCTAAACTCCCCAAAAGCTTTACTCAACTCGATGATATTCGATAACCCCAGGAGTCCTTGTGAAATGCGATGTAAGTCCGCGTCCTGTTTCGAAGGGTGCACATGCGCTCCATGTAAATCCGCTTCTGAAGCCGGCCTGGACCCTAAACCCCTAAACCTAAACCCCTCATCTCTGATCCGAGCTGCGCTGGAAAGCCATCTGCACGGAAAGGCCCTGGCCGTAGATCGCAGCATGGAGGCGGACCGCGCCTTAGCATAATGTAGGGACCTTAATAGATAGGATAGGTTTTGATACTATACTTGTAATTACGAACCTCCAACATAGTATTGGTACGTATTGGGAAGTAGTTGGGATGAATACAAGGCACACGTATATAAACTCATATTGGAGTGGTTGAACAACTTGGACTAATTAGTCACTGGAGGTCTTGCACAACTAGGTACCGCTTTAATCTATACTGCTTAGGGTTTGGGGTGTAAAGGGGGTTTTGAGGATCAGGCCTTCAGGTCAGCTTTTCAGCTTCCAGGAGGGGACCTTGGGAACAAAAAAGCACCAAGGACCGCACGCACCCGCGCCAGAATCTGCCTTGGATCTGCTAGAAGGCTGCAGGGTGTTATGTAGGAAACAGAATAGAGTTTGCTGCTACGAATAAAGCACCAATTGAATTATTTTTACCATATAAGGATACCATAATTCTGCTGCAATTGGGCTTTACGTCATAATAATGTGATTCCATAGTGGCTATGAAGGGCCGCTGCCACTGATTATTTAGCCCTAGATATGAGTGCTCCGGATTCTGCCTTTCACCGGCCCCTCTGCAGCGGTGCATAAGATTTCAGCGCATATTTAAGCCTTTGTAACAGTGCTAGACAGGCTTCTGGGTCGTGGTGTAAGGACCTAACAAATATTGGTGTAGCGCTACTCTGAACATATCACTAACATTTTGGGGAAATGATCGTCTGGACGACGCTGAGGGTGGTTTCTAGCCGAGCTCGTCCGACTTAGGGCTGTGCCGCATTCCTGAGGAGCCTTGCCAACGCCGATCAATGTGGGCAAATGTGTGGGAATACCAAAAGGGTCCAAGTACCTAATAATCATATACTCTCCGAAATCCTAACCTAAATAAGTACTATCCTCAAACAGAGTACCCAAATATTGGGTCCTTTGGACCCTTAGGGATATGTACCCCTAGCAGACCATAAGTGAAACTACGTTGCAGGCAGCCCAAAGAAACACACCTATTGGATCTGGGTTTAGGGCTGAGGTTAGGATCCAGAGTCTCAGGAAGCTCAAAAGTTTCAGGGCAGGGGATGTATTGAAGGTAGCTGGCCAATCCGAGCTCGCCCCGGCCAGGTTCCGCTCTTAATCTCGCAGCCCTAAACGCTAAACTCGAACCCCTAAACCCCTACACCACTAAAGCCGGAACAGCCAAATCACGCCTCAACCCCAAACCCCAAAGCGCTAACACTCAACACGCTACAAGACCTAAGCCCTATAGCCCCTAAACCCCAGACTCCAAACCCGCCCAGACTCCACCTCACTTATTCCCAACAGACCCAAGTTTCTAATGGCTCCGGTGTACGAAAACATCGCAGGCCCTCAACACATGCGGCCTCCTCAGGGGTTTCAGGCCACGCCCATGTCTTTAACTCTGAAGCCTAAGCTCTACAGCCAGACATGTACAACATTACAACATTGCTCAAAGTCTAGAGCCTGAACCCCAAAATCCTAAACCCAACACGTCTGCACCCTCGCCCAACCCCACAGACACCCAAAGCGCGACTGAGGCCTAAGGAAGGGGCCCTAAACCTTAAACCCCTAAACCCTATAAGCCCTATAAACCCTAGAAACCCCTTATGTAACCCTATACCCTAAACTCGACAATCATAGAGCGACTGAGCCCTCAGGAAGGGACTTGGGCCGGGGGCTGTGCAGCTAGGTTGCTCGAACTCAAGCCAGGGCCGAAGTACCTGTGACAAGTCGGGAATGGTTTTAGGGTTCAGGGTTTAGGGCTTTACGCTCTCGCAACTCGGACGGTTTAGGGCTTTAGGGTTTAGGGGTTTAAGGTTTGGGGGTTTAGGGTTTAGGGGTTTAGGGTTTGGGTTTCGGCGCTCACACTCCGAGAATCCAGTTGGGGCACGTGGTTCGAGGTCTGAGAAGTGAGCCAGTTACTACACTAGGTTGGCCCTTTAAGCACCTGAAAAATATTCGTAAATAGGGCCCAGTTAGGCCCAATAAGGGAAAATACAAAACATCCCAAAAGCCTACCTAGTACATGGTTTGGGTTTACGGTTTATTGTTCAGGGTTGAGGGGTTTATAGAGTTGACGATTCTTTGGTGGGCGCTATGTCTTTTAAAATGAGTAGATATGGTTTCTGAATGTTGCTTTCTTGACGTGTTGTTCAAGAATTTGTCGGTATGATGCTTTTGTGGGGTTACTCCAAAAACAGTAGGGTTCGTCCTTGACGCTTACTGGATGTTGAAACAGTGAGCGTACAGGTATATGATGTGGGAACCTGATTAAGAAACCTTGGGCCTTTATTAGGGTTTTATGAATCCTACTGTTTTGGGGTAAAACAGGCCCAGGGTTTCTTAATCAGGTTCCTACATTGCTACATTAACATGCGGTGAAGGGGCTAAAGGGGCTCCAAAGGGAGGGTTCTTCGACATGGCAAGCCCAAGCAGGGGTTGGGGTTAGGTTCAGGCGTGCGAGTTTAGCATATTCGGAGCTTTTGGTTGGGGTTTGTAGAGCGCTCTAGGAACTCTGGAACTATAGGATTTCAAGGTTTAGCCCAGCCTTTATTCCCCAAAAGCTATATACATGCATGTACACCAGAAGCCCACCAAGACCGTAAACGCCAAACAGTCCTTTAAGAGCCTCTGCAACAGCACCCGAAGTTAAGGGCACAACAAACATCCTCTCAGAGCCTCTGCCACTGGCTGCTGCTCCCAGCCGCCGGCTGCGCCTCCTGCGTGGGCGGGGACAGAGCAGCTACAGGGCTTCGGCTTACCCAAAGACTCCAATGTCCCTTGTTTCATAAGGAATTTATCTTAAATCACACGAGGGTTCCTATTATAATTCACAGTATATTCCTTAAACCAAGGATTTCGGAGTCTCTGGGTAAACTGTTCTGAGCGAATACCGGGGTTCAGGTTGTGGGGCTTGTAGGAATGAGTGGTAGCGTTCTATGCCCTTCAGTCACTGTAGCACCATATGCAAAACACGAAAACACTTCAGGCCTCTGTACTAAAGCCTCTGCTTTCTTTGAGGTCCAATAAGGAATGCTCCTGGTTTTGGGGGAAGGAGCAGGCTTCACGTCTTTGTAGGCTTGGGTGTTTCGGACCGGGCTGAGACTTCTGCGTTGGATTTTCGGTATTTAGGGACCTGAACCCTGTCCTGTCAAAAGCCTAAAACCCTGAACCCTAAACACCGAAAGCCCTAGGCCCCTAGACTTTAAACAAACCCTAAACCACATACTTTAGTGAACTTAGACCCTTAGCAAAAAAACGCATAATTCTATCTGTTTCTTAAGGATTACAAGGGCCAAAAAGAAGGTTCGTGCCATGGGTCCTGGAGGGCGGGATCCTCTGGGATTTTTGAGTTTACAATTCTTTGGGGCTCCTTTGCAGCAAGGCCCTTAACCCTAGGGTTGACCCCAAGTGCTATGCCTATGTAAATCTCAAATCCCTTGATTAGGTGTCCCTCAAATCAGAAATCCCCTCGTTTTGGCCGGGCTTCAGAGATGTATGAGGTCTTATAATCAGGATGTTGAGACCAACTGGGGCCTAGGATTTATTGTTTTCTATTGGTGCACCTAGCAGTGCCTAGGGTTTAACAGGCTTTTGGATGTCTATTGGGGGGGGGGGGTATAGGGTCTGCTTAGTGTCCAGTCAGGGATTTCAGGTCCGGGCTTCATCAGCTGATATCCTAATACAGGGGCCTTAATTCAACAATCCGAATAAGCTTCCGTAGGGAATATTGTAGTAGGCAATTCTTCCGACTTCTACATTACACCCTCAACTACCGACATTGTCATGTCATAAACATAACCCATAACATGATTCTAGTCATGAAAGCCATCATAGAACCCTGCACCACCCTAAAACCTAAACCCCCTTCTTGCTACTGGGTTCAAGTCTAGTCAACCCCAAACCCCCCAAACCCTGAACTTCCTAAAACGCCTAAGCCCTAAACCCCCCTGACCCCCAAACTTCCTGAACCCCCTCTGCCCTAACCCCGACATAGGGGGTTTCCGAAAATAGGGGGCTCTAATATAATACCCTAAATAGTAGGATCCTTATTATAAGGACCCCAAAATAAGGTACCCCCCGACATGTCCGGGGGATCCCCACCTCCCCGGCGACGGCAGCCGCCCAGGCCCTCGAAAAAGCGCCGTCGGTCAAACGGCCTCGTCGCGGGGTCTCTGGGGAGCCTATAGCTAACGGGGTTTAGGGGTTTCGGATGGACGTTAAGGCTTAGGATAGGGTTACGTTAAGGATTCTTTAAGCGGCTCTTTGAAAGTCAAGTGCTGCAAGGATTCTACGGTGTATGGAGCGTGTTTTTCTTTGCAATGGGCTCATGGCGTAAATATTTGTTGTGTAGTTATAATACGGAGCCCCAAGAAATAGTACGAGTCGTGGTAGCTATTCCGACCATTACAGGGTTCCGTTAAGGTTTCTTTCCGGATTTCTATAAGAAACTAGATTATGTTCATGGTTTGCTGTTATAAGTTTGAGGGCGAGGTCGTAGGGTTTCAGGGTGTAGGGTTTATCCTTTACCTAGTTGCTGAGTTATTAAGCCCCAACAAGTGTACACTTTCAGTTTTATAGTGGGAAATATTATCCCAAAAACTGTGAAACGTATCCACTCAGCTACTAAGTTTATAGGCAACGAACCCATTTGAAGCCCTGAAGCCTTCAACCTCGAAGGCTGCCGTGGCACCTTCGTGAACCCGAGCTGGGTGTCTTTCCGGGGTGCTGCACATGAGCCATTGTGCGATTCTGCGCGTAGCAAGGCTTTCTTGCCTGACGCCTTCTTGAGACGGCAGGCAAACGGCTGATTGTAACACATGGCAATGCCCTGATCATCGATGAACTCCGAAAGATGATGCATCTCCTTGATATTGTTCGCGGTCTTCCGGATCTGTGGGTCTGAGATTGCGATCTGGTCCGTTTTGGGGCCCCTTCGTTTTTTTTTGCCTTCTTCCGTCACCATCGGCTTTCTGGAAGCTCAAAATTATCCCAAAGTCTTAACATGGTCTGTAATTAGCGGGAAGGCCTTTGACCCCGTAATACCTGCGATAGTTGCTGGGTCGCTGTGGAGGTCGAGGCAAGGTAGGGGTCAGGCCGTCTGCACTGAAAACCCGAGGTTTCAGATGCCTTGTTTCAACCCTGGGTCTAGGAGTCAAGCTTTAAGGTGAATTCATACGAAGTTCCTCAGCAGCCCCTTAAAAAATCTGTGTACTCTTTTTCCCACTATTTGGTTTTAATAAGAGAACCCGAAAAAGACAAGGGCAAAAGGGTACCACTGGGGAACCAGTCAAGGGCTTTAGGTCTTCGGCTCAAACGCCCTAAGTCTGTCGACCATTCCTGGGTTCTTGTGAGGAATTTAGTTTAAGCTACCATAGCAGGGCCTTAATAGAGATCTATAGTAAATAACATGGCTCCCTTATTGTGGTAGCTTAAATTAAATCCTTTGACAAGAACCCAGATTCTGAAGGCCATCTCCCGGGTTACAGTCTCCGCTGCGCCTGTTCCGCTGCAGAGCACGTAGCAGCACTGAGATCTCAGGCGGTCCTTCGTGCGGGATCTTGGGATGGCGACTTTGAGGAGCCTTCGGGTTTAGGGTCTAAGAGTTTAGGGTTTTTAGGGTCTTAGGGTTGAGGGTTCAGGATTTACGGGTTTAGGGCATGTAGCACCCAGTGGTAACACATAAAGACCTAACTGGGTAACCTAACGCCCTCTGACAAGCAAGCGCCCTTTGACAAGCAACAACTCGTTTCCAAACCTCCCTGTATCACTGGGGGCGGGCGGTTGTGTCTCAGAAGACTTTTCCAACCCCAGACCATCTTCATTTCCATTGCTGTACCGTTCTTACTTGAAGGAATACTGGAAGGACCAAGTGTGGCTGACTAACTACAGTTCGATCTGCTTGCAGCCCCAATTAGCTGCGGAGGCCCTGAGCGAAGCATTTTTCTTTTGAGTTTCCTGAATAGTTTTACGGCGCTAGGGAAGTACACAACTTTCTCAACAAAGGCCTCAACCTTGAACCTCAAACCCCAAACCCCAGCAACCCCTCCTACCAACAACACAAGCATGTCAATAACACACACAGAGATCTACACCTATAGATATATAAACAAAAGCAAACCCTCCACAGCTCTACAGGCATAAACTGAGAAATGCACGAAGTCCTAAACCCCAGAAAACCAAGCGTCGGTAGAAGGATTGGCCATCTAAAAACCGCGCCAGTTGATGCAACATGCGGCACTGGAAGGTCGGACCTGTCACTGATTTACTTAGAGGATCAAGCCTTAGTACGTGGGGTTATAGGTACCTTAACTAGGGATAAACCTATAAAGTTATCCTACTTAGAGCAATACTTACCAAGTCTCCTGAACCTCCAAGTAGGGTTTGGGAGATTATTTTTGATTAGTGGGCCTGCCAGTGTAAGAGCTCCTCTAAAGGTGCCAATCGGAATTAGGCCTAAGGCTCTTCGGGTGTATGAGTAATTTGTCGGTCACGGCCCAAGGCTTGTAAAGTTGTACAGGGAACTCCAGACAGTTGGAATATGGTTTCATGGTAGGATACCCTATAATTTACCATAGAAGGGTTAGGATAATCATATTCCAACTTTCTGGCTTTTACTTTATGAGGGTTGTGGGGCCCTATCTTGGTCAGGGCACTTGGGCATGTCGTGGGGCTTCAGGTTGCACGGCTGAACTCCACCCCGACAGCTACAAGCCCCTTTTGACCCGTAGCCATCAACTACTGAATCAACTACTCTACTTAATACTTCCGGGTTGAAACATGTATATATCAGCTAGACCCTTGGACTTGTGTGATAATTTTGATGCTTTATTGTGAGAATGCGACACGAGTCACGGCCCAAAGAGTCACGCTTCGATCTTTCGCCACTTTGATGAGATTTCTGGGGACCCATCCCACTAAAGAGAACGGGAGGCTATGTGTTGAAATCAGTATCAAATTAAAGTTTACGGTGTAGGTTTGGGGTTTAGGTGTCTGTTTCACCCTCTTGACACTGTTTTTTCGAGCCAGGGCTCGACATTCTACCAACCAGGCGGGGGGAGCAGAAATTCTCTCAAACCGGTATCTGTCCGATCTGGTAACCAAACAGGAACCCGGACCTGCCCGAACTGCCCCCCCCCCCCCCCACCTTCACGAACACCAGCTGAAGCTGAAACACCACAACCATCTCCGAACCCCGCGGTTGGACCGTGGAACCCTGAAACTCGAAACCTTGAAAGCCCAAACGACAGCTAACCGCAAAACCTTGAAACCCTTACACACCTCGTACCCCCGAAAACTTCAAACCATTATACAACGCTCAGGGGGCTCCTTCAAAAAGAGCCTCAAACTTAAACTCTAAACATCTCTGAACCTGAGACCCCTCAAGGGAACCTCCTAAGAGCCCTATGTGATCCTTATAAACGGAACCTCAAAGCACAACCCCGAAGGACCTCCTCCCTTAAAGCCGATGAGCCTGGTTGAAAGGACTTCGAGGCATCCAACACGGCGTTGCCGGCGAAGACGCAGCGAAGAGCCAAGGCGGAACTTGGCGACTGCCTTTGAGGCACTGGGGGTTAATTCAGTCAGGGTTTAGGGTTTAGGATTTAGGCTTTAGGATGTAGGGTTATTGAGGGTTTAGGATTTAGGCTTTAGGATGTAGGGTTATTTAGGGTTTATAGGATTTAGGGTTATTTAGGGTTCAGGATTTAGGGTTTCCGGATTTCGAGGGCTTCGGGGTTGGGGGACCCAAGGCCTAACCTCGAAGCTGGGGTTTATAGGGTTTACGGCTTGCCTTTCGATCATGCCGGGCTGGATCGGCTCCCGGGTTTCAGGATCTCGGAAGGAGCGTAACTGGGCTCTTGTTATTGTAAGGAGTTTAATTCTACGGTGCCATAGTTGAAGTGGTATAGGATTTAGTATAGGAGACATAACGTTTCGGCAAAGGAAAGTATGATTAGGATGGGGAGCAAAGGTAACCAACTTGTTCAAGCGAACGACTTCAACAACGACGACGGCGGCGGCGACGCCAAAAAGGACAACAAGGACCTAAACAGCAAAAAGACACGTCACCCTTATCATTTGCATGTTCTGCTGCTTGTTCTAGCACCGTCGTCGTCTTCGTCACTACCCTAAGCCTAAACCCTAATCCCCTAAACCCTAAATCCTGAACTCTATAAACCCGAATCTCTAGACCCTAAACCCCCAAACCCTAAGCCTCTGAGCTCTAACCTCCTAAACTCCTAAGCCCTTACCCATAAACCTTTACTTACCTCTGGTTAGTAGGGAATGGAAGAATGGTGGTGGTAGTAGTAGTAGTAGTAGTAGTAGTAGCAGCAGTAGTTATAATTGTACCCCATTCCTCCATTCCCTACTAACCAAAGGTAAGTTTAAACTCCTAAGACTCTGCAGCCATGGAGCTTGAGGATGGTAGAACCCTCCTGCAGCCGGGCATGGAGAATGCGCCGAAGCGTCTCTGCCTCACAGGGGCGGTTTCGGGTCACGGTTTAGGGTTTAGGGTTTAGGGTTTGGGGTTTAGGGTTTAGGGTGTAGGCAGGGTTGGGGGATTTAGTGAGTTGTTTTGGTGGGTTTAGGGGGCCGCTCCAGACCCAAACTCTTAACCCCCATGCCCGCAAAGAGTTTCATGCTGCCTCTGCAAGGGAGAGCAGCACAAAGTTCCGTCCAACATCACCTGATGGGCTTGTTATTGGTCTTCTTCTTGTTCTTGTGATCGTTGTTCATGTTGTGGTTCGTACACTTGCTCTTACGATATTGTGGTACTAACTGCTAACTATTGTGATGCATATTGCTTCTTCTTATTCTTGTTGCTATTCTTGTCAGCACCTTGGGTCTCAGTGCCACCTTTACTAGTATGGTAAAAAAGCAATTACGAATGTCAGTATTGCTTTGGTTCTTGTCACATCTACGATCGCTATGCTTTTCATTTTTTGGTATTCAACTGCCGTTACAACGATCATCGGTCTTTATTACTGCCACACTACCACTGCCACTACCAGTATCACTAATGAGATAAAAACCTGCACTATCCATAAGTAGGAATAATATGGCATAAGTCGCATAATAGTCTAGCGTCATTCAGGTACGGCAGGATCTATATCATCCACTGTAGCCTTGCTTTTGGTTTTTGGCACATTTCTTGATAGCTCTTAGGGTACGTGGAGGGGCACTACTGCAAAGGGTGCACGTAAGCTCCAGGTCCAGGTGAGGTTCAGGATTTCGACGCTTACACTGGCTCAAGGCAGAAGACTGACGATTCCGGGAGTGGGATAAAGGGCATGTGCTCTTAAGGCCAGGATCGAGTGCCTAATAAAGTAACCAGGGAACAATGCGCCACCTCGACAACACCATTCCAGCTAGCAGGAGATGGCATCTGGCTGGCGTGTGTCCGAAGCCCAATGAACACGAAGTAGACAACCCCCGAAGCTGCGACAAGTCTCTGCTCGATGGAAAAAACTCTTAATCCTAAACCCCTAGACAGTACCTGTAGCCTAAAAAACCTACCTTTTTAAGGAACTGTATATAGAAACCATAATAAGGAAGCCTAAAAAGTACGTCTTTTCGGCTACTGGTAGCTCTAAAAGAGTCACTCTTCAACTCAATTGGGAGTTTGATGCAAGGCTTCCCTGGCAAAACCTGACATCCTTGGCCCTGGCTCTACAGTAAACGCCATTAAGTTGGAAATCGGATTAAGGCCAAATAGAGCTGGGAGCCCTATAAATTACTCTTAAGGATTGGGGCTATTGGGTTTCCAACTTTTAGGCTTCTATCTATACTGAACTTAGAACCCTAGCAAAAATTACAATGTTTCGTAGGGGTTATAATAACCAAAAATTAAAAGCATTTCTAAGTACCCCTAAGGCCAGATGAGCACAAGGCATGGCGCGAAACTCTTGAACCGCTGAGTCTGACGCGTGTGCGGAAACGCCCATCCAGGAGCAGCTGCACCATGTCCTGGAGAGATTTCGGATTTCGGATTCGAGGTTTGCAGCTTGCATCTTGCTACTTATCGGCCTAGGGTTTAGGGTTTGGGGTTTCGCGGTATGGACGTGACTGCGCATCATCGACATCATCATCTTCTTCATCAAAATCATCATCATCATCATCACCATCACCCTCACACACCATCACGATCATCATAATCTTCATCGCTGCACAACATTATCATGGTCGTCAACAGCGCCATCACCGTCATCCCACAGACCTTAAGCGCAAAGCCTCAAACCCTACATAATCCCAAAGCCATAAACCCCCAAAAGATCCGACTCGCAAGCCCAGGGGCCGTGTAGCTCAACTTCTCGTCGTGTTTCCGCCCAAGGATCGCCAACGCTGCTGCGGGGTCGCCTGAGCTTCCGTTTTGTTTTAGCCTTTTGGGGTTTACGCTCTCGCAACTCGGACGCAGCCTGTTAAAACTTAGGGTTTAGGGATTTAGGGTTTAGGGGTTTAGAGTTTTGGCCCAGGGTCAAGATGGGCAGGATCTTACCCTTTGGGGCGGCTTGCTTACGGTTTATACGGCTTGGCGTGGCTTCGCACATTTTATTTCGGATTCTATGATGTGGACCTGAATGATTCGAAAGGGGATAGGGGCTGGGGGTACATTAAGGTGTTTGTTCTTCATGCATCTGTGCTCGGGAAGCCGGATAGTTTCGAGTTTCGGGGTTTTGGGTTTAGGTTGGTGCTTAGGGTTTATAATGGTTTATATAACATCGTATAATATAGTAAAACATATTGCACTATTACATACTGTTGTATAATAGGAAACAGTAACTACTGCGAACGCAGAGCTTTAGTCGCCCGCCCCCATAGCAAGACGCAGAGCTGAGCGGCGCAAAGACGCGTCCCAGTCGAAGCTGGCTGCAAGTAGTTCCATGAGCCTACAGGGCTTACAATTCTGATCTGTTCAGGGTTTACGGCTTTGGGGCTTGATTGCTATCGTGATCACTGTCGCTACTACCGGTAGACCTACTGCGACTGCAGCTAGCTCTAGGATTAGACTGGTTGGCCGTACTTACTATCGTGACACCTATTATCACTGGCAAGACTATCCTGCTTACAATCACTGGTAGTCGTACTGCATCTGCTTGAGGTCTCTCCTACCAGACAGGTTCACGGTTCAGCACTCTAAACCCAGGAAGCCACAGAACGAGAAACTCAGCCCCGCCCCGCCGCAGTAGCAAGGATTCGGCGCCAAAAAGCCACAAAGGATTTGAATATAGAACAGAAGCCCAGAGCCCTTCAGTCCGGCACACTTCGAGTTCCCGAAACAGCGTTAAGGCTCTTATGACCCCAAAAACCCAGCGCAGGGCCTCTGAATCAGAAGAGCCTTATTCATCCTAACCACTGAACCTTCGATGTTTTTACAGTGACCTGCGCCGAAGTAGATAGATGCAACATTCTTCTATCGGGCGTGACACTTGGTACATAAGGTTTTACACGGGAGGCGAAAAGCCAAAAGGCCGTTGAGAATATCAAAATACGTCTATGCAGCGTTGTAGGGTCTACTTGCGGGTTCGCGGGTTATTTCCAGGAATAGCCAGAGTTCGTGAATTCAGAACCAGGGCACCGGTAATACAATCTGTGTGTATCTTGTGTGTGTGTGTGAGTGAAAATGACCTGAAGGACAAGGACTGGGTTTGGGGGTTACCAGGGAATATTGATTGTTACCTACACGCCCCAAAATATATAAAATGAAAGGCCATTACACCAACACACTGTGAGGGTCCAGGTAACAACAAATCCGACCTCTACAATGTGTCTTGGCCTCGGGGTTTATGCCCCAGCCTAAACCCTAAACCCCGAAACCCTAAAACCCTAAGCGGCCTTTGTGCGCCGATCTCGCCGGGAGGTGGAGGAAGCTTCTCCACTTTTTTGCCGACCGTCAGTGTGTCGGACCTTCTCAGAAGGACAGCGAGCGAACGCAGGGGCCTAAACAACAAAAACCTGATCTCGGAGTAGCTTTACCTTGGTTAACGTTATAAGATTACACTGTAGGATAACACACCTTGCACTACATTACAAATGTGCATCCATGAAGGTTTAGGGGCTTCTAGTCTTGAAGGTTTACGCTTACGGGCTTTGAGATCACATCCAAAAATGCCCCCTTTGCAACAGGCGTCGTCGTCCAGCAGCCCGGTCTAGCCAAACACTCCAACAGCTAAACCCTAAACCTTACTCTGTGCCCTTTCCAAAACACTATCAGATCGACCCCAGGGTCAGTTTTCCGAAATATCTCCCTCCCACAACTTGTCAGAAGACCCTTTAAACCCTAAATCCTTGACCTTAAACCCTATAAACTCTATAAATCTGGTCCTAAACCCTAAACCCTAAAACCCTAAATCCTAAACCCTAAAACCCTAAAACCCTAAACCCTAAAACCCTAAACCCTAAACCCTAAAACCCTAAACCCTAAACCCTAAAACCCTAAACCCTAAATCCTAAACCCCAAACCCTTCGACACTGTGAAGCTCAAGGGCTCAAGGGCTCCCTGTATCGGCCTGTTCAGCGTGCTTTCCTGGGTCACCGAGTGAGATCCGATGTCCTTAATGGTTTAGGGTTTAGGGCTCAAGGGCCCATCCTGGATGGAACCTGAATATTAGGGTTTAGGGGTTTAGGGTTTAGGGGTTTAGGGTTTAGGGTTTAGGGGTTTAGGGTTTAGGGTTTAGGGGTTTAGGGTTTAGGGGCTGATGCAGGGTTGAGGCTTAAGGCCTTAGGTGGGAGGCTTAGTGTTGAAGGTTGCAAGTTTCGGCGCTCACACGAAGGTTGCAAGTTTAGGGTTTAGGAGTTTATGGTTTAGATTCATGGCTGGGGACGTTTAGGGGCTTGCTGGGTTTGAAGTCTAGGGCTCAGGCACTTGGGGAGGCCTCGGGCTCGAGGTTTATGACCTGATTCTTGGGGCGCTTCCGAACTGAAGATATGTGAACCCAGGGGAATAGTAGCCCTAAACCACTAAACCCTAAACCCTAAACCCTAAACCGTGGCTTTACTCGTTACAACTTAACGCTGCTAAGCTCAAGGCAACCACCCTAAGACCCTCAAACCTTAGAAGTTATGATGCCAAAAGCATTGTTGGGGGTCCGTTGCAATCTGCTGCACTACCTCTTGCCACTGAATCAAATGGGAGCTGCAGGGCTGAATTCTAGGGCTTGGGGTCTAGGGTCTAAGGTCCAGGGTGAGTTCTTGTCAATCAAGATTAGACTAAATGCTTGTCCTAGGCGATATATGTCAAACAACAACAGATCCTAGTGTTCCTTGTTGCGTTCACTTCTACCTGTCACTAAATGCTTTTGGTTTCCTTGTGGGGAGCCGGCGCAGTTGTAACAAAGGCGCCTTGATTGGGGTTCTTCAGGATCGGCTCCAAGTCCCACGTTAGCTTTCTACTTACTTGGAGGATCATGGGACTTAGTAAGTAAGGTTATAAGTAGGTTATACTTAGGATAACCCCACTTAGGGGACTTATAACCCCACTTATAACCTACTTACTAAGTCCCATGATCCTCCAAGTATCTTTAGTTAGAAAGGGAATGGAGGAATGGGATACAATTGTAACTACTATTACTACCATTCTTCCATTCCCTACTAACCAAAGGTAAGTCTAGGGGTCTAGGGCAAGTCGCCGGGCCGGGGTATTTCACGAATGGGTTCGAAGACGTTCTCCGGGACTCTTCAAATCGAAACCAGTAGACCTCTAAGAGGCTCAACCCTGCACCTGAAATCGAATCCTAAAACCCAAAAAGTCCCCACCCTACGTCCGACACCCGGAACTCAACCTAAGCCTCAGCCTCAAAAATGAAAGCGCCTAGCCTGAAACCCCAAGCCCCGGCCTGAACCCCGGGAGCACAACGCCCTTACCCTAAACCCTCGCCCCCCCTGAACCCTAAACTAGGCCCCCCCCCCAAAAAGCAAATAAGCAAAACTAAGGATAAGGATAATTATTTCATATAAACCCTCTTATAGTGAAGCCCGATACGGTAGGGATATCCCTATAACATACTTATGCTTATGTCCGTTTTGGGCCCCCCAAAACCCCTCGCTCTGACAGAAGCCTTTCAAGGGGGCCCGAGGCGCGAAGCCCTCGCCGCGCATCAGAAGATCCCAGGCGGTGCGGAGCTTCTTGTCCATCTCGAGTTCCTGGCCACTCTGCTTTGGGTTTAGGGTTTAGGGTTTAAGGTTTAGGGCTTAGGGCAAAGTCGGCGAACTTAGTAAGAGGTAGTAAGTGAATTAGAGTTCAAAGTACCCCCCAAAAAGGATCCTAGCTGGGGTTATGATACTTGAAACTCCGAACCCGAGCTGCTTAATTTCTTTGACCCTCCAAGTAAGGCCTTTTCTGAAGAGGTCGCTAGGGGCTCTACAAGGGTTGGAGAAACCCGCTCGGCAAGGGTTGTGTAAACGGCTTCAGAAGCGCTCAACAAAATCCCAAATGTGCTCTAAAAGAGTTCCTGCCTCGTCAGGGTGTGAAGGGTTCCAGGTATGGGGCTTGACAAGGATTGTGTCAAGATGTTGTAAACAAGCATTCAATAGTGGGGCCTAGGGTTTGGAGGTTGTGGCTTGCACTAAGAGCTCAAAAATGTGCGCTCAGTTCTGCTGGTCTCTGGAGGGTATTAGCTACATGTGCTTGATTGTTTTTCGTGGGTTTTGTACCGGATGAACTGCTACCCTGCTACTGCTACGGCTACTGCTACTTACGACCACGACGACCACTACTACGTCTTGGTTGCCCAAACCCGAAACCCCAAGCTCTCAAACTCACCCAAACCCTCAACCCTAAACTCCAAACACTGAACCTTCAAACCCCAAACCCTTTTGCAACTGGCCTGCTGCGACTCCGCCAGGACGAACACTGACCACAATCACATAGTGAGTAAACCCCAAACCCTAAAGCCCTAAACCCCCAAAGATAAGGCACGAGCTCCTCCACGGTATCCAGCTGCAAAGGATCCACAGAGCGCACGGCGCGGGCCATATCGGGGACCCATTCCATTTGCACGAAGACATTCCTGGCGTCGTTTTTTTTGGCATCCGGTCTGGGGAAGTCGGCCGGGAAAGTCATATTTCTCGCAAGATGTTTCATGAGAGGCAACAGGCTCTGACGTCTTTTCTTAAGAAAGGAGTTGAGGGTGTAATTCTGGTTCAGGCAGACAACCCGTTCCTGAAGCTTTCTCTTCGCCTAAACCCGCCCTGTGCAGCCCCAAGGCTTTCCAAACAAAAAATTGCAAACTGACCAATAATCAATGTATCATGCAATCGGAGCCGCAGGTAAAGAAAGGCCATCAACGCTGGAAAGCGAAACCAGCCAACGCTTGAGGTTGGACTCTCCCAAAACTCCAAGCTAGGCGCCCCGACTCAGTTCCCCAAACCCAATTCCCAAATGACCTTGCTAAGTAGGGGACCTGTGCAGAAAGCCTGCATGGTGTTCGAACCTTAAACCTCTTTGAGAATACATGGGTGGTTGTCAAAATTATGGCCCCTTTTTGGGTCCTTATTCTAATACGGCACCTAGCACTCAGGGTACCCAAAAAGGGACCCTAGTTTTGACAGCTTCCCACATGTCGTCTCTAAGTTGAAAATCAAGCTTGACCCTGATGCATGCAAAACTTCAGCCACCCTGAACCCGCGAATCCTGGGGCCGTAAACCCTAAAAGCCTAAAGCCCTAAACCCTACCCAAGTCGCTTGACTCTGCGGCATCCACTTGATTGAGGGTTGAACCCCGCCCTACATCCTAACACACTAAGCCCCGAAACCCTTGAACCCAACTACAAGCCCCACCCTAAACTCTAAACTCTTCACCCTGAAACCCTTTTTGAACCCAGGCTCTGATCCTCAGCTGGGAAATCGGCCACGCCCTAAACCCTAAACCCTAAACCCCATACCCTAAACCCCCAGTCCAAGTCGCTTGACTCTGCGGAAGCCACTCCACTGAGGGTTGAACCAGTTCGTTGAGATGCGCGCCTCCTCGGGCCTGGGCTGCTGGGCTTTGCAGAAGGCTCGAGGGGCTTCTTTGGGTTTAGGGCTTAGGGGTTTAGGGTGTAGGGCTTAGGGGTTTAGGGTTTAGGGCTTATTTAGGGTTTAGGGCTTAGGGGTTTAGGGTGTAGGGATAGAGGTTTAGGGGTTTAGGGTTTGGGGTTCAGCAGGGTTGGGGTTCCAGTGTATAGGGGTTTAGCTCCAGAGTTCAGGGGTTCATAAGGTTTCGTTCGGGGGTTTAGGGTTTTCAGAGGGTTGGGGTTTAGGGTGTCGGGCTATGGGGTTTAGGGCTTTGGGGGTTTAGGGCTTAGGGCTTTAGGGTTTTAGGGTGTTGGGGTTCAGGGTTTAAGGGGTTGGGGTTTTTGGGTTCATAAGGCTTAGGGTTTAGGGGCTCCAGGGTTTAGGGGGGTTCACAAGGCTTCCGTAAGCCAAAACCCTGAACCCCCTGCTTTTTCAAGCCCTAGGGGGGTTCAGGGTTTCAGGTTTCAGGGGCTCACAACTTAGTTGCTGAGTTCATTAGCCCCAAAAAAGCTACACTTTCAGTTTTATAGTGGGTAATCTTATCCCAAAAAATGTGTAAAGTGTATCCACTCAGCTACTAGGATAAGGTTGGCTCTTCTCCGACCTTTGCCCCTCCTGCCAAGAGGGACAGAAAGGAGGAACCCGTCGAGGCTGCGAGGCTTCCTGAAGCAGTATACCCGAAACCCTAAACCCTTTTCTTCTAGGCTACCTACACCCTAAACCTTGTTTCCTTAAGCCCTAAGGGGCTTAGGGTTTAGGGTTTAGGGTTTAGGGCTTTAGCGGTTCACGAGGTTTCCTTCATCCCTACACCCGAAACCCTAAACCCATCCCCCAGAGACTCCAATATTCCTTAATTAAGGAATATACCTTAAATTATAGTAGGATCCCTAATATGATTTAAGGTATATTCCTTAATTAAGGAATATTGGAGTCTCTGGGCCTGAGCCCCGGGCAGGTTGTCCAAGGGCCGGCGCTTCCAGAGCTTGAAGCGCTGGGCTTCATAGAACTGCTTGGCCTTCTCCTGGGAGGGTTTAGGGTTTAGGGTTTAGGGTTTAGGCCCCAACATAGTACCCGAAAAAGGAGGATCCTTCGATTGGGGTACTCCAGAATAATGTACCCCTTATGTTCGGAAATTCCCTCCTGAAGCCACAAAGGTGTACCAGGAACCTACCAAGGGCCCTTTAGTAGAGCCCTTACGGTTCCTTAATGGTGGATATTTGGGGTAGAATGAAGGCTTCTTAGTTCCTGAGTAGCCCCTTTATAGTAAGGGCACCCCTTTTTTCCTAAATTCAGGTTTAAGAAATCTATGTCTAGAGCGTAGCAAATCTTGGGGCTCAGGTTCTGGGCCTTCTGGCGGCCCTTTCTGGAGGGTTTAGGGTATATCGAAGGGGAAAAGGAGGGACCCTTACTGGGGACCCCTACCCTATAATGGGCTATATAATGGGTATATAATAGCTACATTAAGCGTATATACCTGGGGGTCCTTATTAAGGGTCCCTCCTTTTACCCTTTGGGTTTTGGAACCCTTTCAGTTCCGGATCCGATTTTCGGGTTTGAGATTGGTTTCTGCGCAATACTTTCGGTTTAGGGTTTATAGGGTTTAGGGTTTAGGGTTTAGGGCTTAGGGCTTAGGGTTTAGGGTTTAGGGGGGTTTAGGGTTGCACACTCTTGGCCCATGATCAGCTCTTGTGTTGGCTGGTGCCTGGCTCCTCAAAACTTGTCCCCGAATGGGTCCATGGACCCACATAGCCAGAACGGGTGAACTTGAACGCAAGCCTAACCCCCGAACCCCTAAACCCCCTAAACCTGAAACCCGATGGGTCTTTTCGAGCGTAAGGTTCGTTTCTTCTAGATGCTGACACTCAAAACGTGCCATGACATGCCGTGAACCTTATAAGTAGGATTGAATCTTTGTTGCGTGCCCGATCTTACCCCCGAGGCGAATTAATCCGTCCCGCCTGAACCCCAAACCCTGAACCCTAGACCCTAAACCCGAAACTCTTAAATCAAACCCCTATATAAACCCTAAACCGCAAAGCCCTTTTGCAACAGGCTTCGACTTCGCCCGGAGTTAGACACAAGCAGCTCTGGCAGCTTTACAACCGCAAAGCCCTAAACCCTAAACTAAACCACTGTAAGGCGTCCTCGGACTGGAGTGTGGCCAAAGGCCAACTCTCGGGCTCCTCGTAGTCGCTTGGCTTTTCATTCAGGGTTTGGCCGGTTTCCGGTAAAGTTTAGGATTTAGGGTTTAGATTTAGGATTCAGGAGTGTAGCGATGCATACTGTATCACGGCTCGGGGTGAAGAGCTTTGGGGGGTTGCCCCTTTTCAGGACTATCAGGATTCAGGCGTCAGCGCTACTCTACCAGGGCCAAGGGTCCATTTTTCGGCTGCTGAGTTTTCCGCTTGCGTTTATCACTGGTGCTTCTTCCGTGGTTCACAGCGCTCGGGTTTGGGATGTTGGGCTTGGTTCAGTGGTGGCTTAAACAGTTCAACCCTACAAAACCCAAACCGCCAACTAACCCCGTAAACCCTAAACCCTTTGAAACTCTGAACCGCAACCAACCCTTCAACTTCACCCCTAAACCCTTGAAAACCCTGAACACCAGCTAACTCCCCTAGCCCTAACCCCGAAACCCGCTAAAACCCTGACCCCGAACTCCCTGAAACGCAAAACTGCCGCATCAACCCAAAACCTGAGGAACCCAACGTCAGACTCAAACTATGGTTATTATTGTGGTAACTCTACTTATAATTACTTATAACACCAACTAAGGGACTTATAACTATAGTTACTAAGTCATTTTCGCAAGAGGCACCTCATCATCTCGACAGTGCATCAGATCCACAAACCTCAGCTGTGACGGTTTGGTGTTTCAGGGCTTAGGGTTTAGGCTTTCGGGCTTTGGCGTTCACGGTTTAGCTTTGTTTGGGATCCAGGGATTTATGTTGTTGTTGTTGTTGTTGTTGTTGTTGTTGTTGTTGTTGGTACCCAGTCTCGGCACTGAAATCAGAGCCTCGTCTACAAATATACACCGTAGCAAACCCTACGTTTCGGAAAGAATGCTAATAGTTCCACGTTACTCTCGGCACCTGCGGGTCTATCACGGGTGTTCGGGTCATTGGCTTCGTCTTCCAGCCCTGGCCGACACATCATCACAGCTGTTTCATAGACTTGTCCCTCTACGGCGTATACCCAATCTGCAATTTCGCGAAGCATAAAACACAGCCAAATAGACGCCGTTACATGCCGTTGCCGGGTCTGAAGATGTCTGAAGTGGGGTCTAACCAGACAGGGGCGCAGTTCATGCTGACACCATGAACCACTCCCCAACCATCTAATGGGTAGTTATGTATCACGATTCTGAACCAAAACACTGTGTAAACTATCCGCTGGAATCCTAGAAATGCCCCGGGCATCGGGTGAAGCTCTCCCAGCAAGAGGCTTCGCTATCGGGAGGGTCGGAGGCATGACTGCAACGATTGACTAGATGTCAGCGACGAAGCTATCGGGACGGGGTGAGTCACTTCAACAGCAGGACCATAAGACTGACGTCGAAGATTATGAGCAGGAGCCCTACACCCTAAAACCCTAAACACTAAAACCCAAACCCTAAAGAAACCGTGTCAGGAGCCCTGCAGGAAGCCGCGTAAGATAGATTGGATTGGAAACCCTCATGTAGCGGCCTTAATAATTAGAATAGGGTTTTGTTGGGGGGGGGTATATTATAACATGCTTATAATAAAGAACCCCCAAAACCTTATTCAGATTCTTGAGGCCCCTACGTTATACTAGTTTTGGATCGGGGGACTGGACAGTTACTTGACGACAACTGGCTGCGGAGAACTTGGCGCTTTCGGTGGGGAGCGAAGACAGTATTTACAACTCTTACATTAAGAAGCTACGACAGCGCTAGCTTCTCTCTTTTCAAGGATCGACGGTTCTTCAGCGCACGCTGGCATACTAGTACACTTTAGGGCTTGTGGCAAAGCAATGTGCAGATAAAACAAAAACAAATTACGAATTTAGCCTTGCCTGCACACGAATTGGCCTGAAATCACCTAGCCATGCAACAAAATGGACCTCCCACTTCGAGCATTCAGCAGTACTGTCTGTGACCTGGCCTGCTACACTGACCCCTCACTTCTGGGTTTGAGGCTTAGCGTGCGGCCAAGCAGCTTCTCGATCTCGATTTCCTGCTCTTTCTCCTCCTCTTGCTCTTGCTCCTGTTGCCTCTCCTGCTCCTGCTCTCTCCTGAGATGTGAGGCATGCTCAAATCCAAAAGTCTAAACCCAAACCCTAAACCCTGGGGTATAGTGTAAAACTTAACGTAGATTCCCGAATCTAGTGGTTAAGATTCAAAGGGTCGCCATAGTGGGTTTTGGAGTGCCGCAGAAATTTTAGGCTTGAGGCTCGCGTCGCCAACTGACCGACAACGTTGGGGTTTAGGGTTCAGGGCTGGATTTCCTGAGCGTCCATCTTGTCTACTACCTATCGGGCATCGGTAAGCATTATAGTTTCGTTCAGAAGTTCCAAGCTTTTGGAGGGATGGGATTGAAAGGAGGCCCTAAACTGTAAACCCTAAACCTCGAAATCCCAAAACTCTTTAAAGAAGGTCGGCTTTCGAATGAGGGATGTTTAGGAGGAGGAGGAGGAGAAGGAGGAGGAGGAGGAGGAGGAGGAGGGGGAGGAGTGCATTCGTAGGGCCAAAAGCATCCTACCACTCAAGGTCTCAGCCTAAACTAAATGCTCCCCATTTTCTGTATCGTTGGCACTTTAAGTGCATAGTGTACGTACGGGCCTTAATATTTAGAATAGGGTCTCTCTCTCTCTCTCTCGCGGACTCAGATGTCCGTCAGCCGCCCGGTTGCCCAGCACTTGACCAGGCACCGAAGAACTACTACTCCACGGGAACCCGTTATGCCATAAATATAGTAAGGAACCCGCAAAATAGTATAGGTAATTATTCAGGCCTCTACATTAGTCTCGCAGGAGGAATAAAGTCCAGGACGAAACAGGTAAACTGAATAGGCAAACGAGGTGTTTTTACTAGGCCGTGTTGGCATCTACACAAAACACGATCTAAACCATAGGATCCTGATTAAAAAGACCTCCTCAAAAAAACCCTCATATCTTACTCACATGGAAGTTTCCGAAAGTTAGGGGAGTCCTTCTAATAAGTATCCTACTATTTAGGGTACTCTATTAGGGCCTTTGTCATGGCTTGCCGGGTTCTGGCTTTCAGCGGGAACCCTCAGCCCTATCTGAAGTCAAGGACAAACTTTAATCCAGCCCTCATCTTTCTGAATTTGCAGCTGCCACACCTGGGTTCAGCGCGGATACTCATGTTAAGCGCCCCCGGAAGCAACGAACGGGTACAGCTAACTGCAAGAAACCCTCACCAAAAAAAAGTTCAACCCACCCCCCAAATAAAGAAGCCCAATCACTAAACTCGAGCCCCTACCCCCTCGTTAAACCCTCAGACCCTTTCACTCTCTAGAATTTTAACCCCTAAAAACCCTTGAAACCCCAAACCCTTTTAAACTTTAAACCCTTAAACCCACAGACCAAAAAGCCCTCAACACCTAAACCCTTAAACACTGAAACCCTAAACTCTGTTAGACCCCTAAACCCTCAAACCCTAAACCCAGCTAAACCCCTAAACCCTCAAATCCTTAACTCTGGTAAACCCCAAACCCTCAAACCCTAAACCCAGCTAAACCCCTAAACCCTCAAACCCTGAAGCCCCAAGCCAAGCCCAGGTGCTGTTGTTCCGTTTCAAGGCCAGCTTCCCCCTCCTTCCTCGGCACGGTTTAGGCTTTATAGGTTTTATAGGTTTAGGGTTTCAGGCTTAGGGCTTCTTTTAGGCGTTATAGGTGTTATAGGTTTAGGGTTTTAGGGCTTAGTTTCTTTCCCTCCTACTTAGCAAGGACGAATTTAGGTTTTATAGGTTTAGGGTTTAGGGCTTAAGGTGTTTTTCCCTCCTACTTTGCAAGGCCAAAGCCGGCATTGCAGGGAAGTTCGGGTAACAATCTTAGGCTTACATTAAGCCGGAAAAACCTACCTTTTTAAGGACTTATATAAGGAAATCATAGTAAGGAACCCTAAAAAGCTAGGTTATTACGGCTTAAGGTAGGGTCAAGGCTTCGTTTCAAGGTTCTGTAAGTTCTGGAAAATAAGGGGTTCTAGGGGTTCGGAGTTCAGACTTAGGATTTGAGGTGTAAGGCATTTAGGACCGTTTAGGGTTTTACACTGAGGCTTTTTAAGACCCATGGGCCTTATCCTGTTCGATCCCTGCCCTAACCCGTAAAAATCCTACTTGAAGGCTCGCGATTTGCGAGGAGTTATACATAAAACTATTACTATGCACTGAAACTGGGTGGTGCAAGTCTGTAAACCTGTGGTTTCCTGCATATCTTTCATACATGTAGCTTGTAGCTGTTGTTGAGCCCATGACTCCTGAAGTATGGACAAGGGCGGGCTCAATGCATTTTGGATCACAGCTCAGGGTTTCGGACAATCCAGGGTTTATGACCTAGATAGAGTCTATCTACCCTGAAGCAGAGACTGCTGGGAACTGTGGGTAAGCTCAGGGCTTTGGGATTGCCACCCTCCGGCTACAGGCGGGTTGAGAATGCTTGGGGTGGGGTGTAGGCTTTCTTAGTTGCTGAGTTCACAAGCCCCCCAAAAGTGTACACTTTCAGTTTTATGGTGGATAATATTATCCCAAAACATGTAAAGTGTATCCACTCAGCTGCTAAGCTTTCGTGTCGCACACTTGCTCAAGGCAGGCACGGATGGGCTTCAGGGCTCCAACTGTAGGGTTATAGGCCTAAAACCCAAAAACCCCAGACCCTAAACCCCCTAAACCCTAAACCCTACAGATCCCTTATGGATCTGATTAAGTTAAAGGAACCCTAAACCCCTTAGGCTTGTAGGCCTTCGGAAAGCAGATGTCGTGGGGCCCCTTGTTGTCTCTTCTGCCAGTGCACATCCCATGAGGTCACGATTCTTGCGAAGGCAGGAAGGGCTGCAGCTTGCAATTCAAATCATCGTCCAGAGGTTTTACGGTTGGGGGTGGATGGTGTTGGTGATGCTGTTGCTGACGGTGGTCGTAAGCCATAATTGCCTACAGCCTGGTACTGATTGCCACCAGCACTTCCACGACGACGACGACGACGGCTGCTACTGCCACTGGTACTACTCTTTCCACTGCTGTCACTGCCTCGCCCATTATTCCCGACAACCAAGTTGAGCAGAGCCTGTTCCTGACCCCGCATTAGGATTTAGTCTCAGTGAGCAAGAGCAGTAAACTAATGTCTAGAACGCGTGATTGACAATACGGCACACTGCAATATATACATCATGTAATGTCATACGGCTACACGATGAGGCAGGCTACAGGCGTAACAATGAGTAACTATGAGTAACTCGACTTGAGTTGTATGTGATTTGTGTCCGTATGGGCCGTCGTGCCATGAGCCAACTCGATGATGGCGCAGAACGGACGGGCCCAGCAATGCTGCAACCCTGGTGTGCCTCAATGCAGGCAGGCATGCCTTGTGAGCGATAAATTTTTGCGTCTGTGCCAGGGGCGGGTGACGAGGCAGAAAAAACACACTTCACGCAATAATAAGCAGGACTGTGGAAAAGCGTAGTTTCTAATGCAGCCAATGCTGAACAAAACTGAGCTAATTGATCCAGCAAGACAAAAGCAACTGCCTGCTTCGTCTCCGGCCACTATGGTGAAGAATCATTCATGCTTGGTTGCCGCACCAGCAACTGCAGCTGTGCACCAACCACACAGCTGGCTTCAGGCACCTCAATATTAACATCGCATCACTCAGCAGCATCCAAGCACAACCACTGCACAATGAGCAGTCACTCAGTCGAGCGCAGGAGGAAAATGGAAGGTAGGAATGTGTATCAGATCGGACCGCCATTTCGCGAGAAAGCGGCAGCACCCTCGATCAGTTTAAGAAGAAGAAGAAGAAACATTTGAGCCATGCACATGTGGAAACCCCCGGCATTGATCTCGACTGGAAGTGGTGGAGGCTTCGGTTCGTTCGGGTTCGGGTTCAGGTTCCCGCACATTTCACGTACGGGGGAATCGGCGCAGGAAGGTTCGGGTTCGGGTTGCGAGGCCTCTGCTTGTGGACGGGAGGGAGGGGGGGGTGCTGAAGGCTGCAGCACGATTCGGTGCGGAGGTTCTGGTTTGGCTTCCTGCTTCTTGTTTGAGAGGGGCTGGTGGAGGCGGTTCCGGGTTCATGAACCCTAGGTTCGGAGGTCCCTGCCTTCTTTGCACTGAAGCGACAAGGGGGGTGGAGGTAACGCTTCGGGTTCGGCACTAACTCGAAACTCTAAACCCTGAATTCCGACTAGCTTCATGAAGCCCTAGATCCTAAACGAAATTCCAGCCAAGATTGCACTGCTAGGTCCCGGCATGTATTCTGCATGACTCATTGAAACATAGAAACGAAGGAATGTGAATTTGGAGCTTCAGAACGACAGGCTCTCTCGTAGAGACCCGGTTTAGGGTTTAGGGAGTTTAGGGATTTTGGGGGATAGTACCGCAAACTACTCTACTCATACTTGTCCAGCGGCTACTGAGTACTGTTTATTTCTGAAGCTCCTCATTTGAACATGCCGCTAGCTGCTCATCGAGCTCTTTGCGACACACTTGAAAGATTGAAATCTTGAAAGCTACTATAGGGGCTTAAACCATCACCAATACAAATGTGGGGTTCCTTGTTATGACTATAGTATAACATACCATAAAACCCTATTCTAGTTATTAGGGCCCCTCTTTTACAGGGTCAAGGTTGGTGGTTTAGGGGGTCACCGCGCGCTCTTCAAGCATCACCGTCCATTTCTTGGCAACGGCTCCATTCCACTCAGCTTTCTCCTGGCCGCGACTTCGTCTTGCAGCCAGTTCGGCGCCTTGAAAACGGAGTTTCGAAATCTGTCGAGATTCTTCAGATGCTGTTTGTGGAGCTCCTGATCCGGGGCGACAATGGTGCCCTGGGGCAGATCCTTCGCGCGCTCTCGCACGCTTGGCATGTTCCAAGAACTCTCGACTTCTGATGGCTCGGTAAACTCCAAGAGAACGGGCCCCTCTTTGATGATCCCTCGGAGGCGCGCCGGGACATGGACCGCGACGGAGCCGCCATCCTTAGTGCCCGGAGTGTCGGCCCCAGAGAAGGAACTTACACCCTCAGTTGCGTGAGGCAGCATGTAGCACGAATGTTGCGAGGACACCTGCTGTGGGCGCGGTGTGGTGACATTTGTCGCCTTGCATCCCACGGCCCGCTGCTCAACAACTTTTCCCATGTGGACCTGCATTTCCAGCTCATCAAACGAGTTAACTTGCATGGACGAGCCACATCCCATGGCTGGAAGCTGCAATGAACCACCGGTTGCAACTCACAGCCGAAACTGCAGCATTTCACCTGCCCGGATCCCTCCAAAGGCCTGAGGTACCTCAATACTGGTGTCCTACAGCCTGAAAACTACATTCAGCAAATTTTGCTGGCCCGCAGGCTGAGGGCTTAGAGACGTCGAGACTTACCTGATGCTGGATGGAGGGATTGCTGTATACGTGAACCCCGAATGGCCTGCCTTTTCCAGGATCTATATGAAGAATTTCAGAATAATAGGCCTCCCCAAACAAGGGATTTTTTCTGGGGCCCAGGTAGGGTGGGTCAATCATGTGGTGGTACGGGACATCAAGGCTATGTGGAAACGACCGTGGAAACAGCCCTTCACCATGTCTCAGAGCCCCATGTGCAAGCTGAAGGGATACTGCTGTCAAGTGGCGAGTCCCAATTGTACTATGGTCACTGTGCTCGAGAAAAACTCAGAAACATCCACGTGCTGTCCTGAATGCATCGTGGCTGCTGCCTGTATGTATGGAAGGTGGGCGGCCTCCAAATCTAAATCCCTTATACCGTAAACCCTAAACCGAGCATGTCTGTGGCCTGGTGACCGAAATATTAGGAAAGGACAGTGTTACAGGCTTCGGCGACTACCGTTTCGGGTTGCAACTGTCTCAGGGTTTTTGAGGCTACCTGAGCTGGTCATGTACTCAAACAAAACTGCCGCTGTTTCCTTTTCACCCCCTGCATCTAAGGTAAGACAACGTCCATTTCCGGGATTGGTAGAAACATGCAGCCAGTCACAACCGTGCTCTTGTTCCAAAAAAAGGAACACTCAAGGGGGTCTGAAAGTGTTGACAAGTTGAAGCCCAGAATCTCATCGGCGAGCTTTGACAGCTCCTGGACATTTGTCTTGACCTGCGAGGTATTTTCTATGTAAATACCACGAACTGTATGACACTCTGTATGGACCTTGACCACAAGCATCGTGCTTCCGTCCCGAAGCCACTGCTTGAACTGTCGCTGCACGATGCTCGCAGGGCAGCGCAAGTTTAACCAATCCAGTGATTATCCCCAGCCCTGAACCCCAAATCCTAACACCTCCGGCCTCGGATACCGCAAGAACCCTTATAGATCCCGCAAAGGAACCCTACAGTATGGTAACTTAAGTTAAATACCTTAAAGCCTATCACCTCCGGCCTCGGACACCGCATCCTGGTCATCTTGATCTGCGATGAGCGCAGACATCTGCTGGACGCGATCCTCGACTACCTGGCCGTCCGAAAGGTTAAGACATCCCCTTCGATACTATCGCGGTTCTATAAGGGTTACCATCATCACTGTGAGGGTGCTACACGGGCTAATGTAAGAAGCGTTCTCAAGAAGTAGGGCTTGTTTGGGGCGGGTTTTCGCGTTACCCGAAACCCTAAACTTTAAACCCTAAACCCTAAACCCCTGAACCCTAAAGTTTACTGCTCAAGGAGCTCCCCCACTCATATCCGCACAAGACAAGCAAGAAGTTTAGGGTTTAGGGTCATATCTGCACAAGAAAAGCAAGAAGTCCAAGTTCAATTGGCCTCCAAGGAAGCATAATCCTCTGCCTTTCCCCTCTCCCCATTATCCCCCTAAGGTATGAATACGGCCCCAACCTAAACCCTAAGCCCTAAACAAACAAAATATTGCTCTGTTGCTTCCTCTTTCAAGTTCAGACTCCAAGACCCTGAGGGGTACACCTCACGATCTGAACAAAACTAACAAGCCTAAACCGGGGTTTAGGGCTAACAGGGTCCGGGATTTAACGTTTAAGGTTAAGAGGGTCTGGAGCGTAGGGTTTAGGGTTAAGAGCGTCCGCCCTTCCGCCTCGTGCACACCCCTTGGGCGCGGCACACCGCTAGGCAATGTAAAAGCAATTGGCTCCTTCGAAGGTTTCATAACCCTAAGGGTCCATGTACTCATATAGTATATACACTGGCCTTAATGTAGTCCCTATTTGGGTACTTTGGGGCCCATGTATCTCTATATGGGTACATGGACCCTTAGGGTAAGGGTTACAGTAGGGCTCAGGAGTTTGGGCCTCACAAGGGTTCCTTTCGGGGGTTCTTTGAGGGAGCTCCATTCGGGTCTTCGGGCTGCGGATTAAACGGTTTAGGGTTTAGGGTTTAGGGTTTAGGGTTCCTGGAAGGTTTCTCTATGGGATTTAGAGTTTTCGGGTTTCAGGGTTCCGTATTATGCAATTTTAGAGTCAAGCTGGTTTTTGTTGCTTACTTAAGGTTTGGTGTGATCTGGAGCTTGGTTGGGGTTGCAAGGTTTCCCCCCGAGAAAGTAATAGCAGTCTGTAAGAGGTCTACGATTAAGGGCCTTATACAGCTTAAATTCTATTCTGCTGTTGCGGGGTGGGGCAGTATCCAACCTCAAACCCAACAACCCTCAAAGGAACTCCAAAATCTTAAACCTCCCGGAAGGGCCGTCCTTGAAGACCTGCACAGCCTCTTTGAGGCCTCAGCGGTGCTCCATGCTAACCGGCGGGCTCTTATGTTTTACGTGCGTCTGACCTGCGCTTCATCCAAAGCCATACGGGCCCCTGCTTGATGGGTTTGAGGTTTGGGGTCTTGCCATTTTCGGATAAAATACAGCTTCAGAACCCTGCATGGTTCAGGGTTTATATATTTTAGAGCGTAAGCCTATGATATTTGCTCCAGGTCAAGAAATACTGTTCTACCCCAAAGCCTCAGAATCTCTAAGAAGGTCATCTATAGGGGCCTTAATAAGTAGAATAGGGTTTTGGTGTATATTATACTATCTTTATAATAAGGAACCCCCGAAATGGAAATGGTATTGATCATTATGTAGGCTTCTAGTCTAGTTCATTGTTGGGGTAGTATTAAAAGATTTGCGTTTTTATTCCTTATTGGGTTTAAGTACCCATAAACATGTAAAACGTTACCCAACTATGACAAAGCAACCCTAAACCGGCAAATACTAACCCTAAACCGGGAAATACTCTACTACTCGAAGGCCTAAGAATCTCCAAGAAGGTACCTAAACCCTTTTTGCAGCAGGCCTCGTTGTCCAGCAGCCCGGTTACAGCAAGAGCCCCCCCCCCTTTCCCCCGCATATCAGATAGTGTCGTCGCGCGTGTCAGCTCGACTCCTCTCCTTGCTTTGAAGGTACCTTTGACACCTGGACTATGCATATGCCAGGAACCGAGCGGGCTCGTGCCACACGGCTACCCCAGATTGCAAAAACTGATCAACTGGTCATCCCCCTTGAAGGTACCTAAACCCTAAACCCTAAACCGGGTAGTCTTGGCTCCCCTGCCATCTGCCGTCACCGCCTCGAAGTCGGACATCACGCTCTTGAAGGCATTGCGGCGCCTCGGATTGGGCTGAGGGGTTTAGGGGTTAGGGGTTCAGGGGTCAGGGTTTAGGCCTTAGGGGCCCAGAGAGCCCAACATCCCTTAATTAAGGAATAATCCTTACAACATCTTAGGGGTTCTACTATAACTAGTTTAAGCTATATTCCGTAGTTCAGGCGTATTGGGCTTTCTGGGTGGGTGAGTAGGGCTTTCCGGGCTGATGGCTGTTCAGGCTTTATGTTGAAAGGGTGAACATAACTCTAGCCCCTCTCTCTCTCGCTCTCTCTCTCTCTCTTTTTCTCTCTCTCTCTCTCTCTCTCTCTCTCTCTCTCTCTCTCTCTCTCTCTCTCTCTCTCTCTCTCTCTCTCTCTCTCTCTCTCTCTCTCTCTCTCTCTCTCTCTCTCTCTCTATGTATGTATATATTGCAATCAAAATAAGGAACCTTGAAAATAGTATAGGTACTTATTAAGGCCCCTATATTACGGTTTTAGGGCTGGCGGCCCCAAGCTTTTTTGGGTTGAGGGCATGGTTGGATTTTAAGGTGAGGCACCAAACATTCGCGGCTTAGGGTTTAGGGTGGGTTTAGGGTTTATGGTGGGTTTAGGGCTTGGGGTTTAGATGGTTGGATTTTAAGGTGAGGCACCAAACATTCGCCAGGTTCTGCAGCTGTAGCATCGCGAACTGGATGCCTTGGGGGGCGGCTTTCGGGGGCTCCTGTTGCTTTAAGGTTTCCGACACTCACGCCCCGGACTGAGTTTACTTGGGGCCGGCAGGGGTTTAGAAACATGCAGGGGACCTTGACGAACTTGCAGATTCCTATACAAACTGTAGTTCAAAGATCTTTGGAACAAGAACTAGGCGGTGCTCATTTTCGGAAAACGGTCAAACCTTTGTATAAGAGAGCTCAACTTGAAAAGCTACAAGCTTACCTCGAGCCCCAAATTTTCAAAGCACTATGCCATGAGAGTTTAAGCCTGCAGATGCGCACAACATTCGGATAGCTGCGGACGTCGTTTCAGGTTGCCAAACCTGCGCCCACCGTAGACCCTAAACCCTAAACCCCAAACCCTAAATCCTGCAGATCCCTTAAAGGAACCGTCACTTAAACATCCAAACCCTAAACCCTGTAGATCCCTTAAAGGAACCCCCTCAACTGTTTCGACTTTTGGGGTTCCATGAAACCTCATGAAATACCCTGGAACCTTTGCAACAAAGCCTGAAATTTTGAGCTCCATCCCCATAACCGATCCTTATAACAGTAAAGATCAGCATGGCCTTTAAAAAACCCGTTTCAGAAGAAGCCGTGTCCCGATGAAAAGCTTAAGGCGTTACAAGCCCTCGAGGCTATTTAGGATTTAGGTCACTTAAAACGTGAAGCATCTGAATCGCAAAGAAATTTGGCTTTCCAACCACGAGGGCACCGCACAGAACCGTTGCACAAGCGAAAATCTTACAGAGGCTAGTCGCATCTTCAAACAAGAATATAGACCGCTTCAAAATGCAAGTGTGGCACCCGTAGAATCAAGTTGAACCCTTTAACACACTATAATACCATCTAAAGCTCAGAAAAGAAAACCTTGTAAAGACCGGGAGGTCAGACCTAACCCCCCTTTAACCTAAACCCCCAAATTCCAACCAAACCCATAACCCTAAACCCTGTCAATCCCTTAAAGGAACCCTATACCCTAACCTCCAAAGCCAAAAGCCTAAACCCTGTAGATCCCTTAAAGGAACCCTATACCCTAAACTCCAAAGCCAAAAGCCTAAACCCTGTAGATCCCTTAAAGGAACCCTATACCCTAAACTCCAAAGCCAAAACCCTAAACCCTGTAGATCCCTTAAAGGAACCCTATACCCTAAACTCCAAACCCCCAACCCTAAACCCTGTTTTCTTAAAGGAACCCTATACCCTAAACTCCAAAGCCAAAACCCTAAACCCTGTAGATCCCTTAAAGGAACCCTATACCCTAAACTCCAAACCCCAAACCCTAAACCCTGTTTTCTTAAAGGAACCCTATACCCTAAACTCCAAAGCCAAAACCCTAAACCCTGTAGATCCCTTAAAGGAACCCTATACCCTAAACTCCAAACCCCAAACCCTGTTTTCTTAAAGGAACCCTATACCCTAAACTCCAAAGCCAAAACCCTAAACCCTGTAGATCCCTTAAAGGAACCCTATACCCTTAAAAGGAACCCTATACCCTAAACCCCAAACCCTAAACCCTGTTTTCTTAAAGGAACCCTATACCCTAAACTCCAAAGCCAAAACCCTAAACCCTGTAGATCCCTTAAAGGAACCCTATACCCTAAACTCCAAACCCCAAACCCTGTTTTCTTAAAGGAACCCTATACCCTAAACTCCAAAGCCAAAACCCTGAACCCTGTAGATCCCTTAAAGGAACCCTATACCCTAAACTCCAAACCCCAAACCCTAAACCCTGCTTTCTTAAAGGAACCCTATACCCTAAACTCCAAAGCCAAAACCCTAAACCCTGTAGATCCCTTAAAGGAACCCTATACCCTAAACCCCAAACCCTAAACCCTGTTTTCTTAAAGGAACCCTATACCCTAAACTCCAAAGCCAAAACCCTAAACCCTGTAAGATCCCTTAAAGGAACCCTATACCCTAAACTCCAAAGCCAAAACCCTAAACCCTGTAGATCCCTTAAAGGAACCCTATACCCTAAACCCCAAACCCTAAACCCTGTTTTCTTAAAGGAACCCTATACCCTAAACTCCAAAGCCAAAACCCTAAACCCTGTAGATCCCTTAAAGGAACCCTATACCCTAAACTCCAAAGCCAAAACCCTAAACCCTGTAGATCCCTTAAAGGAACCCTATACCCTAAACTCCAAACCCCAAACCCTAAACCCTGTTTTCTTAAAGGAACCCTATACCCTAAACTCCAAAGCCAAAACCCTAAACCCTGTAGATCCCTTAAAGGAACCGAAAAGCTCCCCTTAAAACCGTACTCCAGACCAGAGCTGCGCTCGGTGCGGATGGAGTTCACCAGAAGCCATGCGGCCACGGCCAAGAGCCTCAGTCGATTCGACACCCGTTTTACTACTGCCTGTGCTGCTGGAAAGGTTTACCTTAATCCTGAATAACCCACCCTTTTTCGAGTTCCCTATTATGATTTCCTTATATAAGTCCTCAGGAAGGTAGGTTCTTCAGGGTTAAGGTAGGGTTTAGAACCTTACATGCCGCGTTAAACGTCCTCGATCCTGAAAGCCCTTCGTGTCGGGGAGCCTCCCTTTCTCGGATTTGGTCCAGGGCTCCTCACACACAAAAGGACAGGTCGCAGGTTTAACGTAGAGCGTTTCGGGTTCAGAGTTTAGGGTTATAATGGGCTGTAAAGGGTTACAGGGTGTAGGGTTCAGCGTATGAGGGTTAGGCATATAGAGTACTCGTAAGTTTCGGTCTTGGGAGTCTGCGCACGAGCTTAGCGGATCAACAATCCTCAGGGCTGTTGAAAATGTTTCTGTGGTGTCTTATGTTGTTCTCTTCATATCGGGGACGTATTCAAGTATACATACAGTGGCCACCATAGAGGAACTAGGTCTAGGATTCGGTGTAGGGTTTCGCGCTTTCAGCGTTTCTGAGTGCTGGAATTCGTTGGATTTTGCAAGCTTTTCAAAGTGGCTGTCAAGATCATGACCCCTTTCCTAACTCCTTTTAAACCCCGTCCAAAAAGTAACCCTAAACCTTAAACCTTACAGGTTTTAGGGTTTAGGAGTCACTCTTTTGTGGCCTCCTATGAGTCACTTTTCACAGGGCGTCGCAGGTCTCCCTGCGTCGCTGAACCCTCGTCGCTAAGCCGTAGGCCATATGCAACCTTATCGGCTTACCTGGGACCTGGGATTCCGGGTTTATGAATCCCAAAGCATTCCTGAACCGGCCCAAACCCTATCATTCCCAAACCCAACAGGGTTTAGGATTTGGAAGCTCTCACCTGCTCCACCTCTGCCTCTGAAACGCTTCGGCTTGTTGGACTTGTCATGATCCATCTTGGCAGCTCTTGCACGCTTGGAGACGGGAGCAGAAGGCTTCGCCTTGACATTCTCCGTCTCGGTTCTTGGACGCTTTGAGACGGGAGCAGAAGCTGTCCCACGACCTCTGCTTCTGCCACGCTGGCTTGCCTCTGCTTCCTTGCCATTGAGAAGCTGCTGCAGCTTATACTGCTCGTATGCCCCCTGCTCGACACTATAATGCTGCCTGTACACCTCGTTCTGCTCTGCGGTCAGCCGTCGCCACTTTTACGGTGGCGGAGCCTGTTCCTGCTTCCTCGGCAAGTGTGGTTCGGTGCTCCTTCACAAAGAGCCCGTAAGCTCCCCCCACTGGCTTCTTCATCATTGCATCTACCGTGGCTATCACAAGACCATGAGTTTAGAATTGCAAACTAAAAGCCGCTGAATGATTTGGGGACTTCACTGACCCCGCACCTTGCGTGTCGAAGGCTCAGTTGAAATCTTATAGACATCAAGCTATATGCCTTGCATCAAAACTCGCCCTAAATCAGTTTGAAGATTTGAGCCTTTCCAGGCACATATTCAGGTGTAAATAAAGACTCATTGCAAAAGTAAGGTTTAACCAAGGATGATAAAGTCGCCAACGTCCTTGCAAAGTCCTGAAATAAGGAGGTTATCGGTTTTGGGATTTAGGGTTTAATCGGGAAGCCCGATCAACCCTCCAGCCCCAGAAGGCATTTTAGGAAAGACACCACGTTGTTCATCCCAAGCCTTTGTCTTTCCGGCCGAGGTGGTGAGGCAGGGGTCACATCCTTTCTGGAAGGCCTAAACAATGACCAAAACTGTTCCGAGGGACAAAGTAGTAGGGTTTTCGGAACCCGAAACCTTACACTTAGCCCTTCTGAACCCGAAGCCCCAGTGTGGCCCTAGAGCATGTATTGGAGTCCTGGGGCCCTCCAGCATTGCTTTCTTCCTTCGGTTTGAAGATATTTGAAGGCTCGGCGTTTAGGGTTTTGGGGTTGGGGCCTAGCAAGGCCTAGACCGTAAGCCCTGAACCCCAAAGATACCCCAACGCGTCCTTTGACGGGCCCCGCAGTTTCTCCTCGATGCCGGCCAAGTGCAGGTCTCGACCTTCGCTGTTTGCCTAAACCCTCAGCCCAAGGAATTAGGGTTTGGGGACCCTTTTCAGCATGGGCTTGGATGGTGTAAACCCTAAACCCTACAGAATAATGTAGGGACCTTAATGATTGGCATAGGGTTCTTTGTTCCATCATGGTTTCTATACTGGTTCTAGGATTTAGAGAGAGAGCTTTGAGGGGTCGGGGATTCTCTGCTGCGCTTCCTGAGTTTGGTTAACAGGAGTCGATTTGGCGTTTAATGGCTTCAGCATTTCTTTTGTTCGGGTGTAATGCATGTTTATAGGGCCCCAAAACAGCACATAAGCAAAAATCAGGGTAGGGATATCCCATATAACCCCCCTTAAAAAGAAGGCCAATAAGGCAAGGATATCCCCATAAAATGCTTATGCTTACGTGCGTTGTCGGTCCCTAAGTTCAACAGAACAAATCCAGCGCTCACGGCGGCCGTGGAGAAGCACACCCAGAGGGTTCGGGGTTTAGGGGTTTAGGGTTTAGGGTTTAGGGTATTGCACAACATCAAAGCTCACGGCAGCTGCGCAGTTTAACCCAGCGGAAAACCAACTAGAGAACCCCTCCCCTTTTACAAGAGCAAATCCAAGGCCAACGGCAGCAGTACATTCTACAACCTCTGGCGGAAAGCAACCTAGAGACCCCAACTTCGAGATTCAAGTACTATAGGGGCCTTTATATTCAAACTAGGTATTCCCCCGAGCAAAACCGAAAGAACCCGACTGGCAGATTCTTGTACTATAGGAGCCTCAATGGTTCGAGGAACGGAAAAAGGGACTGCCCTAAACCCTAAACTTCACTTTAAGCGACCTAGCCTTTGGCCTTAGAAACCTTCGCTGTGAGGCAGCGTGTTTGAGTCTACGGGTCGTTATATTTCGGTAAGGAATAGCCTGAACCTCAGAGTCAAGCTCAGGGCGTCGTAAGGAGAGAGGGTTGAGGACTTCATTTAGTCTGCCGGGGTGAGCGTAAGGGTCTTTGGAGGCGCTGCGGGGTGTGTCTGCTCGGGCAAGGGTTAAACTGTCATTGTTCGTGTGTGAGTTTCGCGGGCTTGGGTGTCTTTCGGAGGTGTAAGCTCTAGCGTTTTGCGCCTCTGGCTCCAGGCTAAAGTACTGACTAAAGGTGGAAGGTTTGCATCCATGAAATCACGAGTTCGAGTCTGCACGGCATAGATTTTGTGCATGTCATCGCGGTGGACAGAGCCGGAACAAAGAAACCCCGGTTTAAAGTATAGTGAGCCCCAGAAAGCTGGAACATGGGTTTAGGATGATTAATTTCCTTCTACTCTAGCTTAAGGGCATGGGGACGAAAATGTTCCAGTGTTTTGGCTCCCACTGTACAACGCCCATGAAAACTGCTTCCTAAGGAAGACCCAGGAACCTTGAAACAGGGTTTGAGGCTCAGGATTTCTAAACAAAAAACCCTACAAAACTTTGAAGCTGTCAAGTCACTGATTAGTTCCACAACTTCTGGGATGACGTAGAGGCAGATGCGCTGTCCACGGCCGATACCTGCAAAACGGGACATGCGAGAGGCTGTGGACTTTGCATTTTTGGGTTCTTTGTAAGAAATTAAGTTTAAGATATCATAATTTAGGGTTCCTACATGGGATCTACAAGGGTTCCTTTAAGGATTCTAAGGGTTCTATAAAGGTTTAGGGGTTAAGGAGTTTAAGTTAAGATATCATAATAGAACTTAAATTCAGTCCCTGGACAAGAACCCAGATTGGGATTCCTCCGGCAGTGGCAGACACACTTCACTGAATATAGGAGTCTTAACAATTAGAATAGGGTCTGGGTATATAGTACGATAACTCAATAAAGAAACCCCATGATACTCTTGCTAATCATGTAACCCTATATGAAATCAGAACTCCCAGTCTCAAACGTCGGAACTTCCACAAGTCAATCAACGCTGCTGTGTGCAGAGTGAATCGTCGGAGCTCTTGCAATGCCTGCACAACTAGCAAAGCAGAGGTCGAACCCATTTTTCTGCAAGGCTTGGGAAAAACAGTTACCGATACAAAGGAATTAGCACAAAGCTATCACGTGTTGTCGATTCCCGTAACCCTAAACTCTGAAACATGAACTTCAAAACCTCAACCCTACACCACCGATCCAAAAACCCACAATTGTTCCGGTCTGTATATGTTTCTACCAGTCTATCTGTCTGTACCTACCTACCTACCTGCCTACCAATACATGTGCAGAAGAAGAGTTATACTTATGTGTATATATATATATATAGATATACACATGCATGCATTTCTGTGCATATGGATATTATGGTGTACCGGCATGCACATATGACTGTTTCATCGGTCTTAGTAAGATTCGGAGTTGGGGCCTCTAGGTTTAGGGATGTAAACTCAAAGGAGTTTGCTGGGTTCAGGGCGGGCTGCTTGTATTAATATTGCAGTACTAGATTCCACTGCCACTAAACCTGGAACCCTAAGAGAGCCCAAAGCATATGGGAGTTGAGGGGTTTCGCGCGCATGAGCCTCGCATGCGGTAGGCTCCTTGGACGTAGTCTCGCCAGCACCTAGGCTGTGAGGGCTGAGCCCGGGATTACTGAGGGCAAGGCTGTGGAGGGCTTCATGGGTATGGTTTCGGGGAGGTCGGGTTTTTGCGTCAAGGGTTTGGGGTTTGGGTTATAAAGACTGCTGATCTGGCGCACTTAAGCCACTTGAGAATTTGTATGGCGCAGCTTACGCGAACAACTGGATTGCAACATGTCTGAGCCGTGTGCAGTTTCGGTTTGGAAGCTTAGAGCTTCGGGTTTCGCCAAGATGCCCAGGTCACCCGATTCCAAAAGACTCGTCAGCACTTACGCAGCCGAGGGCTCAACATTAAAAGCATAACCGGAGAACCCGATCAAGCAGTGGCGCTCTGAAAGGTGCGCATCTGCGGAAGCTAGGAGAGGAGAGAGCAGGAACAAGTCTAGGCTAGTGCCTGGGCTGGGCAAGGCCTAGGGCTCATTATGGCAGCCCTGATTAGTAGAACAGGGTTAAAGGGTGCTGTGTCGTACTTTTAAGATAGGTACTTTTTCAATCCAGCGATGAGGAGACATCATTCACTACGTACTCAAAATGATTCAGACCTGTGTATCAGGTCCGGGGCAAGCCTGGGCCTCAGACAGATCCGTGTGAAAATGCTGGCAAGCCGCATGTCCTTGCCCAGCGTGAGGGCTGCCACTGCATCGAGCTTGTGTTGAATGTCCATGCCGGTTGTGTGGACCTCCAAGTGTCATGGGTAAAGAACAAAAGCTCTGAAGGCTAAGACTCTTCACCCTCACAACGCTGGTCGTCAAGACTTGTTGTGATGCAGTTGTCGTCCGTCGTACCAGGAATCCCCAGCCAGCCTGCAAAACTCGTTGATGCAGTAACGCCTTGATTTCTGCGACTGTGAACAACTCGCTACAGATAAGAGAATCCAGCCGAAACCCTCTTGCTCCTATGCTATAATGCTGCTACAACTCTCAACATAGGTGCCGATTCCACCAGCCTCAACCTCATTTTTGTTGAAAATGGAAAGAAATAGGAAAGTTATAAATCATACCACGTCGGCAACTAAAGATCGGAAAAAGACACAAACCCATGGCAGGAACTTATGTTCACCTCGTTCGCATGCAAGCGGACCATACTCGTCTTGACGGCACTGCAAATCCACCATCCAAGAAAATGAAGCTGAAGAAGAGTTTGTAGAAACCATCAAAGAAAACGCCTTATAGTACTTGTATAGTTCTTCAGCTATTCCATACATTAAACCGAACCCTGAAATCCTCAAGTGCCTACATAATCCTATAAAGTCCGCCAGGAGACACCACCCACCCGTTTCATAGAGTCCTTTAAAGGAGCCCTTATAGTATCTGTATAGTAACCCTTTACAGGAACTCTTCTAGTACCCTTATTGTACCTTAGAGTACCCTTATAGTAACCCTGTAAAGGAACCCTTACATTGCCTTACATTTTTAGAGTACCCTTGTACTTGGAGGCTCATGGGACTTAGCAAGTAAGGTTATAAGTAGGTTATACTTAGGATAACCCCACTTAGGGGACTTATATCCCCACTTATAACCTACTTACTAAGTCCCATGATCCTCCAAGTAGTAACCCTTTAAAGGACCCCTCAATCGTCTCCCGGCCTGATCGTAGAAAGCGAAACGCTTCTGAGCCGGCACCTCGGCTAACTCATCTCTAATGCAGGGGCCTTAAAATTTAGAATAGGGTTGCTTTAAAGGGGTACCTAAAAGGGTTACTATGAGGAAAGTATAGTGGAAGGGCCCTAATAATAAGAATTGGGTTTTGGTGCCCATTATACTAAAATTACAATAAGGAACCCACCAAAAAATAGCAGAGTTAATTATTAAGGCCCTGCAGTAACTCTCGACGATTTGGGAGAGGTCAGGGTTCTGCAAGGTTCCAGCCGGGATTTCATAAGGTGATACAAAGGTTCTGCAATTCGAAAGGCTTCACAAGCCCTCATTCGGGAGTTTTGGCTTCGTCCATCTAAAGAAAGTGCCCCCCCCCCCCCCCCCCCCCCCCCCGTCAAGTGACTCTTATCCCCAAAGGATGCAGGGGACCAGGCCCCACCAAGAGATCACAAATGGACAATGATGTTCATGTTTGTGAGTTGCGATTTCGGTTCTCTGCATGGTGCTTCGAATAAGATGTGTTTTTGGGTAGTTATATGGGGACCAGAAGCGGATGGAATGGAACCATGTGGCCGTCAAGCTCTCAACCGCCATTCCTAACCCCTGAATCTTCCCAAGAAACCCTTCTGTCACGGACTGTTCCTTCAACTTACTTGGGGTCCTTCATCATAAGGAACCATTGATCACAAAATGGATGCAGGAACACCTCGGTCGCTTCTGCGAGCAAGTGGCGCCACTGTCGGCCAACTTCGTCACCTCGCGCGTGTGGCGGAGCCTTTCGGACAGTCATGTGGAATGGAGTCTCCTGAGAGGGGTTCTCCCTGAACCCTAAACCGTTTCTATGACTTGACCATCGTTTCATGGAGTTGGGCATCTGTAGAGGGCGACGCTCAAACAGTAAGCCATTTAGCCCAGAAGCTGAGTAGGTAACCTTTTTAGGGTTTAGGGTGCTATAACGGGTTCAATTACGGGATCTATAACGGTACTAGATTGGTTTACGGTAACCTTAAACTTGCAAGACTCTAACATTAAGGGCCCACATCTACTTGGGTGGTTGTCAAAATTAGGGTCCCTTTTTGGGCACCCTAAATATTAGGTGCCGTATTATCATAGGGCCCCGAAAAGGGACCCTAATTTTGACAACCACCCACTTAGAATCGAGCTGTGATGAATGGGGTGCGATGGCTTGATGTGTCGTTCGACTCGCCCGCTCGCACACCGCAGGCACGGCGGCATCTTTAGCTTTGAGGGCCGCGGTTGGGATTTAGGGTTTAGGGGACTAAACCCAAAACACAAAACCCTGAATGCTCTACCATTCTGCGCGAGGAATTCTTCTGGCTTTGGGGTGTAGAAGGTATACATTACGAACACTACTGAGCCCCAGACGCTGGAGCCTGGAGGCCGATCTATTCAGAACTGGGGGAGCAAGCCCCAAAACCCTCAATCCTAAATCCCGCCAAGCCGCAAGATCTTCTTTCCACCATCATCGTCCAAGAAAACGACCTTGATTGCTCAGGACAAACAATGCAAAACGCCCCCGTTTTGCCACTGGGCTTGGGGCTAGCCAGATCCTTGCATCCTAAAACCCTAAACGAAAGGGCTTAAACTTCTCTGATAAGCCCTAAACCTTTAACCCGATGTCCCAAAACTTCGAGCGCTACGAACAGGGACTTCGTAAGTCGAGATGCGCTCTGGCCACACAACGTTATCTGTTTGTCTACTTCGCAGTGAAACCCTGCGTGCAGAGCCCCCTGACCACTTATTCGGTTTTTCCACCGAAAGCACCAAAGGCCAAGACCAAAAAAGTCCTAATCCCAAACCCTGAGGGTCCAAGTACTCCTGTTATGGGACTTTTATGAATAACCACAACTTGGACCCTTGGGGAAAAGCTCCCTGAGGAAAGCGAAGCTAGGCTCCTGGCACCTGAACCCTGAGGCTGAGGCCTAATACCCCAAGCGTGTTCAAGCTGCGCTTTGACAAGAGCAGGGGCTCGTCAAAGAGTGCTAGTTTTGGGGTAGAGGATCCGATATATGTCGATATGTTGAAGCTCCTGGGACCCAGAATAGATGTGCTTTAACATAGAAGAGCGAAGCGTTTCTATTCTATTCTGAAAGAGCATGAAAAGAACTGGCTGAGGACGTGGTTTAGGATTGAAGGACGGTCTAGGGCGCATATCTGAGTGGTTGACAAATTTATGGTCTCTTTTTGGGTCCCTACTATAATACGGCACCTATTATTTAGGGTGCCCAGAAAGGGACATCAATTTGCACAACTACCCATCTGGGCTTAGGGCCAAGGGCTAGGCCTGGGGTCTGTCAATGTCAGCCCAGGCACACCGTCGATGGAGTCGGGGAGCACAGGCCCTACACCAGACCTGCGGATGTAGGTGCCGCGATGATTAGAATAGGGTTTTGGGATATATCATAGTACATGCAGAACTCAAGGGAAACTCAAACCAATGCTATTGAAAATTATTCTGGCTTTCATAGTAAGGGAACCGGGTAAAACCAGGTGCATGGGCTTTAATCAAAGACTAGCTGAACTATAACCGTCATCTGAGCGGGTGGAAAGTTCAATTCCACATCGGGGTTCATGGTCTAAGAGTATAGGGACACTGAAGTTGCTTGCTGTACTGTCAAAGCTCCAATCGTTGTGATGGACGTGTGCGCATTCTGTTTATAGCTAACCATAGGAAAATCCGAAACCCTGAAGACATCCACCATGCCGGATCCAACGAAGACGCCTGCCAGTGGGGCTGGCTGTTGGACTGCCTTTGCCACAGAAGCTGGGTGAGGTTTGGGGAGAGTACATGTGCCCAGTGCTCAGGTCTCTTGGTTGAAAATAGTCAAGTTTTTTTTGCTTGGAGAAAACATCACAGTAGAAAAAACAAGCTATCACTTCGACTCCAGAGCACACTGGTCTATGAGATCGAGGGTCCGGTTTCGTTCGGGCCTCCCGTCAGTCGGGTCCCACGCAAAACGAGGCGATCGGGTTTTGTGCTTCTGGAAGGATCCCGACGGCTTATGTAGGGGGCCTTAATAATTAGACTAGAGTTTTGGGGCCCATTATACGATAATTACAATAAGGACCCCCCACCACAGAAAAAAGAACAAAGTATAGGTAATTATTAAAGCCCCTTGTTAACATGAGGTTAAAAACCGATGGTGGAGGTGCATAAACCGATCCCGACGGCGATGGTACTTATAACCTGCATCTGACTACGCCGACCAAAGCGACTAAATTTGCTTGAGTGGCTATGAATGATAGGTACAGCTTCGCTGTGTTTGGATCATGTGCACCCCCCTTCTACTATTTCGACGGCGCTAGACCAGATCTGGGTGAACAGCACAAGGTGCTACAAGTGGGACATCAATGAAGCACCAACCCGAATTGATTACCGACTCGCTTGAAACTCTGATTACATCCTCAACTACCCGAAAACCCTAAACCCCCGAATCCTAGACCATACCTGTAGCCGAGAAGACCTACGCTTTTAGGGTTCCTTATATAATATGGTTTCTATGCGTAGTTCCTTTAAAAGGTAGGTCTGTTGGGCTACGGGTATACCCTCGATCTGCCTTCTGGTGCAGCTTGTCGTGCTTTGCCGAAGCCCAGAAGATATTCGGCCACCTGTGAGGTACCCTGGGTGCTTAGTATAGGGACCTTAATAATTCGAACAGGGTTCTGGGGTGTCCCTTTACAGGGGTCTGTAGGGGTTACCACAAGGGATACTATAAGGGTGCTATAGTGTAGGGGCCTTAATGATTCGAATCAGGGTTTGGGGCGCACTACACTATTGTGCAGGTAAGTATTAAGGCCCCTATTATAGTATGTTTCGGGTCTGACGGATCCTTTTTGCCACTCGCCCAGCTGAACAATGTCGCACCGCAAGGAACTCGTCCAAAATTGCTGAATCTGACGGATCTTGGGATTTGGGGTCTCGGATTTCGTTCGCAGTCGGACGCCTCAGGCATGTTTTATCTTGACGAATCTTCAATGGTGAAAGCTCGAGCTGTTGTTTCAATGCACAAAGCTAACTTATACTTTTGTTCGCAGCTCGATGTTCAGACTCCTCGGCTCGCAATTTTGAGTTGATAGAAACCTATGGAAGGTCGGCTGAACAGAACAATCATGCGCAGGACACGCCATCCCATGTGAACCATACGAATGAAGAACGATTTCACCAAGTTGCGTTACCTTGTCATGCATGAAACAGACTCGTTTCTACATGTCTGCTTTGCGGCCACTCTTTCCTGAACCGAAAAGGCCAGCAGACTGTTCATTGGGGTTATGCACGGATGTAGCTTCGCCTACTGGTAGCCCTGCTTACTCAGGATGCCTGTAGCAGCAACCACAGACGACTCGTGGGCAACTAGGGAGTCCGAACTTCCTGATAAAGGGAAGGTGTATTGGCTCCAGACGAAACCTCATCCAATGTCGCAGCTTGACGTTCCGCGATTCCAGAAACCCAAAAATTGGATCTTAAATCCTACACCCTTAGTCCCTGAACCTCTAGGCCCACTTAAACCCCCAACCCCTCAACCCCTAAATCCCTAACCCCTGAAACCTAAACCCCTAAACAGCTAAAACCCTAAAAACTTAAACCCCAGGCAGCCGAATCCCAAGCCCCTGGACACCAAACTCTCAAGCCGAAACCCGGAACCCGGGTCCCCTCGTTTAGCACGGGTTGTCGGCTTAGGGTTCAGGGGTTTAGGGGTTTAGGGCCTATAGGGTTATAAAAGTAATCACTCGGAGTCTTTTTCCCACATATCGGCCGGTTTTCTTTCTGTTACACTCATGGTTTCAGTGCGACATCGTTGATGAAGAAGCAATAGCTGTCGGCGTTCTTCACGGCTTCCTCTGGATACTCCGTCGCCAGCTTTTCACAGGTCCAGCGTCCGTATGCTACCTTGCCTTCTTTGCAGCTGCCATCCTCTTCTTTGCCCTTTGCACAAACGTCATCGGTATACCTGGGCTCTGCTAACAGACCACAACGGTTTACCTAACTGATTACTTCACAAACTAGTTCAGTAGTTCATGGTGAAAGTACTTGCTACTACTGCATGTGCTCAACAGCATCTCTTGCATATCGAGCTAGACCAATGTTGCGACCATAAACTAGGCCCGGGCACATGGTTTCGTGGTGGGAGGCCTCGTGTGTGAGAGTCTCGATCTTGTCGCCTTCGATCGTATTCATGTAGAGGTCACACAAGTGGAAGACATAGCGACCACGCATGTTTTTGTTCCACGGCGGATCTGGATAAACATAGGCATAGGTACTCGGAGTGCAATCTTCGCCAGGGAAAACGTAATCCACATTGCTGAGTAAGCGGTGGACGCCATTCAAGATACCCAGGACTTCATGGCGAGTGATATCATCATTGGCCCCAAACCTCAGACCAACGCGCCTTTCAGTCCGTTTAGGAGCTAGGGTTCCGGAGCAAACCCTCAAACGACAACCTTAGCTGACGACCCAGTAAACTGACCACATGCAGCGTCCTTCAAGCGCGCTAACCGCCGGCAACTGACCCCCCAAGACTCAGGCACCTGTGAAGCATAAACTTTGGTCTTAACGGGATTCCAATATTGCCGGTTAGGTTCTACTGTGTATACTAAATAGTGTACTGTAAGTACATGGAGACTTGGGGGGTGCAAATGCTGAAGATACGAATCCAGGAAGTGGTTCGGCCCGAAGTCGATGGGTCTTGAAGTCGTAACCCTGGAACCCTATAAAACCCATAAACCCTAAATCCGGTCCTAGCCTATAAGCCCCCTTTAAAACCCCATGGCCAGGACGCTACTACCTCAACGCTACAACCTACACAATAAATCCAAACATAGCCTATAAGATCCCTTTAAACTCCCATGGCCATATACCCTAAATCGGGTCCTAGCCTACGATACCCCTTTAAAAACATACCCTAAACCCTATCTGGACCCTAAAGAACCTGCCTGGTTAGGGTTCCTTATTATGAGTTCCCTTATATAAGTCCTTAAAAAGGTAGGTTATTCCGGGTTAAGGTAAACCCTGGCCAGGACGCCACTTGGTAACCAAGTGCGGCACTTGACGAGAACCCATCGCTCGAAGAGCCTCACGGCTTCTCGGAGCTTACGGGGTTTCGGGGCTCCTTCGGGGGTTCTACAACGGTTTAGGGTTTAGGGTATAGGATTTGGAGGCTAAGGTTGCAGCCTTCAGCTCTCGGGCTTTTTTTCCCTCTCGCATGGCTGGCAACTATGTCCACTGGCGAGGTTTGTGAGGAACGGCTTAGGGTTTAAGGTTTAGACAGCTTCGGCGTCTTAGGGTTTCTGGTTTTTGGTTTAGGGTTTAGGGAGCTTTAGGCCTGCGGGGTTTGTTTTTTTCTAGGCTGTTGAGTAACCCACTGGGAACCAGTAGAGATTATTTGGTTTAGTTACTATTAACTTCATTGTAAGAGGGATGAAGAAACAAGCAAAACAATATACCAATGAACAACCTAGTTTTAGTTTAGAGTAAGTCTTGGGTAAACGCTACAGAAAGGTACGCCGTGTTACCCATTGCTGCACAAGCTATAGATTCTAGGAGCTCGGGGCATTTGTAGTATTCGGCTTACTCCTGAAGACATACCGGAGCGCTGCAAATCCAAATACCAACGCTACGTACTGCAACCAGTTCCTAAAGCCTGAAGCCGCAACTCTAAAATCTCAATCCGAGTAAGCCCAACATAAGGGACCCTTAAAGGGGCCCGGAAACCCAACCCTAAACCCCTAAAGCCTAAACCCATCCCTAAACCCTGAAAACCTGAAATCAAAACTCGAAGCAGCCCATGTTGAACCCCCTTTGTGCGAAGGCCTTCGCCGTGTAGGCTTGGGCTTTCACGGCGATGCGTACAGCTTCATCTTCCCATGACAGCTTCTTCCCGCCTTGACTTTGACGTTTAGGGCTCATGCTTTTAAGGGTTCATGTTTCCTCCGCCTTCGGACTTTAGGATGTTATTCTTTAAGGAATTAGGGTCTAGGCTCCTGCCTCCCATCATGAGGTCGTAAGCTGTGTTGGGGTTTCGGGTTTTGACATGTCTGGACCATTCCTCCTGCCTTGAGGTTTAGCTTTTTTAGGCTTTAGACTTGTTCTTCCTGTCGTCAGGGCCTTATGGCCTTTTTGGGTTAGGGTTAATGAGGAGGGTTTAGGTTTACGGCTTTAAGGTGCAAGGCTTTGGTTGTTTTCCGGGTGCTGGTCTAGGGCTTCCTGCTGGGAATGAGTGTTTCGGGTTGAAACAAACTTAAACGCCTACACAAAGCCTGCGAGAGCAAGTTCGACCTTCAAGATTACAATACAAAGCCCCCAACCCCAAGATGCCTAAAAGCTGAAAAGCCTATGCAGACTCAGGGCAATGACAGTGTCTAAGCACACGTACCTTTCAAGAGTCTTGATGAATGCAACGAACACCAAAAAAAGTGAGCCTTATTTTTCAATCATCACCAAGCGATGCATATCTGCAGTTTCCCCCCCCCCACCCCTGCCTTTGCCGGATTTCCTGCCCATTCTCTTATGCCTCAGAGAAACAGAGGGTCATCGGTTTGGGTGCTGGGGACCGGTTTAGGGTCTCGGCTAGTATTTATCATGCTTTAGATTTCGGCGTCCGGGGGCGCAACTTCTGTTTCCGACCCGACCCTCATAAATCTCCAAACCTACATACAGTAGAAGCCCCCAAAAAACCCAATAGCCTCGATCCCTAAGAGTAATGTATAGGGAATCCCAGCACTATTTGGCCTTAATCCGGTTTCCAACTTTATGGGGTTTACTGCAGACTCATGGAGCCCTCCGTCTTTCTTCTTCAAAATCCGGCCCCAAAAAGTTCGAACTTTCTAAGATAGAGCAAATATATAAGGCCGAAAAGCTTGAAGTTCCCCTGTTCACTATCTAAGACGTAACAAAATCATAAAAACGGCTAAACTCCAACACTCTAGCCGCCCCAGACACAAAACCCTTCAACCCCCGCTCAGCACCCTGAAAGGAACCGGTTTAGGGTTTAGGGTTTAGGGTTTAGGGAACCCTTATAATAATCCTCAAGCCCTGGAGCCCCTAAACCCTAAACCCTAAAGCCTAAACCAAAACCCCAAATCCTACACCCTAAGCCCTAACCCAAAACCCTAAAGACTGCCCCCTCTCTCTCTCTCTCTCTCTCTCTCTCTCTCTCTCTCTCTCTCTCTATCTCTCTCTCTCTCAGGCACTCGAAGCTCTCTCTCTCTCTCTCTCTCTCTCTCTCTCTCCCCCCCAGGCATTCGAAGCGTCAGGCCCCTAAACCCTAAATCCTACACCCTAAACCCTAAAACAGCCAAAAATAGCCCTCGGCGCCTCGGTGGATCCAAGGCCGGAGGAGGCAAAGGATGCTCAAAGGTCCTCGAATGTAGGGAATTTGTAGGGTTTCAGGATAGAGGTGTTTTTGGGCAGTTCTTGTTTCACCCCTTTTTTGGTGGTTAGGATATTTTTTGAGTGTTTTGTTCAGTCCTTGATTTGGGTTAGGGTGTAGAGTTTCGGCTTGGAAGAGTTTGGGATTGAGGGTCTAAGGAACCCTCAACCCTACAGGGAACTCCAGAAAGTTGGAATATGGTTTCATGGTAGGATACCCTATAATTTACCACAGAAGGGTTAGGATAATCATATTCCAACTTTCTGGCTTTTACCTTAAACCTGGAGGAACAGGATTTTGGGTTTAGGAACTTATAGGGCTAAATCAACCCAAGGATCGAAATAGTAGTATCGTATCCGAACGCGTGCGTGGTTCAAGGGACGGGGGTACCAGGCAGCCTTCAGGAACCTAAGGGAAGACTCGCAAGAATGGGGGATTACTAGGTTCTATACCCCGTTTGACACCCCTTGAGAGGTCCCACAAACAGTACGGCACCCGTATAACTCGGACCCTAGAAGCTGCCCTAATTTAGAGAACTACCCGTATCTCTAATTGTGATGTGCTGGCGTTCTTGCCTCCAACGCTTCAAAACAAAACTTAGACCCCTACCCTCTGCACCTTTTACTCGCGCTTTCTCACGCTTCATGCTTCCAGCCACACAACCTATGGACCTATGGTATATTGTTGGGACGGCGATAAGTTGCCCTAAGCCCCCCATAAACCCTAAAACCCTGGTACTCTGGATTTTTCCGGCAAGGCGCTTACGGGAAGCCGACGTTGCAACGTTGCACTGGACACCACAGGTCCGCGGGCACACAGTCCTGAGTCACTTTACATGAACCCTAAGGAACCCCCAAAGAGCCCCGAGGATAGAGAGGGAAGCCCCGGAAATCTGAGGATGCCGAGGGGAAGCTCAGGAAAGATCAGGGTCTGAAGATAGATCGGAATGATTTTTTTGCAGAGGGCTCGGGCGCTTAGGGTTTAGTGTTTAGTCAACACCGACCGGCGCGAGTCCAAGGTGGAGATCGCTGAATTTTGGGGTCTGGGGCCGGGATCACTTCCAGGTAGCTGCCGAAAAGCCCGGAACCCAACACCCCCCCATGGTAGGACCTGAAGCCGTGTTGGTGCCCGAACTATATACAGCTCTGCTTTGAAGGCTGTTACTATAGGGGCCTTAATAATTAGAACAGGGTTTTGGGGCGCATTATACTATAATCAAAATATAGAGCCCCCAAACTGGTATAGGTAATTTCTTAGGCCCCTATGTTAGGTACTTGCTGACGGTTTGCCTTAATCTCCCCAGCTGCAGTCAGTAGTCGCTGTAGCCTCAGTCCAAGCCTAAGCAGTGACCGATCCACCATTCACCCACGGACCTGGAGACGGTACCCTAACCCCCCCTTATAGAACCGTTATAAATCCCTTTAAAGGAACCCCTATTAGGAATCCCTATGGATCCCTCTTAAGGAGCCCTTATAGAAACCTTGCCCTTGTTTCAGGGACATAGAAAGGCGAGGTGAAGGTGGGCAGAATTGGCCCTGCGCACGAGGACTCCTTTTTGGAATTTCCCCCACCATCCGAAGCAAAAACGTGTATAATGAGTATAATGTATGCAGACACAGATCTTCATCTACAACACCCTGGGAGCCTATTATGCACACACAGAGACACGACGACGACGACGACGACGACGACGACGACAACAACAACAACAACAGCAGCAGCAGCAGCAGCAACAACAACACTTACCAGAGTCACAAAGCGAAGTATAAGGTGAGAGAAAGATTTGAAAGGTGCAGTGCCGTAATGCTGTGCTGGTTGTACTTGAGATGGCTGCTACAATGCGCCCCCGTTGCTTGGAATCCCCATCCCAACACTCGTGCGGCGCGTGCCCTAACCTTGAATCCGGCCTTTTCTTGCGAGCCTTAACAATTGGAACAGGGTCTTGGGGCCCACTACACTATAGTTATAATCAGGGACCTCCCAAAATAAAGGCCCCTGCTGTAAAACCCTATTATATCCCTCATGGACCCCTTTACAGATCCCTTGAAAGGGAACCGTAGGCAAGGATTACAAGGCCCCTATACGAAGTGAAGCCAGGGATCTTCACTTTGGGATCGTAGCAATAACTCTTCAAGCGTGGGCACGGAAGGCGCTGGTACTGCCTTGGTCAGTTGCTTGCTGCTTCTGGCCTGCCTATAGTCTCCATTGTAGTTCCTTTTCGGGGAAACCTTACAGGATCCTAAATACAAGATTGGTTAAACCAAGAAAAGGAACTACAATGGAGACTGGAGGTAGGGTGTAGGTTTGGGGCTCGGGGGTTGAAGGAGTCTTCTGAATTTTGAGGCTGCGGTTCTTTAGGTCTGAGGGCTCCGGTTTCATTTCACAGGGGCTGATGAACAGTTGGCTCCTGTGTTGAGCTTATACTATACCAAGTAAAAGAACATCCCCAAGGCCGAATAAACAAACATCACCAAGGCCGAAACGACTTGTGTTTTAGGGTCGAGGGTCTTCTCTTCCGTGCCCTGTCAAACATGCTTCTTTATTCACTCTACCTCTCAACCCTCTGCCTTGCTTTCCAAACTTGCGGTGCGCCAAACTAGGGCCATGCGAAAGGCATACGGCACACACGACCCGAAACAACAGGCATCAAGCTCAGCCAGCATCAGTATGTACCTGCATAGTACCTCAAACCGGATGTCAAGCTGGGCCGTCGCTATCATAATATGTAGAAACATAGGTACCTCTACCAGCGTCATGCGACATTACAGAGCTTCCCAGAAAAGGAAATAATCATTTAGGGTTTCCCCCTGAAGTAGGGTCTGAGTCTACGTCGGGGATTTTGATGGGTCTATTACAGGGCCCCTTCTTGAGCTTGGTGAACGTGCATTTTTCCATTGGGGCTTGACTCACAAAAAGCACCCTCCTTCATATGAGCCTGCTGGTGTCAGAACTGCTGAATAACCCAAGCAGAGACTAAGATTTCCGACATAATCACGCCCAAGCTCTCTTCCATAAACACCCTGAGCTGAAGGCCTAAGGCCCTAACCAGCTCCTATAAACCTTCGACCCCTGAAGCCCTAGACCTTGGCAAGACGAATCGAACCACCCCTAAAGCCTGCCATCATGCAGGTATGTACGCTTTAATATCAAGGTTTAGGGCTCCTTAGCCATACACCAGGAAACCCACCCCACCTACAACAACAGCAATCAACATATGGGAGTTTCCGAAAATAGGGGACCCTCATATAGTACCCTAAGTAGTGGGAGGACCCCCCGAAATAAGGTACCCCTTAATTTTCGGAAACTCTAAACCCTATACCCTTTATAGAACCCTTATAGATCCCTTTCAGGAGCCCTTAATCAACCCAGAGTAGTAGGATCCTTATTATAAGGACCCCCAAAATAAGGTACCCCTGAAACTCCCACATCTGGGCCCGGGTGCCCATCCAGGAAACTCGTGGGGAACTTATCCTCGCCTCGGAAACGGGCAGAGGGCATCTCGGGGAGTTTAGGTTTAGTTTTGGGTTAACATAAGATTTCGAAAAAGGTCTGTCGGGGGTCTATCAGTGTTTTAGCAGGGTTCGATAGATTCGATAGGGGGGTTCTACTGGTTTCTCGCGGAGTTTAGGTTTAGCTTGGGTTGACATAAGATTTCGGGAAAGAAGGTCTGCCAGGGGTTTATGAGGGCTTTAGCAGGGTTAGATAGGGGAGTTGTACGGGTTTTGCTGACGGCATCCAGCAGGTTGCAAGGCTGCAGCTGCGGCCGGCACAATTAGCAGGTGTTCCATTACATAGGAATTTCTCTCACAAAGTATGTGAAAAGGCCGCAACTAAAATGCATGATATTACAAACATAGAACCATCGACGACCATGTGGATCTATGCCATCACTTAGACACACACATACATATGTATATATATATATATATATGTGTATATATATATATATATGTGTATATGTATCTATATATATATATATACACATACATATATATATATGTATATATATATATATGTATACATATATATATATATATATGTATATCAGTGTGCACAAATTACCATGCGTCGCGCAGCAAAACCCAGCAGCAGCCAAGATGCAATGCGCAGGCAAGTTGTCGAAGACCTTGTCCTCGGAAGCACACCTTGCTCAAAGGACAAAGGGATTCAGCAAGTAGAGTTGTGATGAAAGAACCGGTGCATATACATATATATATATATATATATATAGATATATATACTGCACATGTATAACCGTGAATACTTATGAGCCCACTTTTTAAGTACTCTTGCTTTGTAAGTCCCCTGATGCCTTAAGAACCTGCGGAGCTGGCTGTGCGGAAGAAGAGCATATCTTGGTGTTTTGATAGCAACCAAGAGCCCTGAGACTCAGTCACATTGAAACCGTGGATCTTAAACAAAACGTTGACTTAGCCCAAGAACCCACCCTCCAAAGCACGAATAAGAACCCTGCGCCCTACAACCCCCAAGCCCCAACAATCTATGTACCGATCTAATGTATAATTGAGCCCTGTAAGCCAAAGTATATACTACATAGGTACATACTGGGTACATGGACGGCAGAGTTAAATTTATCCAGCCTTCAGTTCTCGTGTCCCCAGACCAGGTGTCTAATTATCGGGTCTGTGGGAACCTAAGCCCTTCTTGCACAGACTTGTATATGCCCGCCTGCGCTGCATAAACCTTAAACCCGAAAACCAAGAAACACAAACCCTAAACCCTAAACCCCACTAAAAAGCCATAAACCCAAAGCCCGTTTACTCAAAACACTAAGCCCGAGGGGCATGCATCCGTGGCCTTTCATCTCGGCAGGATCGAACTTCCCTTGGTTAGAGAGGCAAGCTTCACGGTTTCGGCGCTCACACTCGGACAATCCAGGCGAGGCATATGGTTCGGAGTCTGCTTCACGGTTTAGGGTTTCGGCTTCAGCGAGATCATCCTAGACGACCAAAAACCTCAAACCACAAACCCATAAACCTTATATATATATATATATATATATACATATATATATGTATCCTGACCGCTAAACCCTACCTAGGTTACTGGGGTTCTAGGAAGAGAGAGGCGACATATATGCTGAACGATGTTACTGTTCTGGTCAAAAGTATTGTGAATATCGTTGTGCATACTAGGGAATATTTAGCACTAGTGTTCATGAATTTTGAAACTACTATTACTATTATCTTCATGGCTGTTATAATCATTACTATGTATTGGTTTTAATGCTACCAGTATTTAATTTGTTGTTGATCACTGTCATTTGGTTTTACTTCTGGTGGAGTTATATAAACGTACATGTACATGCACGCACATGTATATGTACACATACATACATGCCATACACATACGTAAATAATATGATGAAGGAACCTCATGTGTAGCATTGCTTACAGTACAGTCTTATAACTCAGGCTCTATCTTGGGATTACGGAGCGAAGAAGAGCAGTTCCTTCCTCAACCTGAGGCCTCACCTGAATCCACAGCCAATGTCGGTTTAAGGTGTAGGCTTGTCGGTGTCCCAACCAGACAGAAGTACACTCCTAGTCTCAAACTTAAGGCCTACCTATAGTCTCCATTGTAGTTCCTTGTTGGGGTTACCTTTTTAGGATCCTTAATATAGAATTGGTTAAACCCAGAAAAGGAACTACAATGGAGACTATAGGTAAGGCCGAAACTTTGAACTGGAAACGTGTACGCCAGCAACTTCAGCCCTGACCCTGAACCCCACGAAAACCTCAAGCCTCAAGCCTTGAACAAATCCAAAGCCGAAGGGTAAACCTTAATCAAATCCTAAACCCTCACTCCCGAACTTGTTAGGCTGGCATCTGCGATCTTCGACGAACGCCGAGTCGGTGCACTTCCAGCTTTCGCCCGTTACGACGGATCCCGCCGCACACTTGCACCTTTGCCGTGGGTTCTTTTGACGCTCAGGCTGGCAATATGCCAGGCAAGGCTCTGCAGACAAGACTGTAAAAGGCTCCCATTTTTTCCCTCCTACCGAGCAAGGACAAGCCGACACGCCCGCATGCTGCCAAAGATTCAGGGCTTTACGGTTTGAGGCGCTGTTAGGGTTCTCGTTGTGGATGTTTCGGCTTCGGGGCTTTGAGGTTCTGGGTTTAGGGTTCAGGGTTACCCAAAGGGTCCCATGTAGTGTTATGGGGGATACCTCCCCAAATCATAATAGTAACTCCGAATATAGAAACCTTACATTCTACTATATCGGTACTTTGGACCTTTAGGGTTTTTGACCATTGGCGATTTTGGCATACGAGGTTTGCCAAGAGTTGGGTTCAGGGTTTAAACATGGGCGCCCTGCAGGGCCTTCCTCAATGGGGCTGCGGGTCAGAAACGGGTACCATAAACAGATGGGGACAAGAAGACTCTAGCCGATTGTATTATATATATATATATGTATATATGGTGAGATAAATCAAAGCTGATTTCAAGAAGTAGTTCGGACTCCTGTTTTGAACTCCTCTGCTTGTTCCCCTTGAGTCCAAGACGCGTCTTGCCGTTGTGCTTGATCCGCTGCCAAAGGCTCGACTCACGCGGCACCGCTCCCACAATCGCCTCAGCAAGCTTCGTGGCTTCGAGGTTTTAGGCGTTGAAGGTTTGGGCCCTCTTACTTGGGGGTTCAGGGACTTAGTTAGTAAGCAGGCAACTATGATGGTTATATCTACCTACAACCCGAATTACGGTACCTATAACTCCACCTACTAAGTCTTCCGATCTTCGTCCAAGCAAAAACCTTACACACCTTAAGCCCTAAACCAAAGTATAGGGCTTTCGGATTCAGGATGATATGGGTCTGGGTTTGCCTATTTGGGGGAGAAGGGGAAGGTTTCAGCACTCACACTCGGACGAACCACAGCGAAGGTTTAGGGCTTCGGGTTTGGGGTCCAGGGTTGCCAGGTGGCCTCATGGCAAGCAGTAGCGTTTCTGTCGCTCACGACCTGCAGCACAAGGGAATGGAGAGCATGCGCCAAGACTTTGTAATTATCTGAGGCGAGGAGCGGTCGTTGACCTGTAAACCTGCATCCAACTGGAAGAGAACCCTAAGCCCAAAAGAAAAGAAGCTTTCGGCCGACCCTTAATCAGGACCCCTAGGTAATATACCCTTAATATAGCTATTATATACCTTCGATGGTTCCCCAGCTTGAACTCCCCTGTCCCGGGCGTGATTGAGCACCTCTGTTTACTCCTACTTGTCGGGTATCATGGGGAACTGAAGGTTAACCTTTTTGGGTATATAGGGATTATATAGGGGCTATACTACCCCAAAAAGGTTAAAGGTTACCTACTCTACTACTAGGTACTTGCACTGTGTGCATCACCGGTTAGGGCTTGCGGCTTGCGCAACAACCGTGGTGGTCGTCATGGCGACCACCCACGTATATATCAACTGAACTGGGAGTTTCCGAAAATAGGTTACCCTACCCCCCTATTGTCGGAAACTCCCATCTGCCTTTTGCATGAGGCTTGCGTAGTCTCGACTGGAAAAGGGTGAGCGTTCCAACCCTGATCCAGACCCCCGCAAGGATCTAGAAAGTAGATCCCCTAATTTGGGGCCCTATACTACTAAGGTTACTTTATAGGAGCCCCCAGTATGCCAGACAAAGTCGGATGCTGAAGTTTCTGGTTCGGCGTTATTTAATTCAACCCTGGAGACAGCCGAAATACAGCCTAAATCTTAAACTCTACAACCCAGACACTCGACTCACTAGACCCCAAACCAGCACGGCCGTTTGACATGCCCCCCCCCCTCCATTCCTTAGGGTCCAAAGGACCCAGTGATCAGGTGCTTGGGTTTCGGATAGCGAGGTTTCCATTCGGGAGAGTATATGTACGACTATTACCCTAAGGGTCCAAAGGACCCAATAATTAGGTACTCGGGTTTGGGATAGTAGTTTAAGTAGGTTACTGCTTTTGAAAGTGTATGATAATTGGGTACTTGGACCCTTTAGGGTTACCCTAAGCCGGAATAACCTACTTAGTTCCCGAAAGCATCGCGAAGGGTTCTTCCGTGTGGAACGCCGCAGCTGAGTACATAGATGACAGACATAGAATCAACTTACTTGACTCCATACTTTACTCTACACTCTACACTTGATACTTGACTCTACACTTGATACTTACTTACTTACTTGACCCCTATGACTGACTCTCTACACTTGACACTTGACTCTATGATACTTGACTCTACACTTGATACTTGACTCTGTGTTATGCTATCTCTATACTTGCTTACGACTTACTTACTTACTTACTTCACTCTACTTACTTACTTACTTGATTACTTACTTACTTACTTCACTCTACTTACTTACTTACTTGACACTTGACACTGGACTCTATGGTATGCTATCTCTATTATGCTATCTCTATACTACTACTTACTTACTTACTTACTTTTACTTACTTGCTTGACTCTCTGCCTCTATGACTTTGACTTACTCTCTACATCTCGGTATCTAATTCTCTCTTCTAAAGCCAGGGGTGGCACCGTTGTCGTCCATCGGGAATGCAACCCTTCCCAGGGATTCGCCTCCTCGGGCGTTCAAACGCGAGGTAAAGTTACACATTTTAGGGTTCCCGCGCAACCCTTCCCAGGGATTCGCCTCCTCGGGCGTTCAAACGCTAGGTAAAGTGACACATTTATAGGCGCCCGGCGCAACCCTTCACAGGGATTCGCTGCCTCGGGCGTTCAAACGCTAGGTAAAGTGACACATTTTAGGCGCACCGCGCAACCCTTCCCAGGGATTCGCCTCCTCGGGCGTTCAAACGCGAGGTAAAGTTACACATTTTGCGGTTCCCGCGCAACCCTTCACAGGGATTCGCCTCCTCGGGCGTTCAAACGCGAGGTAAAGTTACACTTCTTGCGGGCCCGCGCAACCCTTCACAGGGATTCGCCTCCTCGGGCGTTCAAACGCGAGGTAAAGTTACACTTCTTGCGGGCGCCGCGCAACCCTTCACAGGGTTTGGGTGCAGTTCAAATTTTTTTGCAACCCTTCACAGGGATTTGCATTTTGCAACCCTTCACAGGGATTGGCGTGGTCGGGTGTTCGAACGCGAGGTAAAGTTGCATTTTTTGATTTGCATTGAAATGAATTTTGCAACCCTTCACAAGGATTGGCGTGGTGGAGTGTTCGAACGCGAGGTAAAGTTGCAATTTTTGATGAGCATTGAAATGAATTTTGCAACCCTTCACAAGGATTGGCGTGGTGGAGTGTTCGAACGCGAGGTAAAGTTGCAATTTTTGATGAGCATTGAAATGAATTTTGCAACCCCTCACAGGGATTGGCGTGGTCGAGTGGTTGAACGCGAGGTAAAGTTGCAATTCCCGAAAGCTTCGCGAAGGGTTCTTCCGTGTGGAACGCCGCAGTTGAGTACATAGATGACAGACATAGAATCAACTTACTTGACTCCATACTTTACTCTACACTTGATACTTGACTCTACACTTGATACTTACTTACTTAATGTTAACCTACTTTTTATAAATCCCCCCTCAATTACAAAACCCCACCCCCGGAACTCAATTATAAACCCCCCCTCAATTACAAAACCTTCCGGCCCAAATCCCCGAAATTAGATACTTCTTGTTGTGTGTTGTTGTGTGAGAGAGAGAAAAGGAGAGAAACTGCAGCTACTGCGAGAGCTTGAGGTCTGCAGAGAGAGACAAACTGCAGCTACTGCGATGGCTTGAGGTCTGCAGAGAGAGAGAGAGAGAGAGAAACTGCAGCTACTGCGAGAGCTTGAGGTCTGCAGAGAGAGAGAAACTGCAGCTACTAAGACTGCGTGAGGTCTGCAGAAAGAAAGAAACTGCAACTACTACGACTGCTTCAGGTCTGCAGAGAGAGAGAAACTGCAGCTACTCAGATTTAGAGGGCCTCAGAAACCATTCCCGGAGCCAAAAATCAATCCATCCTGATGGAGTACTAACAAAGGCCGTTCTTCGCAATTATAAACCCCCCTCAATTATAAACTCCCGCCGGGGAGGGCCTTTTGCTTCAGAAGCCAAGCCCTTCATTGGGAAAGCTTTAGCTTCCAAAGCCACCGGACTCCGAAACCGCAGATTTAGAGGGCCTCAGAAACCATGCCTTCCTTAATAAAGTTCCTTATTCCCGGGGCCAAAAATCAATCCATCCTGATGGAGTACTAAGAAAGGCCGTTCTTCGCAATTATAAACACCCCCTCAATTATAAACTCCCGCCGGGGAGGGCCTTTTGGTGGTGCCTTTAAAGGCCTTGAAAAGGACAGCAAGCTTTACAGGCCAAGCCCTTCATTGGGAAAGCTCTGGATTCAAAAGAAAAGCAAGCTGTGGGAGCAGAGTCGTTGATTTGAATAACCTGCCTATAGCAGCCATGCCCTTGCTTGCGAAAGCTTCGGCTTTCAAAGGAGGAGGGAGAGGACCGCAGGATCATTGTTCATTGCTGGTACTTTACCAAACGTGCCCTGTCCGCCGGAAGAGCTGGACTCAGAGGCTGTGCTGCTACTGTACTATACTACTGTACTACGACGACCGACCCCCCCCTCAATAATCAATCCCCCCCACCCCGGGCGCCAAATCAATCAACCGGGGGGGGGGGGGGTTTATTAATAGGTTGAGGTTGACATTACTTGTGACTTACTCTGTGACTTACTCTGTGACTTACTCTGTGACTTACTCTTGACTTACTCTGTGACTTACTCTGTGACTTACTCTCTGACTTACTTACTCTCTGACTTACTCTCTGACTTACTCTGTACCTCTCTACATACTCTCTACATCTCGTGACTTACTTTTGACTTACTCTGTGATTTACTCTGTGACTTACTCTCTGACTTACTCTCTGACTTACTCTCTGACTTACTCTCTACCTCTCTACATACTCTCTACATCTCGGTATCTAAATCTCTCTTCTAAAGCCAGGGGTGGCACCGTCGTCGTCCATCGGGAATGCACCCCTTCCCAAGGATTCGCCTCCTCGAGCGCCCAAACGCTAGGTAAAGTTACACATTTTAGGGTTCCCGCGCAACCCTTCCCAGGGATTCGCCTCCTCGAGCGCCCAAACGCTAGGTAAAGTTACACATATTTAGGCGCGCAACCCTTCCCAGGGATTCGCCTCCTCGAGCGCCCAAACGCTAGGTAAAGTTACACATTTTAGGCGCCCGGCGCAACCCTTCCCAGGGATTGGAACTCTCGAGCGCCCAGACGCTAGGTAAAGTTACACATTTTAGGGTTCCCGCGCAACCCTTCACAGGGATTCGCCTCCTCGGGCGTTCAAACGCGAGGTAAAGTTACACATTTTAGGGTTCCCGCGCAACCCTTCCCAGGGATTCGCTTCCTCGGGTGTTCAAACGCGAAGTAAAGTTACACATTTTGCGGGCGCCGCGCAACCCTTCACAGGGTTTGGGCGCAGCTCAACTGCATTTTGCAACCCTTCACAGGGATTGGCATTTTGCAACCATTCACAGGGATTGGCATGGTCGAATGCACGAACGCTAGGTAAAGTTGCATTTTTTGATGTGCATTGAAATGAATTTTGCAACCCTTCACAGGGATTGGCGTGGTCGAGTGTTCGAACGCGAGGTAAAGTTGCAATTTTTTATGTGCATTGAGATGAATTTTGCAACCCTTCACAGGGATTGGCGTGGTCGAGTGTCCGAACGCGAGGCAAAGTTGCAATTTTTGATGTGCATTGAAATGAATTTTGCAACCCTTCACAGGGATTGGCGTGGTCGAGTGTTCGAACGCGAGGTAAAGTTGCAATTTTTGATGTGCATTGAGATGAATTTTGCAACCCTTCACACAGATTGGCGTTGTCGAGTGTTCGAATGCGAGGTAAAGTTATTACTTTTGATGTGCATTGAGGTGAAACTTGCAACCCTTCACAGAAATTGGCGTTGTCGAGTGTTCGAACTAGTACTAGTACTACTACTACCACTACCACTACTATAACTATTATTACTACTACTACTGCTACTACTACCACTACTACAAAAGAATACTACTACTACTACTACTACTACTACTACTGCTATTACTACTAGTACTACTACTACTACTACTACCACTACTACTACCACTACTACTGCTACTGCTACTACTGCTACTACTACTACTACTACTACTACTACTACTAGTACCACAACAACAACTACAACTACAACAACAACAACTACTACTACTACTACGACCACGACTGCGACTACGCGACGACGACTACTACTACAACTACTACGACTACCACTACTATCACTACTACTAGTACTGGTACTGCTAGTACTACTACTGCTACTGCTACTACTACTACTACTACTACTACTACTACTGCTGCGACATAAAGTGACCATGCATAGAGTCATAGAGTCACGTTGAAACCACAGTAATCAGGGATGTCTATATAGTGAGGTTCCGGAGCTAGGAAAGGAAGACTTCTGCGTCATGTTGGACTATACTCTAAACCCGCTAAACCTGAACATTAGTGTTCATAGAGTGAACTACATCAAGTCAAGTGCGTGGTACATAGATGACTCCATGACTCTATGACTCTTTCTCACTCGGACGCTATGACTCTATAACACTATGACTCTATGATTCTGTCTCACTGTGACTCTATGACTCTATATGACTCTATGACTCTTTGAACTATGACTTGTGCTTGACATTTACTCGACTCTATTTCTCGATGACTCTATGAACTATGACTTGTACGACTCTTGACTGTATGTGACACTCCGACTCTGTGACTCCGTGCTTTTGACTCGGTGACTCTATGACCCTATACACTGGATTCTATGACGTAGCGTAACACTCTTCGCTGATGATGCTTTCGGGCCAATTGTCTTCTAGTTTTATGGACTTATATAAGGAAATCATAACAAGGAACCCTAAAAAGGTAGGTTATTCCGGCTTAAGGTAGGTATACTGAGACCCTTAGGGCTCTTGAAGATGTGACCCGCCTTCTCGTCGGAGCCCTCCTGGAGTTCCGCAAACGCATACGAATGCGTCGGCTTCTCGAAGAAATCAGGCCTTCAGAGGGTTTAGGGTTTTTTCCCTCCTACCTAGCAAGGACGAAGCCAGGGTTTAGGGTTTAGGGTTAAGGGTGATTGAGCTAAACGCTTCGGAGAGAGACGGTTTACGCTCTCGCAACTCGCATCCAGACGAGGTTCGTGTAGGGTTTAGGGTCTATAAGGGACCCTAAACCCTAAACCCTGAGAGCTAAACGCTCGGTCAAGAACGGTCTCTGTTGTTTTGGGTGTAGCTTTAGGGTTTAGGGCAGTTTAGGGTTTAGGGTAAGATGTAATCCGACACATGTGCTATTTTAGATTCGCCTCCTAAGGCTGCTGTAAGGTGTTCCATGTTAGTTTCCGGGGGGGGATTAGGGTTTAGGGGTCTTCGTAGGAAGTTAGGGTTTAGGGGTCTTCGTATGTTGCAGGGGCGGGAGTGTCCTCCTTGTCCACTGCCGAGAGACGGGTTTTCGGTTTAGGGTCCACAGTGATTCGGATTTGCAGTGCACAGTGCCTGAGATTTTGCCAAGTTTAGGGTTTATTTGAAAAGCTAATTAAGCTTCAGGGTTCAGGCGTCGCAGGATTTGGGAAAAGCAGCGAACAATTGCGAAAGATGCGCCATCGGCAGGCGACAGAACATCAGTTCAATGGGTTCAATTTTTAGAGGCAGGGTTTAGGGATAGTGTTGGGACGGCAAACCGGTTTTCATAGAGCATACACCTCAACCAAGTGGCACCAAAGGGTCTGCCACCACCGACTCATTGGCGGTGCCATCCTGCATCTGCATCCAGAACACATAATATGGGGGGCCTTAATAACAAGAAATGCTGTAGTTATGATCAGAGGGGTGAGAGACCTTAAGGAATAGTATTACTCATTTTTCAGGCCACGCCCCAACAATGAAGCCTCAAACCCGAATCCGGGTTTGAGGTCTTCCTCTTGTAAGGGCCCCATTGCCACTGGCCTGTTTGTTTGTCTTTGTGAATGCGTCCTAAACCCTGAATCCTATTGTAGACCCCAGAGGCTTAGCCACCCTTCTGTGCCATATAAAGAGATCCGACAACTACGGCCTCCTAAACTCAATACCGCACAACCTCTAACGACAAGAAACAATAAACTCCTCTGGAAAGCCGTGACTTTGAGGAACCCTACATCCTGAGTTCCAGCTGCAGACCAACCGGAATTTGCTTTGAGTTTCAGGTTTAAGAGCCTTAATATCAGCAGTTATTATCCCTATCCTCGGAGACTTGAACAGTGTCCCAGAAGTGTCCAAGTATTGAATGGCAGGCATGCCTGGACCCTACCTGGAGGTTCAGGGACTTAGTAGCAGGGTTAGAAGCAATGCAACTTTATATCTAGCTATAACCCCAATTAAAGAAACTATAACCCCGAAGCACCCTAAACCCTTCTTGCACAGACTTGTATATGCCCGCCTGGATGTCGGATGTCAGAGCCGCTGCACCCGTGGCAGTAACCCTATACCCTAAACCTCAGACCTCCTAGACGAATCTTTAAACCATTAAAGGAACCAAGTAAACCCTGCCTCCAAAAGCACCCTAAACCCTAAACCTTGAGCCTATACAGACCTCTTAGACAAACCCGTAGATTATCGAAGGAAGCAAGTAAAACCTAATCAACCTGCGAGTTTCCGAAAATAGGGGACCCTACTATAGCACCCTAAATTGTAGGATTATTATGAGTACCCCAAAACAAGGTACCCCAAAATTTCGGAAAATCACTAAACCCCTCTCGAGCCCTTTTTATAGTACCCCTATAGTACCCCCTTTAAAGGAACCCTTGGGACCCCCAAAGTTTTCGGACACTCCCAGTTCGCTTGGAGGAGCACCCTGACCTAGCCTCGAACTCGACCTGGAAGGGCGGATAGATGCCTAGGTGCCCCAGTCAGTAGCCCCCTAAACCCCTAAACCCTAAACCCTAAACCCCAGTCAGTAGCCCCTTCATAATCACCTAGTTGTCGGGTATCATGGGGAACTTCCTCAGGGTTTGGGGAGCCGGGCTTAGGGGGTTGAGGCAATGTATCATATACTCTCAAAAACAGTAACCTACTTAACTACTATCCTAGACCCGAGTACCTAATTATTAGGTCCTTTGGACGCTTAGGGTAAGGGTGCCCGTTGTCCTACTGCTTGGTTGAATAAGAGAGCCCAAAAAGAAAAAACGCAAAAGGGTACTACTGGGAACCTGGATGCGGAAGAGATTTGCGATGCTGATGCGCAGCTGATCAAGGCCCACCTGATCAGGGTTAAAGGCCCCCACAGCGTACCGTTCTGTAAAGGTTTGGGGTTCTTTTAAAGGGTACTATAGGGGTTTTGTATAGGTGCCTTAATAATTAATACTTACACTGGGGTTTTGGTGCCCATTATTCTATAGTTGTAGAAGGAACCCCCGGTAACTATTTGGGCCCCTACAGCAAGCATGCCCTCCCTAAAACTCTCTGAATCCGAGACCTTGAACCAGTTATGGGGGATTATAAATCCAAGACTTTAAGCCAGTTATGGGGGATTCTGAGCAGACTCACGAAAGTCAGACGGGCCGCAAAAAGGTTCGACTTCAGCGAAGATCGGTTTGGTGCTGAGGTCTTTGCTTCAATCGACATGAGCCCTAAACCCAAAACCCTAAGTTTAGGGTTTGGCGTTGAATTATTTGGGCCGTTCCAGCCTCATCCGGAACTTGGGTCGTACCTGCGGCATCGGGATCCACATAGACCAGATCCGGCCGGAAATAGACGTTGCGATCCAACTGCGATGTATTCAAAGACACCGGTCTCTCTCCATACTTGCTTCCCCCTCCACTTGTGTAGGTTTCAAAGGTGATTCCTTCGAAGGCGTCGTTTGAGACATCGATGTCGCAGTGTATCCCTGTGGAGGTATCGTAGCAAGCCCAGTCGGATGCGGGTGGTACATGGCTACTCGGCAGGCTCTTCACCGTGAGCTGGCAGAGCTCCATGCACGGAACCATGAAAGACTCTTCGAGATTGTGCTCATCCATACCTCGGTTGGTTCAAATCTTGTCTGGGGAAGTCTGCAGCCACCGTCTTCTGTTGGTACACAGATATACGACTAGCCCTCGACAGTATATTTAAACCTTACAGTAGACACCGATGCGCTTATACAATAGATGACGATCAGGGTGGCGGTGATTGCCTTCCGAAGTTGATTCTTGACGATTTGGGCTGTCTTGGAGCTCGCAGTGTGTTCGAAGCTTGGAAGTGTATGGTTCTTATGTGCTTTTGTAAGAGGTTTTAACTTTTAACCCCTTCTGCTACATACTGTCCCAAACTTGAGCGTCTGCCTGCCTGAAAACCCAGAACCCCCAAACCCTGCCGACCCGGAAGTCGTCAACTAAACCGATGAAGCCCTGAACTTACATTTGGTTAGCAGGGAATGGAAGAATGGTTCGTCGTAGTAGTAGTAGTCGTCGTAGTCGTCGTCGTCGTCGTCGTAGTCGTCGTAGTAGTTATACTTGTGCCCCATTTCTCCATTCCCTACAAACCAAAGGTAAGTAAAGAGCAACGCCGCGGCCAGGCCACCGATGAACTCCATGTAGTTGGCCAGAGAGTCAAAGGTCGTGTACAACAGCCCCTGCAAGCATTTCGAATCTTTTTGGGCCTCGGTTTTTTTGGGGGTGTAACTTAGTATGCCAATCAAGGAGCATAAGGGTTTAGGGCTTAGAGCCAATGTGGCCCCGTGGTGGGCTTGTTGAATTCGCTTCGGCGTGTCGGGTTTAGGGTTTAGGGTGCTGAAGCGGATGCTCTCATTGGCTGTCGGACAAGCAGTCGGGAGAAGAAAGGCCTGATCCTGCTTTTCCGAAACTGAACAAACCCTGTAAACCCCAAGCCCTGAAGCCAATGCCCTGAACCCTTTTTGCTCTGTTTGCTCTAAATCCTAAGAGCGAAACCCTAAGCCATGTCCTTCACAGTCAAGACTAAGACTTGCGCGCCAAGGCTGGAAACCGGCAAGCCCGCAAACAAGTGCGTGCTATGCCATGACCGGGACACTCTTTGGTTCAGATGATATGTTCTGAGGAGGCCATAGCCTTTTGAACCCCAAAGAACCATGCAAACCCCCCTGTGCCCAAAACCTGACGTGCGGAAATCCCCAAATCTTCATCCTGCCTGTCCCAAACCCCGAAGCCCTCAGCCGCACAAGGCATCAGGATGTAGGCTTTTCAGGGACCCTGCACCCTTGACTGCCACGCATGCCCTAAACGTTCTTGCTTGCAACCAACCCTACCATCCTGACTACTAAACCCGTTCCCCCTTCTCATTCGCCTGTTTTAAACAGCCTGTGAAAGGATCTCCCCTAAAGTCCCAAACAAACAATACCATTTGCAAAACCCCATTCTCCGGCTCTAACCCTAAAGCCTACATACATAATAGGCCTATGGCCTGTAAGCCCTCAACGCGCTAAACATCCAGCCCGAAACCCTAAACCCTAAACCCTATACATCCTACAGCATAATGAATAAGCTGCTAAACACTAAACTCACCAAACCCACTAAACCCTAAGCCGCTCGTATAAACCGAATCCCCAAACCCTATAAACCCTAAAGTCCCAGCCCGAAGAAGGAACCCTTAAAGGAACCCTTATATAAAGGAACCCGTAAAGGAACCCTTAATCCTTAACTTAAAGGACCCAGCCTGGAGCTCGCTAAAATGAACACGGTCCGGCTTTCCGTCCGGGGTGCCTGACCGAGTTTAAGGATTTACGAAAAACCCTGAAACCAAAACCCGTGGAAATTTTAAACCTCGGACCCCTAAATTGGCTTAGGAGCTTGGGGTTGGGGTGTTACAGCTTGGGTTTATAGACCCTACGTTCGCAAACCACTCGGAGGATCTGGAAAGTAGGTGCCTTAAAGGGTCTCCTCTGAAGCAGCCTGTCTTGGTATATATACAATACCAATGGCGGCTCAACTTGAACCAGATCTTCCCGAAGGTGTGGGTTGCGACTAAACTTGTGGCCTGGGTTTTAAGTTTAGGGCTCGGGTTTGTGCAGGCTCTTTTGGTTGCGGGTTGAAGTTTCGGGGGTCTGCATGTGCTGTGTCTGGTTTAAGATTCAAGGTTTGGGTTCGGGATTGAAGGTTAAGGTTTCTTGTACATGACTTGCCAGGGCTTAGAACGTATGTCCAATGGGCCAGCTACGCAAACAAGTAGCCAAACCGCATGTTCTATGTTCAGGGGTCCACTTACAAGGAATAAGTACAGTAAGGATGCCGCTGTTCAGGGTGTATGATAGGGTGCCTTCTCTTTGTGAATGTTCCATAAGCTTACAAGTAGCCCGAACAGCAACGAGGAATCCGTTGCAGGACGGGTTAAGGCTTCCAGGGTGTAGGCAGTAGGCAGGCGGAGTCTTGGAACTTTTGGATTGCATGGCTTTGGGCACTTTTCCGTGCTACTACATGAAATCCTAAATGCTGAGCACTCTCAGGTCTTGGTGAGTTCGTTCCCACTTGTTCCGCTCGAGCACTGCTGCTCGAATCGCGTTGTCACGTATGCAACCTTCACGACAAAATCGGTGGTACCACGAAAGACATCAAGAAGGGGAAATGCGTTTTCTGGAACCAAAGCCTTCGTGCCAGAGATCTTAAAGGCTTCTCGAGACAGAACGTAGCTGAGTTGCCGGGACTTACAGCAGTGCCTGACTAGCGGCTCTGCAGTGATGCATGAGGACTGCTTCTTATGCAGTTGCTCTCCATGCTGACCATCGTTCCCATAGGGGACATAAGGACATCAACTGCTCTTCTAGAGCATCGATCAGGATGGCTCTTGCTCACGAGCAAACAACAAAGCTCTGTAAGGAAAAACAACCCAAGATCTGGAGCCAGGTTTCCAACTAAACTGACCGATCAAACCCGAAGCACAAATCTCTAAACCCAAACCCTAAAACTCGGAAACCCGAAGCCCTCAGAGCTACCGCTGTGATTCCTTACCCTCTGGAACGCCCCAAACCTACACCCATATCTCTAAACTCCAACCCCCAAGCCCTAAAGGGCGACCATGAACCTTGTAAACAGAAACCGTACATAAGATTCCTAAAAACTCATAACAACATGTGGCACACTATAAAATCTCATATCTCCGCCTACCGAACATAGCCACCTCACACCCTAGTTCCTAGTGCTAGACCCAAAAGCCTTAACCCTGGAAGCTTAACTCTCAAAGACTCAAAGACCCTAAACGAAAAAGGCTGAAAAACACGACGAGCTCTCCGAGCCCGCCTGGCCAGGTTCCGGGACGCCGGCTGATTCGATCGCAGGAATCGGAAACCACCTTTTGAAGGACTCCGAAGGCAGCTATAATGAGGTTTAAGGTTGCTTTCAAGGTTTAAAGCTTTAGGGTATGGGTTTGGACCCGAAAGCTCTAGGCCGTAAACAACCCTAACATGGTTTACGGCTTAAAGCTTTCGGGTTTCGGCGCTCACACTTGGACAATCCAGGCAAGGCGACAGCTTATAGGGTTTATGTGGCATAGACCTTTAGGGTCTATGTGAGTATACGCTCGGGGTAGTACTAGCATCGGTATTAGCAGTGTTAGTACCAGAAGGTTAGTAGCAGAAGGGAATAGTAAGACTTGTATAGTTATCAGTAGTAACTAAAACTAGTAGTGCTAGTATTTGCAGTAAAAAGTTTATCCATTTCATCCATTTCAACCATTTCGAAATGGTTAAAATGGTTGAAATGGTAAAAAAAATCCTGGCCCTCGGACAAAGGCAAAAGGATTTGAAATGGTTGAAACGGTTGAAACGGTTGAAATAGATGAAATGGTTAAAAAGTTCATCCATTTCATCCATTTCAACCATTTCGAAATGGTTGAAATGGTTGAAATGGTTAAAAAATCCTGGCCCTCGGACAAAGGCAAAAGGATTTGAAATTTGAAATGGTTGAAATGGTTGAAACGGTTGAAATAGATGAAATGGTTAAAAAGTTCATCCATTTCAACCATTTCAAAACGGTTGAAATGGTTGAAATGGATAAAAACTTTAACCATTTCAACCGTTTCAACCATTTCAACCATTTTTAATGTTTTGGGCTTCTGCGGGAGTTCAGGGCCAAGAACTTCACTAATTTCATCCATTTCAACCATTTCGAAATGGTTGAAATGTTGTGGCTAAAAAATCCTGACCCTCGGACAAAGGAAAAAGGATTTGAAATGGTTGAAACGGTTGAAATAGATGAAATGGTTAAAAAGTTCATCCATTTCATCCATTTCAACCATTTCGAAATGGTTGAAATGGTTGAAATGGATAAAAACTTTAACCATTTCAACCGTTTCAACCATTTCAACCATTTTTAATGTTTTGGGCTTCTGCGGGAGTTCAGGGCCAAGAATTTCATCCATTTCATCCATTTCAACCATTTCGAAATGGTTGAAATGGTTGAAATGGTTAAAAAATCCTGGCCCTCGGACAAAGGCAAAAGGATTTGAAATGGTTGAAATGGTTGAAACGGTTGAAATAGATGAAATGGTTAAAAAGTTCATCCATTTCATCCATTTCAACCATTTCGAAATGGTTGAAATGGTTGAAATGGATAAAAACTTTAACCATTTCAACCGTTTCAACCATTTCAACCATTTTTAATGTTTTGGGCTTCTGCGGGAGTTCAGGGCCAAGAATTTCATCCATGTCATCCATTTCGAAATGGTCGAAATGGTTGAAATGGTTAAAAAATCCTGGCCCTCGGACAAAGGAAAAAGGATTTGAAATGGTTGAAACGGTTGAAATAGATGAAATGGTTAAAAAGTTCATCCATTTCATCCATTTCGAAATGGTTGAAATGGTTGAAATGGATAAAAACTTTAACCATTTCAACCGTTTCAACCATTTCAACCATTTCAACCATTTTTAATGTTTTGGGCTTCTGCGGGAGTTCAGGGCCAAGAACTTCACTAATTTCATCCATTTCAACCATTTCGAAATGGTTGAAATGGTTGAAATGGCTAAAAAATCCTGGCCCTCGGACAAAGGCAAAAGGATTTGAAATGGTTGAAATGGTTGAAACGGTTGAAATAGATGAAATGGTTAAAAAGTTCATCCATTTCAACCATTTCGAAATGGTTGAAATGGTTGAAATGGATAAAAACTTTAACCATTTCAACCGTTTCAACCATTTCAACCATTTCAACCATTTTTAATGTTTTGGGCTTCTGCGGGAGTTCAGGGCCAAGAACTTCACTAATTTCATCCATTTCAACCATTTCGAAATGGTTGAAATGGTTGAAATGGTTAAAAAATCCTGGCCCTCGGACAAAGGCAAAAGGATTTGAAATGGTTGAAACGGTTGAAATAGATGAAATGGTTAAAAAGTTCATCCATTTCATCCATTTCAACCATTTCAAAATGGTTGAAATGGTTGAAATGGATAAAAACTTTAACCATTTCAACCGTTTCAACCATTTCAACCATTTTTAATGTTTTGGGCTTCTGCGGGAGTTCAGGGCCAAGAATTTCATCCATTTCATCCATTTCAACCATTTCGAAATGGTTGAAATGGTTGAAATGGTTAAAAAATCCTGGCCCTCGGACAAAGGCAAAAGGATTTGAAATGGTTGAAATGGTTGAAACGGTTGAAATAGATGAAATGGTTAAAAAGTTCATCCATTTCATCCATTTCAACCATTTCAAAACGGTTGAAATGGTTGAAATGGATAAAAACTTTAACCATTTCAACCGTTTCAAACATTTCAACCATTTTTAATGTTTTGGGCTTCTGCGGGAGTTCAGGGCCAAGAATTTCATCCATTTCATCCATTTCAACCATTTTGAAATGGTTGAAATGGTTAAAAAATCCTGGCCCTCGGACAAAGGCAAAAGGATTTGAAATGGTTGAAATGTTAGGGCTTGGGGGTTCAGGGATTAGGGTTTAGGGTTCAGGGGTTCAGGGATTAGGGTTTAGGGGTTTAGGGTTTTGGGGTTGGGTTTAGGGTTTAGGGGTTTAGGGTTTTGGGAGGGTTTCAGGGTTTAGGGTTTCGGGTTTTAGGGATCAGGGATTAGGGTTTAAGGGTTTAAGGGTTTTGGGGTTTAGGGTTTAGGGGTTTAGGGTTTTGGGAGGGTTTGAGGGTTTAGGGTTTCGGATTTTAGGGATTAGGGTTTGGGGGTTTAGGGGTCTAGGGTTTAGGGGTTAGGCTTTGGGGCTTAGGGCTTAGGGTTTTGGGGTTTAGGGTTTTAGGGTTTAGGGGTTGGGGGGTCAGGGATCAGGGTTTAGGGGTTTAGGGGCTTAGGGGTTTAGGGGCTTAGGGTTTAGGGTTTAAGGAGGGTTTAGGGGTTAGGGTTTAAGGGTTTAGGGTTTTAGGGTTTAGGGGCTGGGGGTTCAGGGACTAGGGTTTAGGGTTCAGGGGTTTAGGGTTTTTGGGTTTAGGGTTTTGCGAGGGTTCACAGGCTCAGCACTGTTTGCTACATGAAGGACAACGAAAGGCCGCAATCCAGAGCAGCAGTACTCCCTAGCACAATTCTTCCGACGAATGTGGGCTGAACCGCTGCCACGAGCCAACTGCCACTGTCACATGGGCCAGTCTTCTAACTTCAACTGAAGCTTACGATGACATGTTCGGTATCACTCAAGATGAAATGCAACAAGGGGTCCGCCTTGGGTACCTAGAGAAAGAAGATGGAATCGCTTTTCACATCACTGCTTGGCATGTACAGCAATTCTGCTTCGAAACGCACCGGAGAGCGCACACTGGAAGCAAATGGAGCGCACACTGGAAACAAATAGGAGCGCACACTCGAGCCCTCCCCCTTATTTTACTCAAACTCTCCTTTCCGCCTTCTCCTGGCACATCTCTTTTATTCCTTTTCTGCTAATCTTTACTCTTGCCTTCCTCCTCTCCTACTCCCAATGTGTGGCTCCTTTTCAACTAGTCGAACTCCCCGTTTTGTGTTCGCATATTCCTGTCCTCCGACTCCTAATGTCAAACTGACCCTGCACATACTCCTGCTCTCTCCGCCCCCTGTCCTCCTGTTTGAAACGTGCTACTTTCATTCTCTTAGTCTCATTCCAGCTCCCTCATCATGTCCACTTCTAGACTAGTTGTCCTCTTGTTTTATTCCTACTCTCTCAATTGAGTTTCCTATTCCGTACCCTCCATGCACCTCCTCTGAGGGCGACTTCTACCGCTACTCCTGTTCTTACCCTTACTCTCTCCTACCCGTATGTGAATGATTCCTAGTTTTTCCCGATTCCCACCACTATGTATCATGCTTGATTCTTATTCCAGCTCTCTTATTTCCACGTCTAGACTACCTGTCCTAGTCTTCTACTGTAATCTCTGAATTCGCTTCCCACTCCTTACCACCCCCCTCCCCCTCTACACCTCCGCTGAGCGCTACTTCAAAGGTTCTACCGCTACTCCTGTTCTCATCGTGCCCCTCCACTTTTGGTATTCCTGGTCTTGTCCCCATCTCTACCACTGCTGTTATTCCTACTGCCCTACCTCGCTCGATGCGCACTCCTTAAGGAGGAGGAAGAGAAGAGTAGGAGTAGGAATGGAATAGTAGCAGTAGGAGAGTAGGAGTAGACGTAAGGTTAGTATTCCAACAGAAAGAGGAGACTAGGGGCAAAGAGAATACGAATCAGAGCGAAGGAATAGAAGAGTAGGAGTGGGAGAGTGCGAGTAAGAGAGTAGGAGTAGGAGAGTGTCTTGTTAGAAGAGCAGGAGTAGGAGAGTAGCCAGAAAGTAATAAAACAGGACCGCAGGAGAGGAGGACACCCCGAAAGTAGGAGAATGAGGAGTTGAGAGCGGGAAAGAAGGTACTTGAACAAAACGTGGAGAATGAATCTGTAATAGGGCCACAGGAGCATGAGCATGGAAGTAGGAGAGTAGGACTATGAACATGGGACTAGCAAGGTACGAATGCGAGAGTAAGAGTGGCAGAGGGCAGGAGTGGAAAAGCGGTAGGAAAGCCACGGTAGGTTACCAATACAAGAAGGTAGAAATAGAGGAACGAGAGGGTAGGAGTAGGAGAGTAAGCGAACAAAATGCAGAAAGGTGGAGTGACATGATGGGATTGAACAAAGCAAAGCGGAGACTCCGATCCCCATCATATTCCCACCCCATTACCTGTATGTTCCGAGTCCTATTCCTCTATTGCTGCCTAGGAGTAGGATGAATTCGACACTAGGGATAGGAGAAAAGTAGTGTAAGAGAAATGATGTTGTCAAGGCATCGAAAGTAGATTTCCCAACAGAGAAATAGTAGGTTAATAAGAGAGGCAGAGCAGGAAAGTAAGTGCAATAATCGGAGACTAGGGGTAGGTGGATAGGAGTACAAGATTAGGAGATTAGTAGACTAACATAACAGGCAGGTAAGATGCCATCATTTTACTCCCACTCTCCTATTCGCCGTCTCCTGGTACGTCTCTTTTACTCCTTTTCTGCTAATTTCTACTCTTGCCTTCCTCCTCTCCTACTCCCAATGTGTGGCTCCTTTTCAACTAGTCGAACTCCCCGTTTTGTGTTCGCATATTCCTGTCCTCCGACTCCTAATGTCAAACTGACCCTGCACATACTCCTGCTCTCTCCGCCCCCTGTCCTCCTGTTTGAAACATGCTACTTTCATTCTCTTAGTCTCATTCCAGCTCCCTCATCATGTCCACTTCTAGACTAGTTGTCCTCTTGTTTTATTCCTACTCTCTCAATTGAGTTTCCTATTCCTTACCCTCCATGCACCTCCTCTGAGGGCGACTTCTACCGCTACTCCTGTTCTTACTCCTACTCCCTCCTACATGTCTTATAACGCTAGTTCTCCCAATTCCCTCCACTATAGATTTACTGTCTGATGCTTATTCCAGCGTTCTTACGTCTACATCTAGACTACCTGTCCAAGTCTTCTACTTCTACTCTCTGAATCCTACTGTCAAACTGACCCGGCACATACTCCTATTCTCTCCGCCCCCCGTCCTCCTGTTTGAAACGAGCTACCCTCATTCTCTTAGTCTTATTCCAGCTCCCTCATGTCCACTTCTAGACTAGTTGTCCTCTTCTTTTATTCCTACTCTCTCAATTGAGTTTCCTATTCCTTACCCTACATGCACCTCCTCCGAGGGCGACTTCTACCGCTACTCCTGTTCCTACTCCTACTCTCTCCAGTTACTCCTAATTCTCCCAATTCCCGCCAGTATAGATATACTGTCTGATGCTTATTCCAGCTTTCTTACGTCTACATCTAGACTACCTGTCCAAGTCTTTTACTTCTACTCTCTGAATTCGCTTCCCACTCCTCCGACTCCTACTGTCAAACTGACCCGGCACATACTCCTATGCTCTCCGCCCCCCGTCCTCCTGTTTGAAACGAGCTACTCTCATTCTCTTAGTCTTATTCCAGCTGCCTCATGTCCACTTCTAGACTAGTTGTCCTCTTCTTCTTTTATTCCTCCTCTCTCAATTGATTTTCCTATTCCTTACCCTCCATGCACCTCCTCTTAGGGCTACTTCTGCCGCCACTCCTAATCTTACTCCTAGTCTCTCCTACATGTCTGCTAGTTAATCCTAATTCTCCTAATTCCCGCCACCATAGATATACTGTCTGATGCTTATTCCAGCTTTCTTATGTCGACATCTAGACGACCTGTCCAAGTCTTCTACGTCTACTCTCTGAATTCGTTTCCCACTCCTAAAACCGGCCCCCCTCTACACCTCCGCTGAGCGCTAATTACTTCAAAGTTTCTACCGCTACTCCTGTTCTTATCGTGTCCCTCCACTTTTGGTACTCCTTGTCTTGCCCCTATCTCTACCACTGCTGTTATGCTGTTATTCCTACTGCCCTACCTCGATGCGCACTCATGAAAGGGGAGGAAGAGAAGAGTAGGAGTAGGAATGGAATAGTAGCAGTAGGAGAGTAGGACTAGTCGTAAGGTTAGTATTCCAACAGAAGAGGAGACTAGGGGCAAAGAGAATACGAATCAGAGCGAAGGAATAGAAGAGTAGGAGTGGGAGAGTGCGAGTAAGAGAGTAGGAGTAGGAGAGTGTCTTGTTAGAAGAGCAGGAGTAGGAGAGTAGCCAGAAAGTTTTAAAACAGGACCGCAGGAGAGGAGGACACCCCGAAAGTAGGAGAATGAGGAGTTGAGAGCGGGAAAGAAGGTACTTGAACAAAACGTGGAGAATGAATCTGTAAAGGGCCACAGGAGCATGAGCATGGAAGTAGGAGAGTAGGACTATGAACATGGGACTAGCAAGGTACGAATGCGAGAGTAAGAGTGGCAGAGGGCAGGAGTGGAAAAGCGGTAGGAAAGCCACGGTAGGTTACCAATACAAGAAGGTAGAAATAGAGGAACGAGAGGGTAGGAGTAGGAGAGTAAGCGAACAAAATGCAGAAAGGTGGAGTGACATGATGGGATTGAACAAAGCAAAGCGTAGACTCCGATCCCCATCATATTCCCACCCCATTACCTGTATGTTCCGAGTCCTATTCCTCTATTGCTGCCTAGGAGTAGGATGAATTCGACACTAGGGATAGGAGAAAAGTAGTGTAAGAGAAATGATGTTGTCAAGGCATCGAAAGTAGATTTCCCAACAGAGAGTAGTAGGTTTATAAGAGAGGCAGAGCAGGAAAGTAAGTGCAATAATCGGAGACTAGGGGTAGGTGGATAGGAGTACAAGATTAGGAGATTAGTAGACTAACATAACAGGCTAGTAAGATGCCATCATCTTACTCCCACTCTCCTATTCGCCGTCTCCTGGTACGTCTCTTTTACTCCTTTTCTGCTAATTTCTACTCTTGCCTTCCTCCTCTCCTACTCCCAATGTGTGGCACCTTTTCAACTAGTCGAACTCCCTGTTTTTTGTTCGCATATTCCTCTCCTCCGACTCCTACTGTCAAACTGACCCTGCACATACTCCTGCTCTCTCCGCCCCCTGTCCTCCTCTTTGAAACGTGCTAACTTACTCCTACTCTCTCCTACATGTCTGCTAGTTACTCCTAGTTTTTCCCAATTCCCACCACGATATTTCTACTGCTCTACCTCGATGCCTACTCACTGGAGGGAAGGACTACTAAAATGTAGCAGGAAGAGAGTTGGAGTAAAAGTTTGCATGGAGTTTACGACTTAGGGTTGAGAGTTACGGGTTCAGTGTTTAGAGTTTGGGCCGAACCTTGGGGGTTTGAGGTTTGGAGTTCAGATGCTGCAGTATGGCTTTTAGTAGGGAAAGGAGAAAAGAACCTCACATAGACCCTAAAGGTCCAACGTACATAGGGTTTATAGGGCTAAGGGCCCCCCAGGTGGGATGTTTAGGATTTAGGGGTTTTGGTTTAGGAGGGTAGCTGGAGCAATCCTAAACAAGAGTCCTTACTCACGGGCCACCCCGCCCTCAGCATTAGCGCTTTGGGCGTTGCTGGGCGGTTTCACGCGCTTTTTGCTTATGTCCATAAAGGTAGACCAGGTTGTGGTCTGGTGCTGGTTTGAGGAGGCAAAAAAGTTACTGGTAGGCCCAATGGAAACCTTTCCCATGAGCCCCATACGTTTCGAGACCCTGGCTGACTTCTGACCCCTCCTAAAAGTTAAACTGCTAGCCTACTTATTATAGTTCACATAAACACCCAAAACGTCCTAAGAGTTAACCAGAAGAGCACCAAGAACCTCTAGTGACCCTTGCGGCACCTCTTGGTCACACAATGGCTCATGACCCAGCAGGCTCTCCGCGTCATCTCCTCAGAGGGATTCCCAGTTTGGGGCCTTTGGGTGCAAGATTTGCGGTTCAGATTCTTAGGACGAAGTTTTAGATAGGGCGCCAACAAAGCACAAAAGCAAAAATTAGGAGAGGGATCTACCATACAAACCCCTTAAAAGGAAGCCCAATAAGGTAGGGATATCCCGGTTTAAAATGCTTATGCTTGTGTGCTTTTTGGGTCCCTAATTAGAGTCTGCTTGAGGTTCAAGGTTCAGGCTCTGAGCAGGTCAAGTGCCTGAGTTTCTTGCCTGAAAGGCAACACAGTAGAAGCCCAAAAGTTGGAAACCCAATAGCCTCAGTCCTAGAGACTACCGTATAAGGAATCCCAGCACTATTTGTCCTTAATTCTGTTTCCAACTTTATGGAGTTTGCTGTACAAAGTCTGGGGTATGTTGAGGACTCGGGGTGCAAAGGTGCAGTGTCTAGGTTGGTGAATTCCTTGTAGGGGAAGAAGCTACAACTTCGGAAGGCGCACGGAACAATAACTAATGTAGGGACCTGATTAAGAAACCCTGGCCCTATAACCCCCAGTATAGTAGGATTCATAGAAAGGAACCCAAATGAAGTCCCAGGGTTTCTTACCTCAGGTTCCTACCTTAACCTACCAAACCCTACTTTTTTGTAGGTTCTTAATATAAACCCTATTATGAAATGTATAGGGACCCTACAAAAAAGTAGGTTTTGGTAGGTTAAGGTACACTACCACCTGAGCCTGCAATCTGTGGCGACAGACATCCGAATCCGTTTCACGTTTCAGGAGATCTCGGGCTCCTGTCAAACGGGAAAAGGAGGGACCCTTGATGGGGACCCCTACCCCATAATGGGCTTTCTAATGGGTATATAATAGCTATGTTAAAGGTATATACCTAGGGGTCCTTATTAAGGGTCCCTCCTTTTACCCTTGGAGAGTTGCTGGGTTCCGTAGTCCCCCGGGTGCCCTTTGCAACACCTCGCGTGGCTCTATATCCCCCAGAATAGCTGTGGCCAAAAGCCACCGACTCCGTTGCTAGAATTATCTGAGTTGTCCTTTAAGCCCTTTGAAAATTATTTACTATTATGGTTCTCTACACAGTAGTAGGGGAAATTTAAAAGACCCAGTCATAATGGGTCCGCCAACAAATGACGCTAAGTTCGAGTCTCGGGGGGGTAAAGCTCCATGCGACAGCCAAAGAAGAGAACGGAACTGTAATTACGTACTGTCACCCACCATCCCAATTTCCTGTAAGCCCTACTTGTACCCTCAATATCAACAACCTACCTTTTGAAAGACTGGAAAAAAAGGAACTCATAGCAGGGAGCCCGAAGAAGGTAGGCACCAACCTAAACGCAAATCCTAAACCCTCAACCCAATCCGGAAACTACCCTTTTTGAAGCTTAGCAGACTCCTCACAAGTTCTATGCGTGGCCAGTCGCTAGAGCGAAGTCCTGCAGCTAAGATGAGGGCGCCACCAATCTGGGTTTGGAGTTTAGCGTGGGCATCCCGTACAAGTTGATTTGGGGTTTAGGGTTCAGGGTTCAGGGTTTAGGGATTAAGGATTAGGGGTCATAGCTGGGACATACCATGATGAAGACCCAGGCTTTCCGTACCATTGCACCTTCGACTAAGTTAAGCTCCGGATCAAGACAACAGCAGGGCGTGATGATTCAAGCATTCGAGGCTCGTCCAGGGTCAAATGGACAGAAGCCTATAGAAATGCTAAGACGAGTCCTTAGGGCCCGTATTATTATACTTGTACTACTGTGAGGAAGCTCGAAGACCTATTGCAGTAATGGCCCCTATACCAGCTGGTCGTGGTCCGGGTGTCATTACGAGCTCGCGGCCAGTGCTTTGGGGGACATCTTTCCATCTAAGATAATCTAAGTGAGTCTCGATTCGCGAGCAGGACTCCCCAAAAAGACAAACTGAAACCCCAAGCCACGTTGAAGAGTTTCGTCTGAATTTACAGCAGTCGGAGAGGCAGTTGCCTTTGAGCTGATGGCATACAAAGCCGGCCAACGTTTCTCGATAGTTCTGAAACACGAAAACACACGCACTCTCTCTCTCCCTCTCTCTCCCAGCGAGCCCGGTACTCCTGAGATCAGGAATATAAGAAACCGAAATTAAAAAATAAGTTAAGGAACAGTCCTTAATCAATGGGCTCTCCGGGTTCTTGCCTGCTGTGAGGGTCCGGGAAAAGGCTTCTCTGAGTCGCTGGCCATCAGGGTTCTCCTTCTGGGGTTTACAGTTCAGAGTCTAGGGTTCAGGATTTATGAAACCCTAAACCCTAAACCCTAAACCCTAAACCCTATGTTGGGGTTGGGGGGTGTAGAGTTAAATATAGATTGGGATGCGTTGGGGCCATCTGGCTCTCGGTTTCTACATCTATAGGCTTGAGGAGGGCACTCTGACATCAATATCTCTTCTAGATTCCAAGACATCACTGAGACTGGACCCTTCTCCTTATAAGACCAATCGATTGTGCGAACTAGAACAGAAAATGATACTGATATAAGAGGCAGCTTTCCTTTGTTGGGGTAGACCCTACACCCCTTATTGCTACTGGGCTCAAGTCTGGAAACCCCGAACCCCTGAACCCTAAATTGTCCTAACTACTCGTTCGGAACCCGTGGATCACCCTTGCGCAGGAACCCTTAATGGAGCGCTAAACCGACCCACAGACCCTAAATGCTAAACCTGGAAGCCCCCGAGCATCCCCACAGTAAACCCCTATAACCCTTGATCGCTCTCTCCCCTGAACCCCTCGACCCCCAAACCCTAAAACCTGAACTGCTCAACCCCTCTTTTTTGCTGCTGGGCTTGAGGACTAGCCAGATACGACCTGTAGCATCACGACCCCCTAAGCGCCTAAACCCCCAAACCCCCAAAAAGCTAAACCCTGAACCGCTGAACACTTTCTATAGTGAACCCCAGAAAGTTTGAAACCGGATTAAGGGCACACAGTGCTGGGATCCCCTGTGCATTGATCTTGAGGCTATTGGGTTTCCAACTTTTGGGCTTCTGCCGTAAACCCTCAACTGTTACCGACTCCAAGCGGCTCGAAGAAATCGCCACAGGCCAGGCGCCATCGGTTGAGATGAAAAGAGATCCCAATACCCCCCCCCGGCAAGCAGCACACACAGGGTTGAAGGGTTTAGAGCCTTGGGATCTATTCTAATACCCAGCATAGCAAGCAAGGTCCCTGAAGTTGTGGAGGCGCCCAGACATACCATGATTCAAGATATACTTCCCAATTCGGAGGAGTTGGCCTCACTGTGAATCCAGAGATTCGGTTGGAGAATGCGTGTAGGTTCTGCTAGCTTTCCATACAACAGAATCCTTCGTTCCGAGATATTGGCCGGAGAAGTTGGCAAACAACAAAAGGCAGTCGCCCTGGCTTGGATGCTTGAGCCAGACTGCTTTTCAGTTCAGGAAGTAGTTTGTAGGGAGCAGCAAACTCCTTGAATAGGAGATGCTCCGTTAGTCATTGATGATAAGATGCCCAAGGATATATGAGGAACATTCCTTAACTTAACAAAGGAACACAAGGGATATCTCGGGTGCACCGGCTGAAAACTTCGAACAGCGCCACCGAAGTATGTTATGTAGTTAACCAAGCCTACGAGCATACAACTCTGCACAAACTCCGTTCAACATCATTTAGAAAACAATCCCTGACACAGCGCAAGAGACCTTACAAAATCACAATTTGCCAGCCTCTTGGTTGGTGAGCCCCGTAATCAAAGCGCCGGTGTCAATGAGGGCGTTGCATCGGTTCTGATGCCTTCGATCGACCGGGCTTCTTGCAGCTATGCATATACATATATGTGTGCGTACGCATGCATACATACATACATATATATATATATATACAATACTTATCTATATGCATATGTAATATGTATGCACATGTGTATGTACAAATATATAGACAGATCGGCATAAAAATGAACAGATAGGTGCAATCACAAATACATGCATTTCAACTCCAGAGGCTAAGGGCATGTTCTTCAACTTCGATTCAGATTCAGTGCGAGCTTGACTGCGCAGTGACAGATCTGCTTCCATAGAGAGAAGCCGCACAACATACAGAACAACACCATTACAACGAGAACAGGCGGCCTAGTCAAGCTGGCTTCCCAAAAAAATGTCGAAGGAAAAAGATCCCAAAGGACAACCCAGGTTTTGGCGTCTCTACTGCAAAACAACCTGAAGCCACAAGTGAACCCAGACCCGACATTGCTACAAACCCAAATCCGAAAGCGAGTGCGTCACAGGGTTTGGGGTTCGATTTAGGGTTTGAGGTTTCGGCGCTCACACTCGGACAATCCAGGCGAGGCATATGGTTCGGAGTCTGGGTTTGGGGTTTGGGGTTCAGGGTTTAGAGTTCAGGTACGTATGTTTGCTTTGAGAAGCCTGTGTCGATATCAAACCAGCAGTAGGCCTTCCCCTAAAATTGAATCTTAGTCCAAACCTGCATTGCCGTAGCTTTCACTCCACAGCCGGAAAAATCTAGAAACACCACATTTCCTGATATTTGTACAATTACAATCCCCGAACGAACCGAATCTACATAAAACCCGAGCGATCCCCCGAAACAGTCCAAGACAACAACAGAATCTACAACCCTCAAAACCGATCTGCGGTTCTAGCTCAAGCCCAAACCTACCCAAATCTTGCAGCATGCTTCACAATTGAAGAATATTCCGTAGAATAACAGACAATAGGCCGCCCGATGTGATTGTAGAGAGAATTGCAAGGAGTATCCCTCAATCATGGCGTAATCTGGGCACACATTGAATTCCCAAAGGGTTCTCCAAGTTGGGGTCCCTTTTCAGCCCCCAAAATAACACGGTGCACTTATAAAGGGAACCCCAAAAAGGACCCTAATCTAGAGAATGTCCAAATCGAAGTCTGCAAGCCTCGGCTGTTTGCACTCCGAGGCGCGCAGCTTCGATGATGCTGTCCAGGAGCAGCTCAACATTCCAGCCTTAACTAGGGATCCTAAACCCCAAGCCCTAAACCCTGACTCGGTATCCTAAACCCCACAGCCGCAACTCAAGTTCTGAGCTCCCCTCCTTCCTGTCACAAGTGATATATAAGTCCATGCAAAACCCAAAGCCAGCTTCCCCAGCATCTGGTCGAGAATGAGTTTTCAAGGAGGAGTGAAAGGCTATGCGGGTACTACTTCGGGCCCCCAAAACGCGCATACGCAAACATGAAGATGTCAGGTAAAGATATCCCTGTAACATGCTTCTAATTTCTGTCCTTGTTGGGTCCCGAACTGCTGAATCTACCCTACACCCTACTTGTCGGGTATCATGGGGAACTAAAGGTTAATCTTTTTGGGTGTATAGGGATTATATAGGGGCTATACTACCCAAAAAAGGTTAAAGGTTACCTACTCTACTACTAGGCTTTGACACGCGTAGCTCAGAAGAGGCGTGGCCTGGCTGCACGGCTTCGAAGGTCACAACCTCTCCGACCGCTTCAGCTCCGCACGAATTCGGTTTTCGGCTTTAGAGTTTAGGGCAGGAATGCGGGTTAAGGGTTTGGGGATGTTTGTCGTGGTTGTGGTTTGAGTGTTTCTAGCGAAAGCCTGAACTTAAAACCACGAAGCCCGGAACGCTATTCTGTTGGATGTGGTTTGCGGCTTGGCTGTGTTGCTGGTGTTTGCTCTGGCCCCGGATGTAGTGCTTTCGGTTTCGGGTTTTGGGTCTTGTTTGTTGTGGGTTGTGGGTTTCTCTCTGAGGGATCCTTGCCTACATGAAGAAGGCCTTTCGGCCGTTCCGGATGATTGTGGCCAGGTCAAGGGCTTTACGAGTGTAAGGCTCTTGGACTTGTCTACAGCTTTAGGGCCCAGGGCTCCCAGAGACTCCAATATCCCTTAATTGAGGAATATACCTTAAATTATGGTAGGATCCCTGATATGATTTAAGGAATACTCCTTAATTAAGGGATATTGGAGTCTCTGGGCTTGAGCCTGTCCAAAGAGTCCAAGTACTAAGCAATCGTATACTGCCGAAGTACTAGGCTACGAAACTACAATCAACTAGGTGGGGCGTTTACAGTAAAGCCTTTGAAAAATACTAGTAAATAAGATCCTCTTAAGCCCAATAAGGGAAAATATAAAATGTCCCAAAGCCCTACCTAGTCAAGGAATATACCTGAAATTATGGTAGGTGGTGGGGCCTGGAGGCCCGGCTTGATACTGCTAGCTCGAAACTTGCCTTCGGCTAGTGGGGAATGGAGGAATGGGGTACAATTATACCTACTTTTACTACCATTCTTCCATTCCCTGCTAACCAAAGGTAAGGAAAGGATGACCTGATATAAGCACATGAATGTATGTATATGCGTATGCTGATGGATATGATGCACTTGTGTATATATATATATATATATATATATATATGTGTACACATAGATATATACACATGAGAACACGCACATGATTGTGTTGTAAGCTTCTAGGGAATTCCTTGTGAGAAGCACTAGCAAGACAGTGTCGCGGCCTGCGTGTCCGTCATGGTGCTGACCATTTCGCCCTCGCTGCCTGTCGTTTCGACTCTCACAGCTTTACACCTTTAGGGCTCAAGGCTTAGAGCCTACCCAAAGGCCCCAAAGTAGTTCCTTTCTGGGGTTCGCATATAGAGCCCAAAAAGGTAATCCCAAAAAGGAACTACATCGGGGCCTCCGGGTAGGGTTTCAGGGTCTCGGAGTTTCAGAGACTAAGCAGCAGGGATGTTCAACCCTTTAATTTTCTACTGATTTAAAGTTTAGCCCTTCAGGAATCAAGGATAAGGTGGCTTACATACAGCTCGGGCTTCAAAAGTCCCATTGGAACAAGTGGACAACAAAGAAAGGCACGTGAGCACTAAACCCTTGACCGTGTCCAAAAGTCTGATATGACACCGCCGGGAAGCAACGCCCCACCCACCTGCAGTTCAGATGCTCTCTATCACATCACGCCAGATACTGCTGTCTCGCAAAGCCCTTAAGAAGCATCTTCGTGGGCGACAGAAACAGACCAGTTCATGGTTGGGATAGCATTTCAGGCTTATTTTCATCCTTATTGGGTGTAAGTACACATAAAATGAAACATGATACCCAACTATGACAAAGAAAAGACAGGTGAAAGCCTGACATAAAACAAGCTCTGCACTCTACACAGCAGAGGTAGGGTTTAAAGAGACCTCACCCGCAATTTAGGGAGCCGTCGCGATTGGTTTTAGTCCACAAGCCTGGGCGCAGTCAGGCAGTCTAGGGCGCTGCGTGATTGGCATCTATGGGCTTAGGGTTTAGGTTTCGGGTATTTGGGTTTAGGGCCGGTGAAGGGCTCCAGCTCCTATGTAACTACAGTATTATTGGTATAGTATGCGTCAGAGGGCTTGCCGATCGTGTGTAGGGTTAGATAGGGTCTGCCGCTGCACATGTTCTTCTTTTATCGTTGCACAAGGGTTTCAGGAGTTCTGGCTTCAACGTGGCTTGGCTTGTCTTGGTGGGTGTAAAACTGGGCTCTCTCGCTCGCGCAGAGCAATCCTCGAGCCCAGCCCGTAATGCTGAAATTCTTCAATTGCAGTCTACTGGGATCGATACGGAAAGTAGTTTAAGTTACCACAATAAGGGAACCATATTATTTACCAAAAAACCATATTCTGGTAATTTCGACTCCTCAACATGAACCCAGAATGAAGAGGTTTCGGGTTTGGGGTTTTAGCATTCAGGGCTTAGGCTTAGGGCTTTCAGAGCCCTCTCTCGACCACTTCAAATCCCCCACCAAATTCCCCAGAGCCCTAAACCTTGGATACTGCCCCCATGCAGTAACAGTCTGTAATAGGGCTACTATTAAGGGCCGAATATGTCTATATTATGAATATTATCCAACTGTTACTGAGTGGGGGCAGTATCCAACCTAAACCCCAAACCCACCCGAATTCCTGTGTCCCAACCAACCTCTAAGCATCAAAGCCAAAAGCAGCATTTTAGACTTGGTTGCGGGTTGCTTCTGCGAGATCCACTGAGGAATAGGTCAGAAGACTGCAGGCATGAAATTTATAAGCCTTGAAGACTGTATTGCTGTATAAAAGTTCTAGCAGATGGCGGCGAAGACGTCCAGCGTCCAAATTTTCGGCACCGGTTTAAACAACTGGCATCATATCAAGTCCTAATCTCAGAGGCAGCATCTTGAGAAGCTACCCTAAAACCAGACCCTTGTTGCTCCTGCGCTTGACCCTAAACCCTCAACTCCCCTCCCAAGTCTGCTGACATGGCCTGGTTCGTAGTCGCACTGCCCCAACTCGCGGGGCATCCTGATCGGGGTACTATATATCGGGGTCAAAAGAGTACGGTTTCGTGGTGATATTGTGAGGAATTCAGAATATCCTGGGCATTATAAGAATAATCACAGTTTTCTACGACTCTGAAACCAGAGACGCCAATACTTTGACCCTGCCTTCTACTTAGGGGTTAAGGGCTGCTTTTGGATTCGGGTTTAAGGCCTAGGGCAAAGCTGTCGGGCTCCGGACTTAGCAAATAGTTCCTCCAAGAGAAGTAGGACAACCTCAATTAGGGTCGCTTGTAAAGAAGATAGAAGTACTAGGAGTAGCAGTAGCGGTAGAAGTGGAGGTAGAAGTAGAAGTAGGGGTAGAGGTAGAAGTATAGGTGGTGGAGGTGGTAGTAGTAGTAGTAGTAGTAGTAGTAGTAGTAGAAGTAGCATTAGTAGTGGTAGTGACAGTGGCAGTACTGCCAGCCCTGCACCTCAATTTGATAACGGCCAGCCCTAAACCCTAATCTTTTATAGAACCCGTTAAAGTGGTTGAGCTGAGGCCTCCGGGCTCTGTGTGGGAAACCAAAGGCGTGCTTACTATGCCGGCCCCACATTCGAAAGCTTAAGCTCTAAACCAGCAAATATGTTCAGCCCCACCAAAGAAACCATACGAACCCTAAACCCGAAACACCCGAAACCTGTCACAACACGCCTGCACCCCGGAAGCTCTCAAACCTGAATGATGCATTCTAACTTAAGAACTCCGCTATATGTCGTAATTGCTCCCTCAGTGCCACAAGCCCTGAACCCTGCACCTTGAAATCCTCTAAAGCCTAAGCCACACGCTCGAAACCCCAAGCCAACTAAAGGACACCAACAAGAGCACCAGCACCAGCAACAACAAACCAAAAACCTACCATAAATACTATAGGACACAATAAGACCACTAAAGCAAACTAAACAACAACTGAGGGAAGCAGACTTGAATCAGACACCAGGAGAAAGATTCTGTTTAAGAACAAAATAGAGAAAGACAACAACCCCAAACCCTAAACCCTAAACCCGACTCAAAGGGTCATGGGACTTAGTAACTAGGGTTATTCTTGGGGTAACTATACTTCTAACTGCTTATAACCCCAATTAAGGGGCTCATAACTATAGTTACTAAGTCCCATGATCCTCCAAGTAGACCCTAAGAACCGAAACAAAGAAAGGCGGGGAGCAGGTCTGAAGGAGTTCCGGAGAAGCCGATGCGCTGCCCAAAGAGGATGGAGCCTTGGGAGTTGCGTGCTGTAACCCTAGGGATCAAAATAGCCCAAAAGCCTTGTATAGTATGGTCGTTGGGCCCGAAAGCCTTAATAATTATATGAGCCCTTAGATCCCTAGGGTAAGGGTTTATGAGACGTTTTAATTAGAATGATTCGAATGGGGTTCCGAGGTCTATTATATTATAAGCATCGCAAGGAGACCGAAGGAATAATCAATGTATCTCGCCAATCATTTCGACCCCCTATCAGGTGACAGAAAACTGTGCGGTTAATGGGGTGTAAGGTTAGTTAGTACAGCTTGAGGGAGTTTCGGATGATTCTGGACACTTTAGCGGCTGAGGTGGGGGTAGGGGCTAGAGTTTGGTTGTGGTTTCGGATGGTAGGGTTTTCGACGCTCACACTCGCAAAAGACAGGCTCAGGGTCTCTTTGGGCACTTTTCAGGGATAACTTTCCCAAAGGGTCCAAAGTACCTGTATAGGAGAATGTAGGGTTTCTATATTAGGAATTACTATTATGATTTGGCGAAGTATCTTTCATAACAGTACCTAGGACCCTTTGGGCTTGGTGTTGCTTCTGTTTGTTGCTGGCTGCTGGCTCCCAGGAGGCCTCTCACCGACGCTGTCGCCTCTGCTCCTGCATCCGACTGGCCCCTTCCGTGAGAGATGGACCTGAAGATTCTATGGCATAAGCTTAGGATGTCCTTAAGGGGGGGTGGTCCAAGGGGGGTAGGTAACCTAGTAATCCCCATTATTCCCCAATACTCCCTAAGCTTCCCTAAGGTTCCCCAAAGCTCCCTAGTACCCTCCCCCCTTGAACCACCCCCCCTTAAGGATCCTATAGTAAGCACCAGCCTGAATGCTAAAGCCACGTGACACCCTTTCCAAGAACTGCCTTTACTAACTAACTTTTCAACTATTCCTTCCTGACAACCTGCAACTCCAACAGGCTGCGCTAATTACTTGGCAATCATGACATCCTGCGACACTTCGTTGTCTAGCTCATACCTAGAAAAAAGGCTGAAACTGTGCCAATCAACTACCAAGCAAAACTTTAAGCGCAAAGAATACGACGATGTCAAACAAATTCCTTGATCTTCGCAAATGGCGGGCCCTTAACATAGCAGGATCCTTAGTTAAGGACCTCCGAACCCTACAACTTGAACCCTGGATCGCGGACCGCAGCACGACACCCTTACAAGTGCGTAAAACCTCTGCCGAGGCACCTCCCAGATCCTGCCCGGAAGCCTGAGGCGACAAATAGCTTTGTTGTTGAATCAAAGGGGAAAAGGAGGGAGGAGGGACCCTTAATGGGGACCCCTACCCTATACTGGGCTGTATAATGGGTATATAATGGCTATATTATGGGTATATACCGAGGGGTCCTTATTAGGGGTCCCTCCTTATACCCTTTGATTGAAGTGCCCGATGAGGATTTGGGGGCGCTGGGTCCTGGGGCTTTTTGTTTGTTGCCTACACCTTCAGGATAGTTTGGGGCTCGGGAGAGTAGGGCGTATTCTTCCCGTCATCATTGCGTGCAGAAGCTGTCGGGGTTGAGGGCTTGGGTTCTTGGCACGGTTGCTCGGAGGGCGCGTAATAAAATTGAAGATAAGTTATTCTGAAGAGCACGAAAGTTAAAAGGTAAGACATACACAGCCGGCGGACAGCTTAGCGGGTAGCACAGTTCAGAGTATTCTATATCGATCTTTTGCGCTGCGAAAGGGGTTCGTTATGTGGATTTCGTACGAGATTCGTCGGGGTTAATGGGTGGCGGTAGACGTTTCAAGCCTACCCGAAAGTAACCTTGAACCTGCAAGTTTGAATCTGTATCGTCATGCTTATACACGTGGCATGGAGATGCGTACTTCCCCAATACGAGGTCCGCTTTTGGAGCCCAGCAAATAATCCAGAAAAAATCGAACTTGGCATCACTGTAAGGCACCCGAATTTCAGAAAACTCCCATCTGGGTGGTTGTCAAAATTAGGCTCCCTTTTTGGGTCCCTATTATAATACGGCACCCAATATTTAGGGTACCCAAAAAGGGACCCTAATTTTGACAACCACCCATGTGGATCACAGGACTCCAAGAAAAATCTCTTGATTATAACGTCTTCGTTGTTTAGAGCGTAGGATATAGGGCATGGGGCCGTGGGTTGACGGCCCGTACGGCCTAGAAGTTTGTAGCCCTGTGATTCTGAGGTCTTCGCCGACAGCTTCTCATCTTGGAAGCGCATAACTTGGCTGCTGCACAGGCGGAAGCAGTATAGGGGCCTTAATGATTAGAACAGAATGGGCTTCCTTCAAAGGGTTACTTTAAAAGGGCCTATAAGGGTTACTACAAGGGTACTGTAATATAGGGGTATTTAATTAAGCCCCTGTATTAGAAGGGTTGAGAACACAAGGTGCTGACACCGAAACCTACACCCTCTTCTCCGAAGCCCTAACCCACACATGCTGCGCAACTCGTTAACACCACCATGACAACAAACACTCCGTGTTTGCGATGCTGCCCACATGAACCACACCCAGGGTGCCCGTCACGAGGGGTCTACAATAGTTCGGGGAGAGAGCCGGAGAGCAACACATGGACTCTGCAGCACCAGGAAATTCAATATGGCAGGGGCCTTGAGAACTGGGTTTCTCATTGTAATTGTAAATACCTGTGCGCCCAAGTACAGTAAAATATGCCCCAAACCCTATTCCAATCATTAAAGCCCCTACATTAAAGGGTCGGTGACTTAACAGTGGCAAAGCAAGGTGCTCTGCACCCTTCCCTGCGGCTTTGGTTGGCATAACATGCTTCCTGCCTGACGGAAAAGGGTGACAGGGATGGAGGCAACACCTGCCACCATGATCTTATATCCTGGACCGTAAAGCCTAGACCTTTTAAACTCGCCCAGTGTCCCGAACAAGACGACGACAAGCACACTGGCAACAAGATTCACGGGACGACATATGTCCGCCAGCGCGTATGTAAACTCAAAACACACAGCCCTCAACCCTGAACCATTTTGCTGCATGCTTAAACCCTTGTTTGCAGCCCTACACCCGTGGCAGTAACCCTAACCTTCTGAAGCAACCGGTTGTGGAAACAGAACCCAAGCCCTCCAAAAACCCTCCGTCTGCGCAAGGTACACTGCGGGAACACCGACTGCTCCAGGTAGAAATGTACCTTGCGTGCCGCGCGCGCTGTCTCGGGCTCTTGGATGCGAGGAGTTTGAGCTTCGGTGTTATGCAGAGGTCCGAGTCTGTTCAAGCAACCCTGAACCTAAAAAGCCAGAAAAACAACCACACCCTAAACCCTATCAGCCCCGGAAACGGTAAAATTCAATCACCTTGCAGAAAGTCTCTGAACATCCCGATAGTCTCCACTGTAGTTCCTTTCCTTGGTTTAACCAGTTATATATTATGGGTCCTATAAGGTAACCCCCAAAAGGAACTACAATGGATACTATAGGTCCAAGAATCCCTGAATAGGGCACCCAAAAAGCACATAAGCGAAAATTAGGATAGGGATATCCCACATAAACCCTGTTATAATGAAGCCCAATAATAAGGTAGGGATACCCCTCTAACTTGCTTATGCTTCTGTTCTTTTTGGGTCCCTAACTAAAGACCCCGCGGTCCCGCAAAGGCCCCGGGGCACCGCCGAGGGCAGCTTGCGAAGAAGCTCGAAGAGCTGAGCCATGTTGGCCTGGCTTTCTTTTAAAGATTAGGGTTGTTTAAGGTTGAGAGTTTAGGGCTCAGGGCTTAGAGCTTAGAGTTCCAGGAAAAGGGTTCAGAGTTTTCGATGCTCAGAGTTTGGGGTTTGCGGTTTTGGCCGGTTTAGGGTTAGCTGGCTAACTTTCAAGGCTTCGAGTCTAACAGTTTTGGTTTTTACGTCTAGGGCATAGGGTTTGCTACGTACAGGGTCGGCAGACTTAGCTAGCAAAGCAGCAGCATCAACAGGGTTCCTTTAGGGTTCTGGTACTTAAAGCATCACTGGACTTAGTAAGAGGTTTTATGTTCCACATTGCGGCATTCTGGGTACATTAGTTTGGATGGCAACGTGGTATTCCAACGATAGCTTCTTAAGCTACAGCCCTCCTTAGCGAGTATTCGGATTCCAACAAGCACGATCTTGATACTGACATTCGGACAGGACAAAGGGCCCATGCTTCAGTACGCTTGTGTTGTGGGCTGATTTAAGGGTCTTGGGCAATTCCAGGTGATAGGTAAGGGGGGGGGCGGTGCCGCAGTAAGGCAGGGTTAGGCCATCTTCTGCTCTGAGGGTCTTTGATATCCGAAGGCTCCATGTACCCTTATGGTATATACTTATAGGCCTTAAAGTACCTATATAGGGACCACTTCAAGGCTTAAGTATCTACTATAAAGGTACATGGAGCCTTTGGGATAGATCCGTTGGATTCTGGAGAATCTGGCTCAAGAAGCAGGGACAAGGCCCTACAGAATACTGTCGTCGTAAAGTAGGGATCCCATGTAGAAAGCACAGTACTTGTGACCAACCCTATACTGTAAATCCGGCATAATGTTAAAGCCGTGATGAAGAACCCAATCTCCGGATCCTAATATTGGTGCATGTAAAGAAAGGGGGTTTATTGATCACAGGTCTGCAGCAGATTGTGGTGTCGGAGCTCAGCGGTTCTAGAAAATCCGAGTTTTCACCGGAAGCTGGCCGCCGATTCTAGCTAAATGTAGCTAAACCCTTAGAAAGACCTAGACCAGGAACCAAAACGCATGGCAGAAAGCATGAGTAAACCCTCGACTTAAGTAACCATCCGGGGCTGCTAGACTCTGCTAGACAAGATATTGCGGCAATGTGTGTGGCCTTTCGACACACTCGCATGATGCGGATCCTAATGTTCGAACGAAGCACCCCTACTTAGAGAGTCAGTTGGAACAGTAAAGTGGGTCCAAAGTACCGTTATTCAGCAAGGCTATCCTATTCACAACCGACTTGTAAGCTACTTGCTAAGCCCCCTGATACTCTAACACAGGGAGCTCCGGTATGGAGTGGTGGTGGAGCATGCGCTTTGCATGCGTTGCTCTCGGGCTCGAACCCACCCTCGGACAGGATAAGACTCAGCCGGCGCAGCCACCCCGGGATGCCAGATCCCAAACTGCTGTCGATCCGGGTGGTCGGGCAGGGAGAGATAGGGTGCTGTGAGACCACCGGTACTCTAACACAGGCAGACCTTCTCGAACAAAGGCAAGACCGAAATCCTTGCAGGCTCCCTACTTACTACATCCCCTTGACGGCCGTTGGGCTGCCTCATTCCGTCTTTCCAGGAGATGCAGCGGCAACCTGAGGTATGAGGAAATTTCAGGGTTTAGGGCAACCTTCAATGTTTCCTCCAAAGGTCCTACGAGGGCGTAAAGGGTCTGGGGTTCAAGGGTTGCACTCGAGGGTTAGTCAATGAAGCTTTTCGTAATAGGGTGTGCGGGATGTTAGCATTCCGCATTAAAAGCCCTCAGGGCGAGGCCATATGGCAGTTTCCCAAAATTAGGGGTACTTCATTTTGGGGTCCTTCTTTTAAGGGTCCTATTATTTAGGGTACTATATTGGGGTCCCCTATTTTCGGAAACTCCCATATGTACAACATCTGACCAGGGTTTCGATATGCATGTCCATAGTCGCATCTTCATATGTGCAGATATTGAGACTTTTAACGATGTGAATTACTTCCATAGAGAGCTTGGGGCGAGGTGCAGCGGTCAACCCGCACTTAAGCACAGCAGTTTCGGCGAAATGTTCCCGAGCAAGTCTACAGCGACGGCGAAAAACAACCTTGGAGCTCTACACCAGTTGCATCAGGCCGCCTCCACCGCCCTCAACGCCCCTAAGTCCTAAACCTTAGGGTGAGGGTCTAGGGATCTTACGACCGTACAATAGCCATCGCTTCCCCCAGCTACTCAACCTCACCCGAAAATTATGAAATAATGTCTTCGGAGGAGCACTGCACGTGACCCGGAGTGCACCCCAAAAAGGCGTTTGAAAGGGCCAAGACTGCAGTACAATTAGGGCCGATCATGGAGAGCCTGGGGATCGCCCGGGGGTAAAGTCACTTGCGTCGGCCTGAACTCAAAGCATGAAAAGGCAGAGCCAGAGATGCTACCAGCCGTTGTTCCAAGGGTAAAAGGAGGGACCCTTAATAAGGACACTTAGGTATATACCCTTAATATACCTATTCTATACCCATTATATAGCCCATTGTAGGGTATGGGGTCCCCGTTAAGGGTCCCTCCTATTCCCCTTTGAGTTGATGGAGGAATGCGTACTTCAAATCTTGGTAGGGATCCATGCGGTCTTCAGTCTTCAAGTTGTCGAAAAAACAAACCAAAAATTAAGAAGTGCCGCTTTGAGGCTCGCGCCAAAACTTAGGGTTCATGGAACTTAATTAAGCTTCAGAGGTGCAGGGCCGGCTTAGGGCGCAGGGTTTGTATCGGGTGTTTTTGGTGGAATCTTTGTGGTTTAAAGTTTACCCCGGTACAAGACTGTCGGGTTTGGGGGTTGGGCTAGCTTCGAGGTTTAGGGCTCACGGTTTACAATCTAATGAAACCAAGTGGCACCCGCGGTCGTAGTCGATCGGGCTTGCTCATCTGCACGTCGCCCTCCTTCGCACAAGAGCGGCGGCTTCGAGAAGGACAGGGCTTAGGGTTTGCGGTTTAAGGGTTTAGGATCCAGAACAGCAACCAACCTGCATTGAAAGCAACAGTCAGAGCAAGCCGGCTACAATTGCAAGCAACCCTGGCAGGACCACTGGCCACCTTAGCAACACTGCTGCTGCTGCTGAGCCTGCGACTGCGACTACCCTTGCTACTGGTCGGAGTATGTAGAAACAAAAGGAACCCAGAAACTAGAGACACCAAAACCGCAGCTCCAAACTTTATCCTACGTCGTAAACCCTGATCCTCAAAAACTGTCCCAACAGCCAACAGCTGTCCTCCAAGCCCAAAACCTCTGCAGAAGTTTGAGCGTCCAGCTCTGCCTCGCAAGAGAACTGAGCGATCCCTCATGCAGGGCTTAGGGCAAAAATGAGGTTGCCTTGTTGCGCTCGTTTAACAGGTTTCATCGGGGTTACCATTTCAAGGGGTCTGCGAGGGTCTTTGGGACATAGAGGTCTTGATAATCAGGAGGGGCTACGTGATAGTATGACTATGTAGGGACTGTAGGGAAGTATTCAATGCAGTCCAGCACAGGATCAGAAATCGCAAGACAATGGCTTCACGTGTCTCCTACTGATTCGGCAAGGAATTCGAAGGACTGGTGTTTCTACAACCCCAAACCCACCCTAAACCTTAAACAAGCTTCCAGGGTACACGTCAAACACATGGATCTGGGGTCCAGTTCAGCTTGTCCCTGAGTATCTGGTTCCGGGCTGTTCACATTGGGTCTGCGAGGCACGTCGTGCGCTGACGATCTAGACAGATACCTCGGTGGCTCCTAACGATGGTACCAGCAACGAAAAGCTTGCTAGCAAAGGCGAAGCTGACGGGATTCTGGCTAAACTTAACAAGGAGTCAGCATTGCACTGTCCAAAATACCCCTCTCGCGCTGGTCTCTGCCGCTAGTTGCAGGCATTGGGCCATTCACTCAGAGGGAAAACTGTTTGTGAGTTTGCGGTCAGGGGGGTGGCAGACTGTTTGCCATCGGTGGAGGCGGCCCCTTGCCACAGGCGTGAACCGAGTGATGAGCGTGTCGCGCCCTCGGGGTTGGATGAGCTGCTTTGGTGCCCAGTACCCGCGGAGGGATCCAACGGGAAGAGCACTAGCCATGTTTGGCAGCAGCCACCAACCCGCGCCCTGTCGGGGACGCTCCAGACCTGGCCCAGTACCGTCGCGAGCGATTGCGTCGGGAAGAGCCGTTTGATCTGGCAGAGGTATCGAGGATGGCATGCTGTCTTGCCCTTATGCCGGCCTTCCTAGCAATTTCCTTTGCTAGGAGGTGCAGGTGGCGGGCTTGCCTAGTGTCCTGTCCAGTTCGGTTTCGAGAGCCCTGTCATGGTTAAGGGTGCATCGGGTTTGCCATGATGCACGGCGTTCGTGTGGAGCCGGCCTGCAGCTTTGCGCTTTAACCTTCGGGCGGAAGCAACGGCTGATCCTGCTGGGGCCTCACAATACCCAGCCACACTCACTCACTCACTGCAGTCCAAAATCACATGCAACTTTGTGGTGCTTCAGGCTTTGATGTTTCAGGGCTTCGGCATGCAGAGGGTCAAAAAGGTTACCAAGTTACCACCGATTTGGCTACCCGATGCAAACCCGAGCATCTACTCTCCTAAGACTCCTAAGAAAGCTGCCGCGCTTCTCCGCCTGCTTCACGCAGAAGTCGGCACCGGACTCCTCAACCCAAGTGCGCCAAAGCAGCGACGTTGGCCTGGCTGGCAGTAAATCCTAAAATGTTGGGGGTTCAGGGTTTCGACACGGGTTTAGGGTTTGGATGTGGGGTTTAGGTTTGTACTGTAGTACTGTGGTACGAAGCACAATTACTCTCTCCAGCTCCATCTCTATGACTCTATGACCCCAAAGCATGAGCCCGAAACCTCAAAGCCAGAACCCGAAACCCCAAAGCCCAAACCCAAAGCCGCACACCCCAACCCACAAACTCTAAAACCAGCACCATCAACCAAGAGCCTAAACCATAACTAACCCTAAACACCAGACTCTGAACCTCAAACCTCGAACTCTAAACCCTACACCAGCCTCTCAAGGACTGCGCCGGCTTCGGCTTCGAGGCGATCGCACAACATGCCTGAGGTGCAGGGCGCGGCCTTCGTTTGGGAAGTGTGGGGGTCTTTGGAGGAATCTAACAGGGTTTAGGGTTTAACAACAGTCCCTTGTTTGTAAGGGTTCCAAGAGAGGTTTCGGATTTAGGTTAAGGGGGGTTTCCAGGGTGTAGGATTCGGTTCTGTGAGTCAGAGGGGTGTAGACGAGCTTAGGGTTGCGCAAGGTGCTTGGTTTATGGTGGAAGCCGGAAAGTTGGAAAGTGCGTTGCGGCGCGCTTGGACCTGAATCCCAATCTTCCAACTTTTCGTCCCGGGCAGTCTGGCACCGCACATGGTCTCCAAAATGGGCAAGCCTCTTTGTGCGATCTTCCAACTTCATTTTGCTTGGCAGGCACTGCACTTCTTGCCTGGCAGCACCCTGCAACCCCGCATCCCCGGAAGGGCAACCCCGCATCCCCGGATCCGCCGTTCGACTGGGTCGGTCGTGTTTCTGCCAGTACTGGGGGGAGAGACGACAGTACTTGGCGGAAAGCGAAAGCTTATACTTTCACGGCGCATCCTGGAGACGCCAGTCTGTATTTGGGGGAAAGCAATTCCACCGTGCCCTCGATTGTTTCTGAATCCCGGCTTTCCTTGGGGCAAAGCTTTCCGCCGTTGGATTGGATCTGTTTTATTTCTGTTTTACTCGGTGGAAAAACTTTGATGGTGCGACTTGGAGACGCCAGTACTTGGGGGAAAGCGATGATTCCAGCCAGTACTCGGGTGAAGAAAAACACGGTGTCCTGGAGACGCCAGTAGTTGGGGGAAAGCGATTCCAGCATGCCGTCGAGTGTAGGATATTGTATGTGAATACCGGCAGTACTTGGGCCCATGGCGGGCGCAGTACTGAATGCGGCGGTACGGTGGGTCCTGTAGTTCCAGTACTTGGGGAAAGCAATCCCGCCGCGCCCTGGGCTGTTTCTGAATCCTGCCAGTAGTTGGGTAGAGCATTTTGGCCGTGGTTCTACATGTGGCAGCAGTCGGAGGAAGGCATGTTGTGCCTGCCCGTGAATGCCGCCGAAACCCAAGTTGGAGGACATGAAACTTGGAAGAAATGAAACATAGACGGCCAAACTTGAAGTTGGAAGATGTTTGACGCCACGCGCCAATCTCGGTAAACCATCTTCCAACTTTCCCGCTTTGACTGTACTGTCTAGGGCTTGGAAACGAGGAAACAGGAGGAACAGAAAGGTTCTGATGTATTGATGCATTACAGATGCTGATAACTACAGTAGTGGTGGCGATGACAAGCAGAGCACTCGTACTAGTACTGGTAGCCATAGTCGCCACGCATGTCATATGAAAGGCTTCAGGCTCTAGGCATCGCAGCAGTCCCAGAACGAGTTACGACAATGGGTAAACATGCAGCCAGAAGCACATGCATGGCAGAAATCTTTCCCGTAGCAGTAGGCCAAGTCTTGTACAGATTTTCTACATACCAGTGACGAGTGACAACAACCACAAAGCATCTCAGACAATACCCAACAAAGAAGCAAGGCCACACACACACACACTCACACACACATGTGGTCCCAGTGCGACGAACGGTCCTGGGCAACTGTGGTCACAGCAGTTGTCGTAGTAGCAGGTAAGCATCACCATCAGCAGTTAGCCGCACTCCCACAACAGAGGCCTTGACCGTAAAAATCGGGTTTTAGGTTTTGCTATGCTAGGATTAAATGCAGGAGCCCTAAGGCACAGCATTGGTAATTTTGCAAGCCTGTTTAGTACTTGAAGTAGAGATGGGCCGAGCAGGACAAAGCATAGTAGACCCTGAGCTTAAGCCTAAGGCCCCATGCACCTATATCGTATATACTTATAAGCCTTAGTTGAAATACTTCTATAGGAACTTAAGAAGTGGCTTCACCTTCCTTGCACGTTAACAAGCAGGCACAAGAAGTAGAACAGCTTTGGCCATCAGAGGGAGCTGGGCCTGCATGAACACTCAGAAACCCTTCAACCCTAAACACCAACACCTTTACACTAAACAAAAAGCCCTAAAACCCCAAAGCCCTAACAACCCTGAAACCCTAAACATCAATCCCCTACCTTAGCTGCTGAGTTCATAAGCCCCAATCGTGTACACTTTTAGTTCTATAGTGGGTAATATTATCCCAAAGAGTGCAAAGTGTATCCACTCAGCTACTAAGCTACAATCCTAAACCCTAAAACCCTAAACCCTAAAGCCTAACAACCCTGAAACCCTAAACATCAATACCCTACAATCAAAAACCCATTAGACTCAGGATCCTCGGCTGGGATTCCAACCCAGCACTTCGTCGAAATCCTCGCGTCGGAGGCCCTCGTAGCGATACGCCAAGATCGTGAGGCCAATGACCACCTCGTCGCATTCCCATAAACTCTGAATCCCTAGTCCCAACCCCCCTGGTCCCAAAACCTACACAACCCTTTTAACCCCTAAACCTCTTATCCCCAAATCTCAAAGTCCTACAACCTCAACTCCGGGTCTGTTTTGCATCCGTGTTTGGGAAGTCGGCTGGGGCAGCTTCAAGACAAGAATAAGGGACTTTACACCCTAAGCCTCTAAACCCCAAACATCCCCAAACCCTAAACCCTGAAACCCTAAGCCTTTAAACCCTTAAAGCCTAAAACCCTTAAACCCTAAACCCTTTTTCCCCTAAACCCGAAACCCTTTTTCCTTGAGGAGCCCCGGGGATCTCGTATTCCAAGCCTCCTTCGGGGCTTTACGTCGTTTAGGGTTTAAGAGTTTAGGGTTTAGGAGTTAAGGGCTTGGGGTTTAGGGCTTATAAGGTTTAGGGCAAGGACGAAGCCGACTTGCAGGGTAACTCCAAAGAACAGGGATTAGGGTTTACAGTTCGGGGCTTTAGGCTGGCTTGGGGGGCCTCGGGTTGACGTGATTCGGCTTGGTGCACTTCTCGTTGAGGGCTTTGGGCCTTAGGTTTCGGGTTGAGGGTGTTTTAGGTCAAGGGTTCAGGGATTAGGTCTGGGGCCTCGGTTCCTGGCAGATGCATAGTCCAGGTGTAAAAGGGATTAGGTCTGGGTATCGGGTTCTACGCATTCTTGAGTGCTCATGAAACCGGCAAGATAGCCACCACTTGCTGTTACTCTAGATACAAACATTTTGGTCAAACCACATGTCGGCCTTACAGCAAGGTCTTTCGCCTAAAAGGGCGAGCTCCGGTGACATCATCCTGCGCGTCCCTGCAGGGGCTTTGCAGTCTTCTGGACGGCATGCGCACCCAAAATCTGCGATCTTGAGCGCGGGCAAGCCATCTTGACTTTTGAAGCCTTAAATACGCCTTGACATGCAGATGTAACAGGTAACTCGATGTCGGCGGCGCTCGTCTGAACGGCAAGTTGCTACTTCCAGGCATGTCTTGTTGGCATCGGTACGTTGTCATTACCTTGAAGATCTCTTGGCAAAGCACATTGTCCATGCCCCGCCTGCGAAGAAGCGAAACTTGGGAATCCGGCTCACCGAGCCGATCTGAACGCAAACTCCCATATTTGGTTTCCACTCTGTACTGACAAAGCGTGCTACTGCAGCTGCCGGGTATCCGATCGTTGCACCGTCGGCTTCGTAAGCGATTCTCAGGTATTGGGTCCTGCCACGCTCTAGCGTCACTTTTGAGTGGCTGTGCTTCAAAACCAGATCACCCCACGTAGACATCCAGTTACGACAGCAACAACATCATCGCCGTGGCTTTTGCATTTCTCCGCTTCCGACGTCGGATGCCGACATATATAATCTTCATCCATCCTAAACTGACGACACTCACGGCGAAAAGACTCAACCCCAACCCTAGACCCTTTAACCACAAACTCTAAACCCCAAACTCGGACGCCCAAACCCTACTGGTAACCCTAAAACAGTCCAAAGGCCTAAACTGACGACTCCAAAGGCACATCGGGATGGGCGAACTCACTGGACTGGGACGGTACGTCTTTGCCTGCAAAAAACTGCCAGGGGTTGGTGTGTTCCTGTACGGACTTCTAGGGGTTCCATCAAGAGGCTGCTTCAGGGTTCTATGACTTCGGGCTGCTGCGGGTTCCATAAGGGCATCCTTCAAGGAGTACGACAAGTTCACGGGGCCTTAGTGCCTAGACTATGGCTCTTGGCTTGTTCCTCTATAGCATGGGCTTTTGGGGTAGCGGTTAGCGTCCTTATTACGATCCTGCTCCGGAAACCTGATTGGTTCAGGGATCAGGATTTTGCAGGGTATGGCTAGGATTGGGTTCTGGGGAGCATCGTTACTGTCACACTCGGCTGCAATGGTCAACAAGAAACAAATATTAGGACCGCGATCGAGACCAACCAATAAGGCTTAACAAGGGTTGGGACAGCGTGCAAGCGCTTTTGCAGCTGTACAGTCGCACGGAGAAGGACGAACTATAAACTCACATGCACACACACACACTGACTGACTGCAATGCTTTATATCTGCATTTGGTCGCCGATCGTAATCATAGCGGTAGAGGGATTGTGATGGCGATTCGCGTTCGCGATGGAAGGTCAACACAGAAGCCAACGCAGAAGCCAGGCTAATGCCATGAAATACGAGCAAACGTATGTTTAAAGTTCACAAAAGGTTCTCCAATAGAAGACACACAAGGGCAACACGCGGCACATCAAGATTCATCAAGAGTTCGTGCTTTGATGTGTTGAGTCATTACCCAAGAAATGCTGCGACATGATCGCTGCTGAACAAGTGAAATCCTAAACACTACAAGGCTTCAACAAGACTACTTTACAACAATTCCCTCCGAATTAATGCAAAACGAGTAGGACACCCGAAACCCTAAACCCGATAAAAACAAAACCCAGCGGCCTACGAAAGGAATCGCCAGCTTGGCTCGGGTCAGGGGCATCAAAGGCTGCTCCGCCAGAGCAGCTGCAACCTGCGTTTGAAGATCACAGCAGAACGGTTCAGTTTTGCTTTAGGGCTTGAATTGAAAACATATATAGAACTTGCTCTGGGTTCGATTTCAGGGTTCAGGGCCTGGAAATCACAGTAGAATGGTTCAGGTTTGGGCCTTAAGGCTTATGCTGCGGTAGGTAGACTTAGGTGGAAGATGGTGTGTGGAGCGCTTGACTGTATAGTCCCGCTGTACAACTATGGCTTATCTATGAAAATAACCGGGCTAGTAATTCCCATCACGAATAACAGTCGCAGAACCTGCATAGCCTTGACTATAACCGGGAGCCGCAGAGACAAATCCGGTTCTCGAACAAAGGGCCTCAGTCAAAGCCAACCTGAGCCTGTAATTCAATGACGTCGGTTAGAAACTCAAACCTCCAAGCCGATAGGTGTTGAGGTTTGCCTGTTGCTGGTTGCTGGCTTGTTCGATAAGACGCTCGAAATTGGCAGAAAGGAAGCAGCCCTGCATAAGTTTAACCTTCAGGGTGCAAGCCTGCTCCGAGGACATAATGCCGAAGGTAACGCGGTCGATTTTCTGCAAGCTGAATGGCAAGTAGATCTGGCTGGCTGCGGTTTAGGTGTGTTATATCACTGCCGGCCTTGAAAGAATAAGGTTTGGGGCAGGGGGGATGTGATAGTATAATTATACAAAGTAAGGAACCGCACGCAATAGTATTCGCAACTGTTCTGGCTTCTGGATTACGGTTTCGGGTTATGGGTTTGGTCTTGCACTCAGACAAGCCGAGCTTGATGTTTACCGACGGTCTGGCAGCGTGAAAGCTGATTCGATGCCATGCTGCCGACTAGGCTAGCGTAGACCCCAGACTTTAAATCCTCAACCCTATATACGACCTTTCTCCACAGACTTGTACATGCCATATTCTTCCCGAACTCTGAAAAGGCCAAACAAAATGCCAGACTCTACACCTGCAGCCCCAACAGCGAGCCAGTCAAGACAATCGGGCCAAAGACCCCACAGAGACAGGAGGTCTGCAGTGGACAGTGCGATAAGTTTGACTGCATCTGTCCCGTGCCCTCCGACAAACAGACTTTAGGATCCCAACATCGAACCCTTAAATACCGGCTCATAATCATTTAGGGTTTAGGGTTCAGGCTATGGTTGTGACGTTCGATTGCTGGTATTTTCTGGAAACAGCTAAAACATTAAAAAGGTAAAACAAAGGTAAAAGAAAGGTGGTTCGGCAAAGGTGAAAAAAAGGTGATGCCGGATATGAAAGGTAAAAGAAAGGTGGTTCGGCAAAGGTGAAAAAAAGGTGATGCCGGATATGAAAGGTAAAACAAAGGTGGTTCGGCAAAGGTGAAAAAAAGGTGATGCCGGATATGAAAGGTGAAACGCTGTTGCCGTGGTGGTTTTTGCTGCTGATGCTGCTGCGGTGGAGGTAAGAGCAGCCCCCCCCCCCCCACACCCAGCCCACCCCCCCCCCCTGTTTGGGGTGCGCGCTGGTGGCTGGTTGCTGGGGGGGGCGGGGAGGGGAGGGGAAGGGCGGCGGGAGGGATGGGGGCAGTGGCGTGGGGGAGGGGGCCCTCTCTCTGCCTGCACCTTTTTCACCTCTGCCCGCACCTTTTTGTTCACCTTTTCCCCCGCACCTTTTTTTCACCTCTGCCCGCACCTTTTTTTCACCTTTTCCCTACAGAAAAGGTGAAAAAAAGGTGCGGGCAGAGGTGAAAAAAAGGTGCGGGCAGAGGTGAAAAAAAGGTGCGGGCAGAGGTGAAAAAAAGGTGCGGGCAGAGGTGGAAAAAAGGTGGCCGCCAGCCACTCGGACTTCGGGTGAAAAAAAGGTGGCCGGCCGGGCTGCGCCGCCGTAAAAAGGTAACTCGGGTGCGGGGGCTCTCCATCCCCGCCATCCCTCCCCTCCCCCCTTCCCCCCCCCCCCTTCCCCCCCGCTATCCTGCCTCACCTTCTTTTTACCTTTCCTCATTCACGTTTATTTTACCTTTGTTTCACCTTTGCTATCCTCCCTCACCTTTTTCTCACCTTTCCTCCATCACCTTTATTTTACCTTTGCTATCCTCCCTCACCTTTTTTTCACCTTTCCTCAATCACCTTTATTTTACCTTTGTTTCACCTTTGTTAATTATTTTATACTACCCAGAAAATACCAATCCGAACATCACAAGGCTATGGGGTGTCATATGCAAGGATCCTAGCCGGCAAGAGGCTCCAGCAGGATGCTTGGTCTAAGGCTCTTGGGCAAAGAGTACCTCTGCGCTTATCACAACCGCTACACAGTCCCGAAAAAAAAAGGCTTCAAGGATCCAGGCTTCCACTCGCCACAAAGCTTCTCTCTGAATTCCAATCCCCAGCCCTCAAACGAAAACCCTAAGAGTAAAGCCGAAACACAAAACATGACTCCAGAATAACACCTAGAAAATACACTTGCGAAAATTCAAGATTCACCAGGATCCAGTTTTCCAAATGGGTGGTTGTCAGAATTACGGTCGCTTTTTGGGTAGCCTAAATATTAGGTAAAGACCCAAAAAAAGACCCTAATATTGGCAACCACCCAAATGTGAATCCTGCATCACATCTAAACCGCAAAGGACTGCCTGCAGCCAGTCCCAACTCCTGGGTGGACACTGGCTTCGGAGGGGTATACTATGGGGTTCAGGGTTTAGGGTCATCTGGTGTGTTCTAGGGTGTTCCCGTAAGGGTTTTAGATTTACTCGGATTCCCTGAAAGTCACCTTTTTCGGTGTGGGACATTTTAGGTTTAGTGCTTGGGTTTCCCGATCCGAACATGGGGCACCTATTGCGATTATCCCAGAACCAGCCTCCTCGCCTAACGCCAAACCGATTAAACACGGCATTTACAGTAGTCGACGGTTCGACCCAGTTCACGCCCTAGCCCCAAACCGAGCATTGATGTGAATAAGAAGGGACACAAGCAGAAAAGCTGAAGCTTTTATAGGGCGCCGGGATCACAGGGTGATTTGCTTTCCCATCAACCCCGACTAGGTCTGGAAACCGCAAAGTTTTCATCCAAGCAGCAGGTTCATTGACTTCGCATCCTTCGCCGGCAGCTTCTCCACTCGTTCTCCCCGCATCGTCGCCCCTTCCTGCAGTCCAACGCTGGGGCCCTAAGTGCATCAACAATGCCTAGCATTACCTTTAGTTAGTAGGGAATGAAGGAATGGGGTACAATTTTGACTACTATTACTACCATTCTTCCATTCCCTAGTTAACAAAAGGTAAGTAGGCTTTTCGGCTTGTGGGTTTCCGATCTTACAGTTGAAGTCTCAAAACTGACGTCCCGACCAGGGGAACGAGTCTAAGCCCACACTAAGAGGCCTAAATCTTTCAGCGACAGCATTTCGATTAAAAAAGCAAAAAATAAGTTTTGGATCCACATAATGCCAAGCCAAGCCTGTTTTCTAGTAGTGTATAACTTGTAAGATAAGCGCCCCAAGGCCTCGGCAATAATTTAGGTAGATCTCTACATTCGGAGACCATCCATCGGTTCAGGGCCTTCAACTTGGACCGTTAAAAAAGGACCCAGCAATTTTCGGTATGTAGGTTTAGGGTAGTATGAATGTATGTTGGCATGTGGGGAGAGTGTGTCAGTATGTGATGATTAATTGAGCCCGCAGCGAAAGCGTGTCCTTGTCCCTACTACTTATAAGGGAACACCCCAAACTCTAAACCCCCAACAAGGCAACTACGGTTGACGATATAAACCCTGCATTACCCATCATGAGGAATATACCATAGTTCCCAAAGTCTATGGTCATTAAGGTAATGTAGGATTTATATCATCAACCGTAGTGCACGGGTACTACCTTGACGACCTCGAAGTCCTGAGCCACGGAAGGCCACGCGCAAGCCGATGCAAGAATTCAAGCGTTGCTTGTCTGGACCCAAGAGTAACCTAGGAATACAAAAGGTGCCCTTTTTGGTTTAAAAGGGGTTATAAGGGAACCTGAACGCTACAAAAAGGGAATAAGGGCCTACTCCAGGTCCCAGTGATGTTGCTTGTGTAAGGATATCTATGGCAAGGGAAGAAAAGCTTGAAGGCCAGAATATTGGAGGCCTCAGAAGGTGAGATGAACTTGGGTACGATTAAGGATCCTTAGCATCCGGACTCTATCTCAGAATGCTGACACCCACTGGCATCCAAGATACGTCCTGAATTCCTGAAGCCGTCAGATCTGATGAGTGTTGTCTTATCCCTGCTGACTTTGGTTGATCGTCATAATGGTATTTCTTGTCAGTTATACATTGCTATATAATACCAGATTCCCCAGCAGACCCTTACCAAGAAGCCTTGTCGCCCGCTGGGCGATCTAAAATATCACCGTTACCAGCAGCCTCGGCAGCCTTGGCCATAGGTATAGTTTCGAAAGCCACTGGCCTTAAACCTTGAATGCCAAATCATGCAACGTGATTAATAGACACTCCCGTCGTAAGCAATCGTTATACATTAACCTACCCGATTCACTACCTCTTTTGAAGTTCATTTTCAACAAGGACTTCTGCGTTGCTGCTCTCTCCCTTGATTTCGCGAGCTCTAAACTCAAATCCTACATACTAAATCCTAAATACTAAATCACAAACCTGAAGCCCTAAATCCACTCCTATATCCGAAACCCTTCGCTCCCCGCGTCCTCCGTTTCCTCGAAGAGCACGCGCACGTTGCCCGCAGTTTCGGCCTCTACCTGCTAGGTTAGCTGTTCTCGTTGAGGGGTTTGGGCTTATTAGCCTAGCTGCTGAGTTCATAAGCCCCAAAAAGTGTATATACACTTTTAGTTTTATGGTGGGTAGTATTATCCCAAAAAGTGTATAGTGTATCCACTCAGCTCCTAAGTTAAAGGCTCAGAGTTTGGGGTCTTAGTTGGGTGAGAAGGTACTACCTCAGTCTACTGGAGGATTTCAAGCAGGGTCCACAGCAATTAGAGTGGGGCTTCTGCACAGGTTTTTACAAGGGTTCAAGATGGTTACAAGTGCAGGATACAGGGACTGTAATTGTTAGAACAGTGTTTCTGCGTGCATTTTCGTACCCCTAAGGAATAGCATTGCTTTTCTCAGGCCCTTAAGCTGTGAGGAGTTCAGGTCTTCGGGGTTGCGGATTCAAGGCTGGCTTTTGGGCTTGGTGGCCAAACCCTAAACCTGCTTTTTTGGAGCGGCCTGGGATTCGGATTTTGAGCCTGAAGTCGTCGGATTTTGAAGGCCCTTTGCCTACGAGCCTGCGCTTCGGGGCTTGATAGTACACGCGGGTTTAGAGTTTAGGGCTTCAGGTGGGGGGTATTTAGGGTTTGGGGTACCTAGTATATGGGCCGCCAGAAGTTGGAATGTGTGTTTTGGAGCATGTTTTACCATAGTTATATTAAGAAACCCGAACAACTAGTGTTAGTTACTATAAATTCAAGCTCCTATATTGAGCCCACATTCCATACTGCGGGCTTTCTTTCTGTTGGGAGTTTCGAAGGGAATGTATATATGCATACATCTCCACAAGTCACACATCCATCGTACAAGCCCCATCTTGGATTTTAGGGCTTGGGGGCTTCTGGCCGGGGCATGCGGTTTCGGAAATGCGTCCCAGCCGCTCGCGTGGCAGCATACTCGGACCGAGCGACAGGCTCGAAATGGAGAGCTGTGCCTCCTGGCGAGGAGGGGTTTGGGTTCAGGATGGGGGGTCTGTCCGGTGCCAGCCTGGCGCCGGCAGTTTCCCAGCGCAAAACTTCAAACTTTCGACCTATAAGGCCAATTCAGTATTCCAGTGGGACCAAAAGTGTGTTGTCTCGTGGCCTTGATGTTTACATTTTGGGAAGGGCCCTGCCATAAAACGACGGAGCGTATTCCAGTCAGAAAACTCGGATCTAAAAACCCTGCGGACTCCGTGCAAAACAGCGATGGATACACGTGCACCCTGCCCCAATTATCCTGAACCCCAAATCAATCTAAACCCCTCGAAACCCCAAACCCTCCGCGACTCTCTTCAACTCCCTTACTAACCGCCCTAACCCCTTTTTGTGCAAAACCCTAGAACTCGTAAACCCCAAACCCTCAACTCTGAACCCGAAACCCCTATAGAAACCCTAAGCTAAACCCTTTTTGCCACTGGACTCAAGTCTTGCCAGTCTACGACCCACAATCGTTTTGACCGAAGCCGACACCTAAACTAAACCCTAAACCCCAAACCCTCAACCCGAATTCGGCCTCCTGTGCCCGATTCGGGCCGGGGTAGGGCCATTCTTCCCGGCCCTGCTCGAATGCCCACAGGGCCTCACCAGGCACTTCATTAGGACATCAAGACGGGGTTTAGGGTTTAGGGGTTGAGGGGTTTAGGGTTTAGGGGTTAGGGTTTAGGGCATCATGGGGAGCTAATCATAACTAATCGTTAACCTTTTTGGGCATATAAGGATTATATAGGGACTATACTGCCCAAAAAAGGTTAAAGGTTACCTACTCTACTACTAAGAAACCGTATAGACTGTACGAATGTCACAAAAAGAAAGGGGCATGGGTGCCTCTACGGCATGTGCTAACGCTTGCTGTTGTTCGAGACTTGTCGATTCCATGCTTATCAAGGCTATCGCTTCTGATGGCAATGCTCGTCGTGGTTTCCATCGTCGTCTTTTAAACGCCTTACGTGTCGAACTTCAAGCCGTCTGCACCCAGAAAAAGTACACGCTGTGAGACCAAGTCTGCCGGACATTACCCTAAACCCTAAACCCGGCCCAACTCCCAAGCATTCCGCAGCAGGCACTCTACAGTTGAGGGTTTTCTTGGGTTCACTGTTTAAGGTATATGGAAAACCACTATCATTATGAGTTTTAGGCCTCATGCGATCTAAGCTAGGGATTCCAGGGGTTGTTCCGTTCGTCACAATAGTCTCACACAGGAACCGCGAGTGTAAACCTTGAAGCGTGAAAACGCTACTCGTGCCCAGCTACAACCCGTGAAATCAACTGAGCCTCTAACGTAACCCGAAACCCAATGTCATGTAAGCCTCTGAACATCCTGACCCGAAGAAAACTCAAAAAAACAACCCAAGTAAGCCTACATCAAGTAAGCCTCCTTCTTTAGCCAATCCTCTAGACGAGCCCTGTTAGAAGCCTGGAAAAACTGGACCAAAAACATATAGAGGCCACGTGAACTCTAAACACAAAAATTACCGGAGTCCGCAAACCACGCACACTAAACCCCAACCCCCACCTGTGAGCACATCCAGCAGCCAGGCCGATGCCGATCGCGCAAGGGCGCTACCGCCCCCGGCCCTTGCGAGACAAGCCTGCCAAACCTGCAGCGCGGTCCTTTAAGGGGGTTTTAGGCTTCGGGTTTAGGCTTTATGGATTTTGGAGTATTCGTAGTTCAATGGTCCTTGGGGTTTATGGTTCTAAACAGCTCTGAAAACATGGCAAGTAAGGTCGTTGAACTGAAGGGTTTCAGGGTCAAGGCTTGAGAAACTGCCAGACTTGCAAGCTGGCGGTTGCCGGTCTTCACAGGCTCAGGTGATCGAAACTTATTACAGAACCGTATATTTAATCCTAAACCCTGAATCTTCTTCGAAGCCCTTACAGACCCTTGAAAGAAATCCTACATGAGCGTTTGGGCTTCACGGCTCACTTTACTGGCTACATGCCGGGCCGCAGCAATTAGAATAAGGTTTTATGGCCATAGAGTAGGTGCAGTATGGAAAGGGTTTAGGGGTTGAGGGGAGTGTCCAATAAACCTCGGGCCTTCGGGCTTGGGATGCCAGGCGACGTTACGACCACGATAAGCTTTAAGTCCAAGGCCGCGTGATGTAACGGCGATGCGGTCGCAGATGGGCAACGATATCGAAAGTTCAACAAAAGTTCGACGAGGGTCGGGTTTACGGTTCAGACATTGTTTAGGGTTTAGGGTAAAGGGTCAAAAGGTGGATGAGGGTATATAGGCGGGTAATGCCATGCGGGGCCGGCCCTTCGAGGCAAGCACAAGAAGGATGGAGGCCTCTGCAAAAGGTCCCTAATCCCCCCTATGTACCTTCGCCCCACCTTCTGAGGACCTTGACAGTAAGGGTGTAATTGGGTTTCGGGTCACGATAGGTGCTTAAAGAGATGCGAAGCAGACCAACTTTTCAAGAGACCAAAACATGGATCCGAAATGGTAGGATGCTTACCTTAAGGACCCCCCCCAAGAAGGACCTGCAAATTTCCTGAACACTCTATACCACTCACCGAATACTCTATAGAAGCTCTGTATAAACTCTCCCTAAGCCCTAACCCCCGCAAAACTCTTAAAGCGTAGTAAGTCCATACACGACCTCTTGAAACCCTTACAGGAACCAACACCCCCACCCACTGTCCGCCCGCCCGCCCACCCACCCCCACCCACCCACCCATTTCCAAAAACAAAACAAACCACACAGATTCACCCCACCCACGCCCGTCCATGCACCCCCGAAACCCTAAACCTCTAAAAATCCCTAAACCCTATAAACCTTATCCTATAAACCTTATAATAAACCCCTAAAACCCTATAAACCCTAAAAACCCCTAAACCCTATAAACCCTAAAAACCCCTAAACCCTATAGACCCTAAAAAACCCTAAACCCTATAAACTTCTAAACCCCTAAAAACCCCTAAACCCTAAACCCAAACCCTAATTTCCGGCGGACCTCCAAAGGCGCCTCCATCTCGAGCCTCGGGGCGTTCCGAGTCTAGGGCTTTAGGGCTCTTTTGGGCTAGGTAGGGCTTAGGGTTTAAGAGCTTGGTTCAATATCGGTTCGAGATTCAGCGTTTTTGACTTAGAGTTCACGAGTTGGGATTAAGACTTTAGTCTTGGTTTGGGTTTAGTTTGGCTTTCATTGTTCGCCTCCTTCATTGCTACACAAGCCGGTTGAGGTTTAGGATCCTTGGTTCAGGCTCCCCCTCAAGTAAGGAATGTTCCTCAGACTATAGGAGGATTATAGATCTGATTAAGGTATACTCAGTAAACTTCTTTCATGGATTACACGGTTGCGGAGCTTCTGGACAGAATTCTTGAGCTCAAGACGATGATTTAGGGCTGATGATTTGGTGCATCAGCCGGCGTCTACATCGGAGGCTACTGAATCCAGAGGTTTAACAGAGCTATATTGGGAGGTTCAGGGGACTTAGTAAGAAGTGCTGCAAGCAAGGTAGCTGTAGCTGTATTGTATCTAGTTATAACCCCAATAATCTGCCTATAGCCCCACTTTCTAAGTTCCCTGCTCCTTCAAGTCGAGTCTAGAGTTGAAATTGTAGAGGCGGGCTTATAAGATTTTTGAGCATCTTCCAGGAACCCGCAGAGATTATTGAAATCCTGATACAGGGCCCGGAAATCTTACGAAATCCGTCGGTTTATGGCTTAGGGTTTTGGGTTTAGAGTAACGTGTTGCAGTCATCAGAAACTCTTCGTCGACATGTCGACCGGGTCTGAGCCACGCCAACGACCACATGCATGAGTCACTCTAAGGACCACATGCATGACACGTGAAAGCCAAGTCCCTCCAACAGAGCTTCTTGATCTAGCTGCTCGCCGTTGTTTGTGGCATACACTCATGGTTCTGAGATGTACGATGCGTCTGTCTCTGTTGCATTCGATGGTCCCACCCACGTCGTCTGCCACAAGGCCGCTACTTCCAGGACAATAACCTGCTCAGAGGAGCACATAATGCATCGAGAACGTCGCCGCTTAGCCAATGCCCCCATAACTTCCAAGGGTACAAGGAGGGACCCTTGATAAGGACCCCTAGGTATATACCCTTAACATAGCATAGCTATTACATACCCATTATATAGCCCATTATAGGGTAGGGGTCCCCATTAAGGGTCCCTCCTTTTCCCCTTTGATAACTTCTTCATGAAGCATCCTCCTCAGTGCCCTCCATAGGTACAAAACCCAGTTCTAATCTTCAAGGCCACTGTATCAAGCCGTATAAACCCCTTGAAGTCCTCATACAACCTGGGCCAAGTAAATAAACCCACCTAAACGTGGTTTAGGGTTTGCGCGTTTGGGGTTGAGGATTTGAGTTTCGGGCTTGGGGTTTAAACTCCCCTCTGTAACCCTTGAACCTGAGCCTCTGAAGCTTCAAACACGTCGATCCGCTAAACCCTAGACCCTAGACCCTACCCAGAGACTCCAATATCCCTCAATTAAGGAATATACCTTAAGTTATAGTAGGATCCCTAATATGATTTAAGGAATACTCCTCAATTAAGGGATATTGGAGTCTCTCACTGGGTAAAACCCTCAGCCCCATGAACTCACCATGGTCTTCTTTACTTTGTAGACCTCCACCTACAAATCCGAGCCATCCTCTGTCATGCACTAAATGTCCGCTCTTAAGCCCCGTTAGGGCTCTGCTACAGGTATCTGGGGCATGGCGGTACCTGGTGATTCAGGGGACTTAATAAGTGAACCGAAAAGTAAGGCAGCTACAGTAGTATCTACTTGCAACTTAGATCCACTGAACACCCCAATAAATTAAGGTCCTGATACCCGTACATACTTCCAAGTCCGACTTCAAACCTAAACCCCTAAACCCTATGAGCCCCACATAAACACCGGGAGCCCTGAACCACAACCCTAAAACCTCTAAGCCCGAAGATTTCCTTCTAAAGCGGCCTCTGCGGCGTCACCCGATGCAAGAGATACGCGCGAACTTCGTCTTCCGAGAGGCCACGATCCTGCGGCTTTGCAGAGTTTTAGGCCGTCCAATTGGGATGTCAAGTTCCGTTCGCTGAGACGGCTTTACGGTTGAGGATTTTGGGGTTGAGAATTTGTAGGAGTTGCGAGGGCTTTGAGCGAGTTGATTAGGGTTATACTTGTGGTTCATAGGTTTGTGGGCTTGCGGGCTTGGGCTTTAGCAGCTTTTTTGAGAGGGGGATACTAAAGTTTCATATCTCACTCATGTTCGGCACCCTCAGCCCTAATCCTCTCCACGATCATAAACTCTTAACCCCCTGAAAACCCCAAAGCCCAACAACCCGAGATCTAGCCCTCAGGCCCTGGATCCTAATATTGAAGCTTATGGCACCTAAACACCCTCACGCCAGGACAGCTGCTTTAACACCCTGAAGCCTAAACTCCTCCCATCCCCAGCCAAACACCCTCCAGCCCACCCGCCCGCCCACCATCCAGCCAAACTATTGTCGCAAAGAACACGATGCCACGAGCATGAAGAAGGTTGGGATTTTGGGATTGCGGCCGAACGTTTCGGGTGTCCCCAACGAAGGGCCGCATCGCCAGGCCCTTCTTCTTAGTGATTTTGCGGTGCTGCTATTTTGGCATGTAGCTATCTGTTGGGCATCGTTGTTTCGGCAGCTCTGTAAGAAATCGAAGCTACGTCGCCAAGCAGGAGACGCAGAAACTTCGACAGTTTGGACTCAAGCGGTCTTGAGAGGTTTGGGATACGGGGCATGAAGATTTCAATCGTAAGGTTTAGAGCGTAGGTTTTGGGGTTTAGTGTCTGGGGTTTGGGGATTTGTTTTCAACATTGTCTTCAGCCACCCACGGCATGCTCGACCACGACTGAAAGGTTCATGGGCGGTTAAAAACTAGAGTTATAAATGCCGTGATGGTGTCTATACGCAATTACTAATCCCTTATCCTTTGTTTGAGTAGAAACCCTACAAGCCCCAGACCTGAAACCCGCACGCCCGTTTCAAATCGCTGAACCCTCAACAAACTCGAAACCACCATCCTGAAATAGCTGGAGGTCTGCAAGAAACCCTAAACCCTAAACCCCTAAACCCAAGAAATTTCCCATGTCTCCTCTCGATCGCCGGTAGCCTGCTCGAAAGCCCTGCCCACCTAGGAAGCATCAAATTAGGGCTTGGGTTGAACTAAGGTTTAGGGTGAAAAGTTCAGTTAGCATTGAAATAATTAGGGGCCTTCATGATGAATGAGAGCAGGGTGTCGCGGCACTGTCTAGCGCAACAGCAAGACTGAAAGTGAGACTTTCAGTCGTTTAAAACTTGCATGTAGTACCACACAAAGCTGACCGTGTAAAAAATCCATACTACGGTATCCTGCTAAGACCTTTTACGAAGGACCCTGAACCCTAAACCAGCCTACGCCCTAAATGGAATCGGGGTGGGAGCCCTGGCCCTAAACCCCACACCCCTAACCTCTAAGCCCTAAAAAAGTGAGGGGTGGGTGCCCAAGGCTTCCTAAACTACTAAGCCCTACTTGTCGAATACTGTTTAGGGTTTAGGGGTTTAGGGTTAAGGGGGGTTAGGGTTTAGGGGGTTAGGGTTTAGGGGTTAGGGTTTAGGGCATCATGGGGAACTGAAGGCTGACCTGTTTGGGTATATAGGGATTATATAGGGACTGAACTACCCAAAAAAAGTTAAAGGTTCCCTGTTCTACTGCTAGGAAACCCTCCAAAACCCCGAAACCGTACTAACGGGTTCGGGTTTACGGGATCGGCTTTCGGCTATAGGGTCAGGCGTCCGAACATACATCCCCAATACTGGAGGAAGCAACGGGCAAATTTTCAATACGGGAGTTTCCAAAAAATAGGGGACCCTAGTATCGGACACTAAATAGTAGGCCCCTTCTCATAAGGACCTCAAAAAAAGGTAGCCCTCATTTTCGGAAACTCCCATACATTCTAAACCCATGGAGACCCCAAGGTTTCGACTTATCAAAATTCAATACGATTGTGTTGGGAGCACATGAGAACCTGTGCGGTAAGGCTCTTTTTGTGTGTGCGTACAGTGTGCGGTGGGTTGTCTGTGCATGTGCGTGCGGCGCGGGCGGTGCGTGCGTACAGCGTGCGGTGGGTTGTCTGTGCATGTGCGTGCGGCGCGGGCGGTGCGTGCGTACAGCGTGCGGTGGGTTGTCTGCGGTGTGCGCGGTTTGCGCGTGCAGTGTGCTGGGTTGTGCATGCAACGCGCGGACGTGTACGTGCGGAGTGTGCGGCGTGTATGCGCTGCCCACATTTGAATCATCATGAAACATGGCTGAAGCCTGCAGGGTCAGCGCCAATCATATTGGTCATTGAATATTAAAGCCGATAACAAACCATGGTAACCCTTCGGACTCTTCTGCTTTCGACTCTTTTCGACTAATCATGGTCTTCTGGTTTTAATTTTTTTCATGTGGTATGCCACTGAAACGACAGCGGGAGACCCTTATTGACTCTTACATGCACAAGATCACAAGACCATCATTTTCCCCCAAGTTTTAAGCTTCAGGTTGCAAGTTGCAACCAATCGTCCAGAAGAACACATAGACGCAATGATATAATAATGAATATTGTCATAAAAAAAATATCCTGCCACTGTCACTAAACATATGTGTGCCGAACGTCAAATGCAATAAGCAACACCTGCCAGTTTGTCACACTGTCCGCGATCGATGTCCTGATTGTTGGATTGCTGGAGATTGGAGACACAACTATTTATTCTTAAGGTTCCTAAGGGAAACCGGAAAACACAACAACATATATCAGTGGTTTGCAAATTACACGTTGTGGACATGCGTAGCCAAGAAGAGGAACACTACACTAACACACTAGTTACTAGCAACTAGTAACCGTAGCGGTAGTACACTAATGCATCATAGCACTATAGCGCTTGATAAATCCATAATGTTCAATGTTCATTACAATTCAGAACACACACATTCATATTATATGCCCTGCTAATGCTGCTACTGCTGCTGCTGCTACTGCTAATACTATAAGACGTTCTGAGCATTCTGTATATGTATGTCACAAAAGTAGTATACTAGGCAAGTGTACTGAACGCACCGCAAGCACGGACTGCTTACCCAACACAGTTTCTGTTGTTGCATCATCCAAACAAATTCTAATGGATTTAGTGCGGTCTGTCATAGTACTTGTTCTCTTGGCTCGGCGCTAAAGTTGAAACCTGCGTGGTGGCTAGTGTGTTTTTCTTGTTTAAGTACAATACGTCCATGACTGGACATGAGCATTGTTTTCGGTTGGTGTTTCTGATAAATTGCTGTGGTTGTGGACGTTGACACTTCAAGGGAGGATGAATCGGTTGAGTTGATTTGTTGAAAGGACGTATACTAATCTAGACTTCATTTGTTGAAGCAATTTGGTGCAGGTTCGTCAGCCTCCATTGTTCCAAATGCCACATGCCACATACTGTTTGAAAGTTTCAGTTTCAACTTCAAATGTGTTGCAAATAGATGGTGGGTTTGAATATGCATTACTGCTGCGCAGCAGAGGTGTAGGAACTGTACGGACGCAATGTGTAAAATTGAATCTCAGCTCCGTATGCGAGCCTTGCATCTGTACTACACGAGCCCCTGTAACATGCATGTAAGCACTGCGCACGTCCACCGCGCGCACTGCGCGCGCGCTGCGCACGCGCACTGCGCGCACCGACGGCCCACTGTACGCATTTTCAAAATTGGTATTGTTTTTTTAAAATTGGTGTTGTTTTTTTTAAAATTGGTGTTGTTTTTTTTTAAATTGGTGTTGTTTTTTTTCCGCGCAGTGGGCACGCGCAGTGCGCGCGCGGTGCGCGCGCACTGCGCGCGTAGGGTGTGCGCGCGCGTCTTGCACGTCCAAAACCCTAGACCTAGACCCCAAACCCTAAACCTTAAGCCGTAAACCGTCAGCTGCCTTCCGTAAACATTTTAAATTTTGAACATTTTTCCAAATTGGTATTATGTGTTTTTTTGTGTTTTTTAGTTAGTTTTTAATCTAAAATCTAAAATCTAAAAGCTTCAATTTGTCTAATGTTGTTGTTTTTGTTTAGCACCCAGTCCGGAGTTGTGATCTACCATCGATTATCCAGATTATCCACATACCCATGATCCTAGGTCCTAGATTCTAGATACTAGACACATTGGACGCCTGAGGAGCACTGCACGAGGCTCTAACTCTAGCTATACTATCGTCTCTAGAGTCAAGAACCCAAACCCTGAGCCCCAACAGGTGATAGACCCGCAACTCATACATGACAAAAACTAAAACCACACTAGACTAAGACTAAGACTAATACCAAACTAAGACGACCGAGACTACCATCTGTGTGGTCGTGCCATCTTGGTCTGGCATGTCTGACAGTTGACAGATTCACACTGAGACGACATACGCAAACGCATACACAGTGTAGTCAAGTCACGGTAGTCCGGACTATTGAATGTATATACGTTCCCAGGTTCATCATCGTCCATCGCTCGCCATGGCAACCAGGAAACAGGACTCAAGACGAGTTAAGTGCCAGCCGCCCACGGCCGTGGCCTCATGGCCCTCAGGGCCTATGGTCTCTGGCCTCCGGAGACTTTAGTCTCAGAGATAAGAGTCCATGTCTCCGAGTCGACAGGGTCGAGAGTGATTGTTCAAGGTCTAGGTCATTCAAGGTATTATCGTGTACAGCAGTTCACGCCTCTGAGGGGGGTGCCTTGTGTCGAGGGGAGAAATCTATGTTGACTCAGTTAACTCATGGCGATTACAGTTGACTGAACGGGGCTGAAGGGTCAACATTCGAGAGTCTTCAAGAGCTTGGCGCCTAGTCGGTGTCAATAGGGCAATAGCCAATACTCGATCTAAATACTAAACATTCACTGAGGTTCATGAAGCACTGATCGACGGGTTGTGAGTTATGAGTCATGATTTTTAAAGATATGACCCAGTGAACCAGCTTTTCTATACTTACAGATCTATACCATATGAATCATATAACATACACCATATATCATATATCATATATCATATATCATATATCATGTATCATATATCATATATCATATATCATACATCATGTATCATAGACCATATAGGTATACAGTTATACAGAATGTACATTGTATCAAACAATTTATCATGGTATGGTTAGTCGTCAGTGGAGCCACATATTCCCGCGTGTCATGGAGCAGTGCCTCAAACTCTCACGCAACACAAGAGCTTCGTGAACGAACACTCTGAAGCATCTGCGTATGCTGTACACACCCCCAACCGCGCGCGCGCACACTGTACGCACGCCCCGCGCGCGCGCGCGCACACTGTACGCACGCCCCGCGCGTGCTGCACGTATACACGCGCGCACTGCGCGTATACGCACGTGCATTTGCATGTTCGCAGCACAAGCACTGTACGCACATACCGCGTGCATTGGTTTGACAAGCTAAGACATCACTTGCACAGCCACATGGCTGCATACGTGGCACCCCTCCATGGCCTTATACCCACAATCGTATTGAATTTTGATAAGTTTCGACCCAAACCTAAACTTACGGATTTTGAAACCAAAGCGTATGGTTCACGGCTACGGTTCCAAGGTGGGTAGTTGTCAAAATTAAGGTCCCTTTTTTGGGTCCCTGATATAATACGGCACCTATTGTTTAGGGTAACCAAACAGGGACCATAATTTTGACAACCAGCCAGGTGCAAGCGTCGGTCGTCAGAGGACTGATTGTTTTCTTTGCTGAAGCGGTTTAAACTAGGATACCCAGTAACCTAAGAATAAAAAGGCCGCTCTTTTTGGTATTGGGTAACTTTATAAGGAACCTAGGACTACAAAGGGAATAAGGGT